ATGACGTTGAGCGAGGAAGTAGTGAGTTCCAATCTATCCTTGAATCATCACGATGGAATCCAGGAGACATTAGTGGAAAAGAAACTTATTCCCAATTTTGATAGGTATTTACACGTCTTCCGTGTCCAGATGACGATTTCCAAAGAGGACTTGTACAACAAGAACCCTTCTTAGCAGAAACTATGACATCTGCCGATATGAGACCATATGCGCCACTAGCAGAATGTGTGATTCTCATCACCATCTGCAGCCGAGCCCTCTCCCACAAACAAATCTACACAATAGAAACTTTGTATAGCAATATTCCGCTCGATTTTACTTCTAGGCACGACTGGTTAGACGGTATACTTACACGGCGCCTTAATAATCTGCAAGTCAACTACCCCTCGTTGACTGTGGCTGAAAACCCGATGATTATTTACTCGTACATGGTTGCGTACTCCGCTATCATATACCTGTGCCGTATCATAGAGACGTTATCCATAAGCGACCAAAGCCAATCTCTTGTGTGGGAATACCAAGATCGAGGGCTCTGGGCAGCTCAGGAAATATCTCGAATGGCAAAGGAGCATGAATATCTTGGCTACTTCAGGGCACATACGTTTATGCCTCTGACCATATATCTAAGTGTGGTGAGGCTTCGGACACACCTAGAGGTCCGAAAAGGAGATCTAGAAAAGGACGAGATGGAGAGTGTAGAGAAGTCACTACGCAGTTCCATTGAGGCGTTGCAGAAGTTGCAGTCGGTAAATAATCTCGCGAGTTATTACTTGCAACTTCTGTAAAGACCCCTCATAAATCCTAGCTGTGCTAGATTATGGGATAAGGGACAGATTGGAGCGAGGGCTATATATCCCTCTTCCTCCTTACATCTGAAATAGTGGGCACCATTATTTTAGTATGATTACGTTAGGACGCATTCAACAATGCTGTCCGAACCATTAGGCATAGTATAGTCCGCAATGTTTACGTTAGAAATATAGAAGTCATGTCAGGTTGCTAAGTATAATGAGAACGACTGCAGCTACATATATTATGTGAGAAACAAATTGCCTTAGTATGATTCTATTTTCGAACTATTAATTATGAATAGGATGATAGTTATCCTTTAATACTTCCTATAGCTTATGTGTTAGAGGTTATACTGATATAGCACCTGTTTTAATATCACGAGATTTGGTAGATCCTATGATAACGATGAAATAACATCAATATCAAAACATATCTATAAATCCCCTATTTAGTTGTCGCCTTCATATTTTAAGTTAGTATTTCTCTATCTGATATCTAGTCCGAATAGCGACATCGTCTCTGCCTAATTACCCAAGTGAGAGTTTTGTAAAACAGCGTCTATATTGACCGTTCTTTAATTCACGCTAGACAACAAGGCTGTTAATACGGCAATTTTCAACGTTTTCACGGTGGGATAACATACAACAGACCGTATCCAAAACCTTTCACTATCGGGTACGGTCTCAAACGAGTGATAGACGTAATTAATTTACAAGTAAGCAACATAAGATAATGGGAAGTATATGCTAAGCGGATAGGATACCTCCGAGGAAACCCGGACATGTGCTAGTAGCCCATTGATATAATAGTAGATCTATCAAGTATGAAGGCCGGCAGACCGGTGCTTGATGCAGTCGGCCGTACGGATGGGGCAAAGTAGCTTAAATTCCCACCATCTAGGGAGCGCGCATACTTGGCTCTTATATGCGAATCTAGCATTAAATATTCCAGATACCGGTTGTACGAGGCAACGATCCGTCCCGGCGATGCTTGATCATACCTCATGCCCAGATCCTGTGCTACGCAATACTAGATACCTACTAAAAAACAGGCAAATAGGAGTGCTTGTTTTCAAGGACAGGATCAGCATTGGTTTCACAAGTCAGTAGCCACAATACTCCAATTTGATATGGTACCTAATTTGAATAGCTCTGGTTATACGAATACAATAAGCCACTTTCAGTAGCTTAAGCACGTGGCAACTTGATAGTTCCAGAAAGGGATATATACTTGTCCCAATAAGGAACTCCGCGTCGTCCATTAAGATCTTATATACTTGGATACAAATATCCTTCGACCTACCTAAGAGGTAGATATATAATATTACAGAGAAGCGTCATCTTGTGGTCTGTATAGACTCTATATCTTGATAGCGCTATGCAACCCCCAGTGCCTCCAAAACCATGGCAACAGATGCTTCTAAACTGCTTTCGACTACAAGCGGCTATCTCCGTCTTATTTCAACGGAAGCGGGAAGTACTTTATTCTCCGCATGCAAGAATTCCGGTAGATTTTACCTACACACTAGTTAGGTCGATCCAGTGTGAACCCGACTTGGCACTCTACAGAACATATGCTAGCGTTATGCAATTATTTCGGTGGCGGCCTATTAAAATTCCAGACATTGGGGCTCAATGGCATTCGTCTCGGATCATACCGAACGTGTCTGCAAGCCTTATTGATATTGGGCCAAGAACTACCTTTAAGTGGAAGATCCCACCCACGTCCATGGCCGTAGCGCATCTTACATTATGTTGATGATCGGCTCGTACCACCGCCATCTACATTTGTCAAAGCTACCGAGTACGGGACATTCTTCACTGTCTACAAGCTCACGGACACTGTCTATTAGATTCGGATATGCACCCTGAATAGCCTTCTTAGATCAAATGCAGGCGGCTCTGAATGAATGTTGTTCTCATAGTATGATAGTATGATGAGATAACCGACTGAAAGGTACCTAATCATCGAAAAGAACCGGGCCGGTCCACAACCCATCAACACCAATACGATATTAAGCACCATGAAATGTTACTACCCACGCCAAGTGACGCTATGGGTTTCAGTCAGGCGCAGAAGGTCCTCGAATACTTGGTGCCCATTGTAGGCCGTACGATCGCCCACGCAAAAACTATGAGATGGATCAATGACTGAAGCATTCAATACAGGGAGCTGGTAGCTACGTCAGTATCCGGACAGGTCTAGTAAGGACACTGCTGACTAAAAGCAATACGTGTGTTCGAGGAACTCTCGAAATAGAGCTATAAGTAAGGTTAGGGTCGATTCCTATCAGTCGCTTATGCTTCATCTTTCAGGAGAAATATTCTTAAGACAACATATTAGGTTATCCCTATCAACATCCATATATGGGGAAGTTATTAGAATAATATAAATAAATATGTAACTAATTAAAGCTCAGGCATAGCCATATCTAGCGACACAATACCAGATATACTTAGTCCCACTTCAATATCCTATTCTAATAGGAGATTTTGAGGAGCCTAATGCTTATTTATAAAGTGATACTGTTCTGACTAGAGATTTAGCCCAAAACTCGATACCTCATACCTATTAGGTACCTAATGTATGGTCACATCTATATAACACTGATCAGCTTGAATTTGCCTTCCGGAACCTACGATGGGCATGATCGAGAGAGTCGATGCTACATGAACAGTCTTTCAAGGCACATAGTTCTACAATGTGACCGCGAATACCTGACATTAACGAACATTTGAACTGCTTGAGCTTCACTCTACCTGATAACCTCTGCACCATACATATTTCTGTCCCGCGATATCATAACTTAGCATAACATTTGTTCCAACCTGATGTTTGTATCTAGAGTAACATCAGGCCAGTTCCTCCTAGTTAATACCCATTTATATTACGTGCATATAGCACCTAAGTAGATCACTGATCACCCCACATCACAATGTCTTCTTCTCTTGTGGCTATGCGATCGCATTTTGATGCTATTATATCAGGTCCCTGGTCATTTTCCTGAATTTCGGGCAAAGCTCAATTAATTGATTCAATTAGAACCTTTCGAATCTCAATAATGCCGCCTCGATGTAACCTTAGAGTGGCAAATATTACCTACCTTCTAATTCGGGTAGATGAATGAATGATCCGCAGACGCTCTTATGGCCATATTGAACAAGTTCAGTATTTTTCCCCCGACACAGGCGTGACTCCTATTGTTAGGATATTAACCCCCCTTTTTTCTTAAAGGTAAGTCTCAATCCCTCCGAAATGTCTACACATAGTTCAAACGCTCAACATTAAATTCACAATTAACTACTAGATATAATTATTATTAACTTTGTCGAGTTGGATAGCCGGATTCGCCAGCTAGAAATAATTTTACTATGCTCGGTTCATATTGGGGTACCTCTCAGTGTAACATGGGCCGTATAGGCTTAGAAGATATATTCAAATTCCTAATGATTCTTTAAGGTCTTGAAGCCTTTGATTCCTTTCCTTTTTTAAGGAGGCGGATTTGGGACTTATTTGTAATTGCTCTTAAGTATGTGTTCTAGGACTTAACCGCGGTGTTATGATATATATTAGTTGTTTTTGCATTTTACCTACATATTTTCGTGATGCGTCTTATCCAATAATTTTACTAATAGTTATTTTAACCGCTTAACTGGCGCCTAGCCATCTCATATTACAGCTAACACCTTTTTGGCGGTGTTGTCCGTGTGACATTCAAATGGTGACTTATTATTATTATTATTTGGCATAATGAATTAAGCTACTTTTACCTTCACTGTATCTGCCTACTTCTTAGATGACTCTGATAATAATAAATATTCAAGGCCTATGCTGATATGAAAAGCTTCCTGATACAGCTCAATAACTGATTTTCCGTCTTTCGACCATAAGGAAATCATTTAAGCCGACACGGTTGGCAGCCTTGTATGGATTGGGTAGATAGGTATTTATAGATTTAAAGGATGCGGCATGGGGGGTTGAGCGACTATGCATTCTCTGTGCCTCTAATTTTCCGTTATTGTTGCAGCAGAAAAACACGGAGAACCCCTCTGTTTCTGTCAAATTCGTTTTAATCTAATAAGAGCCTCGCGTTTGGATAATTGTAGTACCAAGTTGAAGAGGTACTACTACAAGCCGCGCACTATTTTCATTGTGAATTTTATTATCGAAGCATTCTACTTCTCTAGGCTCAACAGAAAATAATAATAATGGAGGCCCTAGCGGCTTTAGGGCTGGTATCTAATGTACTCCAGCTCATTGAATGTGGGTATAAAGTCGTTTTGATGGCAAAGGAGTTACACGAATCTCGCCAAGATTCAATCCAAACTAATAACAATACTGCTTTCGTCGCACATAAAATGCGAGAACTTAGCACGAGAGTTATGAAATGCTTGCCATCATCTGATCTGACTGAGGACGAAAAGGCTCTATGTAGGCTTGCACAACAGTGCAGTGAACTGTCTAATAGGCTCTTGGTGCTGCTCGAAAACCTGAAAGCCAAGAAGCCGGGAAGCAAACTCGACATTATAACAACGGTCCTGAGGAATATGAGAAAGAAGAACGAGCGGGATGAGCTCCAGGCAAACCTTGATGACTACAAGAAATAGCTACAGATTCAAATAAGCACTATGTCTCGGTAAGCCTGGCTGTTACAAGTTCTAAGTATCCGATTCTAATTCAAATATAGCTCAGACCTAGCACAAAAGCTTGAACATACACTGAATAACTACCACATCTATATCCCAAAAAGAAATGCTACATCTGAGAGACCACATACAAAAGCTCCAACACAGAGTTGTGGTCGATTCGGATAATACGATAGCAAATTTCCAAAAGATTCAGGAAGTTGTAGAGATACAATTCAAGCAAACCGCTATCTTGCAAAGTCTCCGATACCCGAGAATGCATGATCGGTTTGAGAATGTAAAGAGCGCACATCGAAACACCTTCGAATGGCTTCTCGAGGGCCCAGAAACCCCATCCAGCCAAGAGCATCAGGAGTATGCGGTAGATGATAACCATGGTTCAACTGGTTTCAACCTAAATAATACATCCAATCAAGCAAAATACCAAAAGTATAGAGAATTTTCTGCGTGGCTACGAGGGGGGGTCGACCACCTTCATGTCGATATACCTAGTCATAGCAGTACCCCTAACGGACCATACAAGGAAAACATATTCCATATCACAGGAAAACCAGGTGCCGGCAAGTCAACTTTGATGAAGTTCTTATGCCAAAGTGAGATCACACTCAAACACCTAAAAGCCTGGGCAGGTGAGAAACACCTCATTTTCGCCAAGGCATTTTTCTGGAGGTTAGGAGATGATGAACAGAAGAACCTACCGGGACTCACAACTTGTTTACTTCGCCAAATCTTAAAAGCGGCACCTGTACTAATCCCAGTTGTATTCCCATCTCAGCGGGAGTCAGATTATGAGAACTCGGTCCCTTTCGATCCTAGCGGCACACAAGCATTCAAACTTCTACTCCAGAGTGGACGGACTTTCGAAAATTATAAAATGGTATTCTTCATAGACGGGTTGGACTAGTTTGGTGGCCGTCCCATTAGGTTGATAAAAGAGATTATTAGTTGGATAACAATTAATTATGCGTGTCTCAAAATATGTGTGTCCAGTCGGCCGTGAAACAAGTTTGAGATTGGCTTTAAGGACTATCGAAGCGTTCGAATCAATGAATAGACGCGAGAGGATATCAAAATCTTTGTTGAAGACAGATTTGAAGAACTCTCGGAAATCTCTTCTTTAGTCAACAAGCATGATCTCAACTCACTGGCTGGCACAATCGTTGACAAAGCCGAAGGAGTTTTCCTCTGGGTTCCTGTGGTCCTAGCAGCTATCAAACAAGGAGTACTTAATGGCGACGAGCTCCGAGACCTTAGAGGTAAGGTAGCTGCCTTCCCGACAGAGTTAAATGATCTGTACCAACATCTCTTCGATTCGATTCCCGAGTATGACCGTCAAAAGGCATTCAAGCTTCTAAATCTTACTTATAACATAGGTATAACAAAACCCATGCCTATACTTCAACATAAATTTCTAAACGACCTATCGACTGACCCAGATTTTGCAATCAAATTACCCGTACAGCCGTTACCAGAGGCGGAACTGTGAATACTTACAGATATCACCAAGCGTCAGATCAATGGGTTATGTAAAGGCTTTCTTGAAGTAGGCCCCATGCAAGAGAACATATATAAAAACATAGAGGGTGTAAAATTCATGCACATGACTGTCATAGAGTTTCTTCGCAACCATGTAAGACTCATCAGATCTTATCTTAGCGGAATCGACATGATGGATCGAATATGCCAGTCATTTCTCGCTTTTATAAAGTCGATAAGCATCAATGAGTTTTACGTTCCGAAACCTGAGATTTTACACGACGACCTCTTTCTAGCGCGCGAATTTATATATCAGCTCATACTCATCATAAATATTTTCAAGGGGATCTCTTTAGTTTCCATGGTACAGAAGACAGTCCCGGGTCGAAGAACCGATTCCTTGGGTTTCTAGAAAATGTTGAACAAATTGCAATCCCAGAATTCCAAAAGGGAATAGGAAGTAAGCGCAAAATCCGATCGTTTAATGCGATCGTTATCGCAGACTACTCCTCCTATAGAACTTCCCCTAGTTGTAAAATGTTTATGTTAGAATTACCATCGGCTCAGCTCATTACTATTCTAGCCGCGGGACAGCTGCTATTCGAGTATTTTGATAAGGATGGGCGATGCGACCTTCGAACCCAGACTGACCCGGAATTTAGGCAGCTAATAGCACATGCTGTCTTATCAGGGGTTTCTATGCGTCTAGATGGTCCGAGAGTGTTCCAAATGTTTGAGATACTTTTCGAGGCTGGGTTCTCTCCTAACATTCCCCTGGGCAAAGTAGTATACTGAACTGCAGTACACTCTGGTGGAACCAAAGATCCTAGTGAAACCAAAGATCATGGTGACCTATGGGCTTGGTTGTTAAGACGACTGGTATTGATGGGCCCGCACGAAACACATTTATACCAGAGCGTTAACAAATCTGTGATGCGGCTACGCTACCGGCTCATAGAACTCTTCATCCGGCACGGCGCCAGTGAAGACTTTACTTTGACCTTTGGTCCTTGCTACGAAGGAACTGACTTTAACCGACTTCTTGTGAGAGTCCACGCTGGCGATTCCAATTGTCGACGTACAACGCTTGACCTCGAAATTTTCAAGGATATATGTATCGACTATCAACTAGACATTGTTAGCTTTGCAAGGGAAAGGGGCGGGGTTCTCACCCTGAGGGATTTATTTGCTTACTGGCTTCCGCAAGACTGTAGTCATCTCTACGCTCTACTCGACAAGAAATGCTCAACCTTATTCGAAGCGGAAGATATAAGTGAATCTCGTGATTCACCCCCGCCCAGAATGCCGGCGGTGTTCCCAGAAAAACATCGCTGCTTTGAACCAGGCGAGCACGGGGAAATGACCGATCAGTTCGATCCGCGAAAGGTGCCAGATGGTTATAGGCAATGTCTTTCACATTCCGAGAAGTGTTTCATGGACTTCAAAGCAAAGCTTGAAAGCAAGGGATTAGGGCATTTGTGTAAAGTGCAACATGAGGGTACATAATATCCAGTTGCCTATACATATCAACCTAGATTAACCTACAAGCTTCCACACATGTCTTAGTCCCAGCTTGTTCGAATAGCTTTAAGGCTAAGTGGGATTCTTAGGAAAGATATAGCATATTGGTATCTCTATTGGCTTATTTCAAGGTGGAGAGGTAACGGGAAAGACGACATCATGGCTTAGGCCGTCTCACATTAATAACGGATCGTAGATGTGTGCTCGACATATTAACCATCGCTATATGTAAAGAGTCCGAGAATCGACTCATAAATGGTTTGGGCATGTGTAATATATACGTCTAAGGTGGTCCTGGTACCACTAATAATATGCAATACATATTAGACCCCTAACATCTTCCATAATGCAAAGACCAGGACCTTTAGTTATGTCTCCCTTGAGAATTGAGAATATGCTGCCAAACCCCCAATTATCCCCAACCTTGCAGACTGTAATCCATCCGACCAGTCTATTATCTAAGATGCAACACCCTATCCCTATACTGAGTCATTAAAGATCGTAAGGTCTATCCACCCCAAGAAAAAGTAGTGCTTCCCAATATCGGTTGACGAGGTCCAGGGAGAAGTTTAAAGAGCCAAAACCGCGAACGCAGCAACTCCAACTAATCCCATTCCAACTTCAGGTCTAACACCGGCATCGGGAGTTGAGGTAGGACCAATAGCTGAGGTGATAATGTTCGACGCCGACGCAACGGCAGACGGGTCCGGGTTTGATGTGGCAGCATCGCAGATCTCGGGAGCTAGAGTGGAAAGCTCTAATACGTTGTTAGTTGGACTATGCTCTGACCTATTCGCTTATAGAAGTTACTTACTGCTAATATCATCTTGAGAGCATTTAGCAGAGAAGCCAATACAACCACTGATACTACTAATGAAGGACTGCCGTTTATCTTCACTGCAAAGGCACGTAAAATCTGTCGACGCGCATCCAGCAGATTTGGACGAACTGTCTAGGCAGCTTGAAGCGCATGCCGGTAATTGTGATACCAAATCCGGAAGCGTTGAGTTCTGGGCCGCGGCCAAGGCGACGAAGAGAGACAGGGAGATGGTGGAGAATTGCATTGTTGCGATAGTAATGTCTTACTCGAGAGCCTTTCTTTTCAAAGTATCGAACTCCTTTTGGCCAGCCAAAAAAAGGATAGACGGATCAGACGGATCAGACGGAACAGACGGAAATTCAAGCGGTAAATCGAGGGATGATTTTATTTTATTTTGTATATGCAATAGTTTGAGAAAGCGAGAGGATCAAGGAAACAAACTCAAACTATAAAAATCTAGATAGATGATAATACAAAACAAGATGATAAAATGACGATAAACTATCCAAGGAAAAGAAAGACACGGAGAGAGGCAAAGAGGTTTGGTTTAAAACGCATTGATCGCTAGGCTGTGCAGCGTTGAACTGTGCTGAGTTAGAGATTGTACTATGTAATTGCTGGGTTCCATGATACAGGGACACAAGGAAGGACAGTGGGCTGTGTTAGCTAGACCCGTTGTTTCCAGCGGCCATTCAGTAAGGATTTACAGTGGTAAAAAAAGATGAGTGGGTAAGAGCTTTCGCGGGTGGAGTCTTGGCGCTCGTATTGAAACGCTTCTAACTCTTGAAGGCTGTCAGATTTGGCAGAACCTGCTACAGCCTTGAAGCTGACGTCACATACATATGAACTACAGTGGGGTCAGGTCCACCCGAGCACTGTATATGTATATGTTGAACCTAGGTAGGTTAGGTACTTAGATAACTTCGGATGATTAGTTCTTCCGATTATTCTGTGTCAAGCCCGAGTACCTATCAAAGTATTCTGTGGCTAATAAAGATGGCGGTGCAAATCATAAATCATATCGAATTACCCGCGCGTCCCTCAAATGCTAAAATGCTCAAATGGTGAAATTTCAACCATAATCACCAAATCGCATATCCCGCCATGTCATTCGTTCAGCCTCAATATCCTTGCAAGTTCGTGTCAAGAGCAGCAGAGCAGCAGAGCAGGCAGTCAAGAACGGATGGCATTCTACTACTCGACACACATTCCCATCCACGTCTCCATAACTTCTATGCAGCATCTCTGTTATGGACGTTGTGTGTGTGGATAGTAGCCAACAAATCCTCCCGTTAGATCAGTATCTCTACTAGTTAAGGAAAGCCGATTCCTATCCGCAACACTTAGAAGCCCGCGTGAGCAGTAACTACCTACCTAGACGTAGCACGCCATCCATCCCACCAATTCTCACATACCTTTCCACACATTGTTGCACAATGCACAATGTATTATCTTCGGTGTTAAATACTGTACCCCTCAGTGATACGGCCCAGCCGATATGTCTTCTTCTAAATACTCGGCAATCTCAAAAACCGACTCGCTTGAACCGGTCGTTTCTACTTCGCCTAGCAGTTCGTTCGTCGACGATGATGATTTTTTGAGTTTTGAGTTATTAGACCTGAATGCCGTAGAGTCCGCACTTCCTACACTCCCTCGGCTTTCAACCAAAATGTCTTATCAACCTCTCTCTTCAGATGACCCGGAAGACCATAAGTCTTACGGATCCTTAGAGGCAACACCTAGCCAAAGCCCCACGGCTTTACTAGGCGAGACGATTCGAATTGAGGACCCTGTGGTGGAGATAGAAAACCCCTTTTTAGACACGGAAACAACAGAGTATTGGCGACAAGTCTACGAGAATTGCCAATATGAATGCAGACATCTCTTCAATCCGAAACTGACCTGGTCAGTCAGAGAAGAAAGAGAATTAATCCGAAAGCTTGATTGGAAAGTCTGCTTATGGGCGGTACGAAGCCGTCCTGTTATTACTTCGATAGGCGCTAACACCTCGGTCCGGTTCAGTGCATAATGTTCTTCGGCTTACAAGTAGACCGCGGTAATCTTTCACAGGCAGTCTCCGACAACATGCTGGATGACTTGGGTCTAGATACTAATGGTATGGTCCAATACATCTAGAATTCATCACCCATACCTCTCTACCTATAACGAGCATCATGAATACGTATTTCAGCTGAATTTCGCAGAATAGCCCTATTTCCTGCATCATAACATACTGTCAGTAAACATAATCATTTCACTAACAACATATAGACTATAACTACGGGCATTCTATCTTCTTGGTATCTTTCTTGCTGGCCGAACTTCCTTCGCAGCTCGTATCAAAAGCCGTAGGCCCAGACCGTTGGATTCCCATGCAGATGGTCCTATGGTCATTCGTCGCCATTTCGCAATGCGCTCTAACTGGACGTGGCTCCTTTTTACTGACCAGAAGCTTACTCGGGTTGCTTGAGGTAATATGCTCTGATTTAAATATTCTTTGGGCCGTCGATCTAATTTATCAAAAGGGGGGTTTCATACCCGACCTGGTGTTATGGCTATCGTATTTCTATACATCACGTGAATTACCAATAAGACTCAGTTACTTCTGGGCGTCGTGTAAGCTTCAAATTATTAATAACCCTCTACTGAAACTGATATTGAAGAGTCACTAACTTGATCCATGCAGTATCAATCACAGGAATTGCTACTTCTTTACTAGCCTTTGGGCTGCTACATCTCAGGGGCTTGCTGGGTTGGGAAGGCTGGCGATGGCTATTTTTGCTTGAAGGATGTATAACTTTATGTATAGGAATAGCGTCGTTCTTCATGATGCCCGCATCCGCAGTGCAGACCAAGACGTGGTTCCGCCCGAAGGGTTGGTTCTCGGATCGAGAAGAGGCGATTGTCGTGAACCGGGTGCTTCGCGATGACCCTTCTAAAGGGGACATGCATAATCGACAGGCATTAACGCCCAGGAAGTTATGGGAAGCTTTAAAAGACTACGACTTATGGCCCCTATACGCCATTGGCTTCTGCGCTTACGTACCGCAATCGCCCCCGAAAACCTATTTCACCCTTACGCTTCGGTCGCTCGGATTCAGCACATTCAACACCAACCTCCTGACCATCCCGGCGGTAAGATTAACAGTCTTGGCGCCCCTGAACGGTCTCTGCTAACTTCAATGAGGACATAATACATATTTTTAACCTCATTCTAGTCACCAGGGTGTCTGAATGGTTGAACGAACGATCATTGGTGGCTATTTTGCAACCTCTTTGGACCCTGCCCTGCATTTTTGCTTTAAGATTCTGGGGAGGGCTGATTGAAGATAAATGGGGCACATACGCAATCATGATGGTTCTTCTCTCCTATCCATATTGCCGTACGTATTCCCTACTAGGTTCTACATAGTGTTTGCTACTAGCTAATGCCTTACTAGATGCAATATTGGTAGGTTGGTGTTCCAAGAATTCTAATAATGTCGGCACGCGTACGGTTTCGGCGGCCCTATATAACGTAAGTCTTACTTCCAATTCTACAGATATAGCAAGCTAATAACCCACCAGATGAGCGTTCAAGCCAGCAATGTATACGCTTCCTATATATATCGCGACGACGACAAGCCTCGATACCGTCGTGGTAATTCGACATTACTTATGATCAATTTAGTTTCCATTCTTGCTTTCTTGTTAACAAAGCTTTATTATATCTGGCGAAACAAGCAAAAGGAACGCGTATGGAACTCTTTAAGCGAAGAACAGCAAGTTGAATACAGGAAGACAACCAAGTTACAGGGTTCTAGAAGGCTTGATTTTAGATTCGCTCACTGATGAGAAGAAGACTCATTCGAGAGTCCGCACTGCCTTTATCAAGTAGAGGCACATGTAAACAGCATTCAAAGACCGAGATAGACACCTTAGGTACCTAGGTACGCTTAAGTATTATACCCCCCTGATCTAAAAGGCATCATACTCAATAGCTGATTAGGTACTCTATATTATCACAGGCCCAGACCTCCTAAGTGGGCTTACTACCTCATATAGGGATATCTATCTAGTATATGTACCATAGGACGAATTTACAATATTAGTCAACACCTTGTTACAATCACCCTCTGCACCTGTATATAACTGGCCGCACATAATACATGATAGTAATGATGGTTGTGATTGACATGGACATCGTTGACGTAAATTGTATCAAGGTACGTACGTACCTTGTTTGGTTTTTCCAACTGCCATGTTTTTGTCTCTGTATTAGTTCTTCGAAGCCTTGGCCCGCTAATGTCAGTGTAGTGTCTTTGTACCTCCTTCACACATTTGCAAGTGGGTTTGAACCTGTGCAGTGATGCATTAGTCTTGCGGATAGTTTGATACCAAACGATTACAGCTGTTGATACGAACACATACCTTGGGTAAGGTATGACACTCGTACTCAACGTACCTTGCGCAAGGTTTTATTCTCTGACAAACTGGGTAAGTAGGTACCTACTTACGTACCTAGGTAGAGAACCAGACTGCATCTTTTTTTTTCTATATAAATACTGAGCTCGAACATTGCCTATCTGAATTGCTATACCTTCAACTTGCAAGACTCACCATGCTATTTGCAAACCACTGTCATCAACCAACAAGTACAGTCCTGCTATAAGACTGATAGAACAATCTTGTTCGCAAGCCTTGACCTATAACCTGAAAATCCTCGCATCGTTTAGAAACTACACAATCTCTAAGGATTCTTCCCCGGCTCCTAATAGCCCATCATGGACAGCCTTCCAACAGAGATCGTACACCACATCTGCTCGTTTCTGGACCTTGGTAGTGTTCGGCAGTTCCGTCTTGTCTGCAAGGGCTTCTCAACAATCGGAGCACAATACCTTTGCGTTGGTGTACGATACTCGGCATGGGACCCCATCCAGAAATTAATGACTCTCTCGAGTCGACCTCATATTGCCAGAGGCGTACGGAAGATACGGTATTCTCAGCTTCCGGCTTTCCTATCGAGACTACTGGCGGGGAATTTCTTTGCGCGTTTGGCGAACCCGCCAATGCCTCAGATAGGTCATGATCCCCATCCAAGCTCTTTTTTAGGCTATGAGTATAATTACTTATACTTCTTGCATCTACTTCCCCGGTTTCCAAGGCTTCGACTTATTGTTCTAGATATCACCGAACCCATAAGCGATTTTGTAAGGGAACGGCCCGTTGGATTCTACTTCGAGAATCTCCCTATAGTCACACCCGCGAGCCAACCCCTAAGAATGCTGTTACAGGCACTCGCGGATAGAGGATCTAGCTTGGACGGCCTAGCAGTTAATTTCCTCGATTGGGGATTTTTCGACTCGAGTGATGCCGAACTCATGCCGTTGTTTAAACCCATTATCAACCTCAAGTATCTGGAGCTTGTATTTAGCAACATATATCAGCCCTGGTCCCTTCATCAGGGAAGGGTAATTCGCCGATGCGACGAAATCTTAAAAGCCGGCGCGATCCGAGAACGCCTCGCCATCTTTACTGAACTACGCACATTAAATCTTGATTTCGCTAGGTTTTTCAATAATCACGAACCTCATTCATCTGGCACGTCACTAGGTAATATAATCCCCCAAGGCTTTACCTGGTCATATTTGCATAGTCTTAGACTATGCCGGATATTCACGGATATAAAGCAGGGACAACAGTGTTGGGATACGTGGTATTGGACTCAGGATGTTTGGACAAGAACCAATAGGTATTTCGTGCGGGATGAGAAGGCTTCGAATATGGATGTTTGCCCTCTCCAGGAAATTGCCTATACCGAAGCGTAGCAAGTATTTTGCTCAGATATCGCATAACCACGATGTGTAGATGAAGTGGAGCTCGCATCGCAGATATAATCTAGGGAGACAGGCATTAATTAAGAAGCGAACCCCCCAGACCCCGAATCCGATCTGCATTGACGTGTGACGTGCATCTCTGTTCCTAGCACGCGCCACATTGCATGCATTAACACGTGGATTTATAGTCCATGTTCAGTAAGGTATGTTATTATAATACTAGCTATAGGTAATCCGTATATTTAGAACGCTTGACTTATTCAAGACTATAGATCTATACTTCTATCTGGTTGTTGTTCTTATTTAAATACCACGACGAATGGCGTCATGTTAATATTCGATAAAATCAATGTGAACAATAAACGTATTAAACAGGCAGGTAGTATATTTTATTAAAGATGCCTACCTAAGATAAGTACTTAGATTGGATGTAGATTTTGTAAAGATGTACGTACATAATTAACGTAAACGAGCAATAGATTGATACGGCTAACTAGTTGTTTCGGTCTCTCCCTTACGTGCAGTTCGCTGTTTAATATACATACAAATGTCTTGGATTATGTAATGATATTTTAGACCTTTAGAAAATATTACCTAGGAGACGGGCATATGTAGTAGGTAACAAAGGTATGCTATTAATGAAGAAGCGGGATGACGTTGAGGCTCATGAAATGTAGGTACCTACCTAAGGTACCTGAAATGCAAGTAGGGGAATGTCAAATCGAAGATCGGGTTCGGGTTCATGGTTCATCGCTATGTAATGCCAGCCTAAACCCAGCCTAAACCCGATTGACAATGAGTGTGCAGCTTGCAGAGCGCTAGGTCAAGCTTGCGCGGGATAAAGACTGCACTAACCTAAATAGGATGCTGTATCATACGTTCATTGGCTGTCGCAAAAACTCGTAACTTGATAAGTCCAACCATATCGGCCAACAGGATTGGCGAATAATTGGCGAATAATTGGCGAATACTTTGTCGCTGTAGCAACAGACCGCAGCTCTTGTCAACAGAGAGCTATGTCAACCCCGGCGATTTTATCTGCAACTTAGAACACTATCTACAACATTTCACTTTATTCATTCCCTACCTCTCTACCTTATCTTGCATAGCAAGATCATTCATCCTAGAACACTATCCACTTTGAGTTGAGTTGTTGTAGAAGACAACAGCTTCCAAAAACACACCTTCAAAAAACACATCTTCAAAACCGCTTTCTAGCTTCACTAAGACTACCTACCTAACTCAGACCACACAGACCACTAAGCGAGACCATCGTCTCTCGTATTATATTGTCTATTGTCTATCCATCTGCCTGAATAAGGGCGGCACTTACACGCATCTAGTTTTCGTCTGCCAAGTTTGCTTGCTGCTGCTGAGGACAACCTAAGAGCTTAATTGCCCGGCCAGACTGGCTTGCGCTGCGTGAGGTGAGTTCTCTGTTGATTCCCATTGAAATTTCTTCGTGAGACCTCACAAGATGACTCGGGAACCCGATGACTGACGGATAGATGCAGTTTCGGAACCAACTGATAGCCAATTCGGCAAACCAGGATCTATCGACAACCGGCCCATTTCCGAGCTCGACTCTCATCACGATGCTGTCCAATCCGGTTCATGGCGGTCTTCACGCCCGGCACCGACAACATCGACGACAAAACTCGACTCCCACAGGATACGAAACAATGAAGATCGCAACAAACCTGTCCAACATGCATCATCATCAACAACAACAACAACACCAGAACCAGCAACGATCACGCATGTCCCACCGCAGGGGCATGAGTCTGGATATTCGGCGACAACAACCACAGCAACAGATGCAGTCCCCGACGATACCAATACGACAGGAATATTCAACGGTAAGTAACCCTACTAACAATACAGGATCAATCACATCACAGCATGTGCTGCGAGAAGCGCAGCAGCAACGCATGGCTCGCCCGGGCTCCCAGCAAGCATACGCGAACTTGGCAAGCGACGACAGCTATCTAATATCCCCTCACGGGACACCAAGGGCACAAAATTTTGAAGGACAAGGGTTTGAGGGTCTTTCAAGCCAACATGATATGCAAATCAATCTTGACATGTATAATGGACCTATGAATGTCATTATTAAAAAGAACCAGGAGAGTTTCTCCAGTAATATGACAGCATCTCAGGACTTCGACCAGTTCCCAAGCGCTTTATCCACACCTACGCTCATGAGCTTCCAGGATAGCCCAACGGGAGGTCCTGGATGGATCTCTGAGGGAGAAACTTCCAGTACCAGAAGAAGCTCCACCCGTCGTATTAGCAATGGGATTATGGATAGAGTTTCAAAATTTGAGAACTTAGGAAGCGAGGTTCCGAGACCTTTGACGCCTCCCCGTCAGGATGCTACAGGTGAGCATACTCTATGAGTTAGGAGAGAAGCAAGAGACTAACCTAGAGGAGACTACTTCCCACTCACGCCAATAGATACACCTCATGACAGGACCATAAAGCATGGTCAACCACCGCAAAGGTTCTCGGAGGGTTACGACGAATCAATGGAGGAAACCGTGAAACCCACAAGGCAATCCGCAAATGGACGGTCACGGACGACTTTCGATGAGATGCGGCAAGCAGCTGAAGCTCAAGTCCCTATGCCATTGCCAAACCGATCCAACACAATGCCTCTATTAGAGACATTCAATCCCCCATCAGACCCGATGGCGGAGTTTTTGGACATGGGCCGTATAAATGGCAACGGCCTCAGAGTTGACACTGCTTTTGACGAGCTTCCCATGCCTTCACATCCCATCGGCGCCAATTCAGATATTTCAGGGCATACGACTCCCATCACGCCCCAACTGGGCGAATTCAATGGTTCCTTTGAGTACAAGCCTAATATGCAACACCCCAACTTAGGATCCGATGCGTTCAACAGCGAAGATGGATATTCAATAGAAGCATCTTCCCGCCGAGGGACCCCGCTCCATCGTCGAAACGAGTCAATGGCTAGCATTGCAAGTGCTGCGAGTATCGCCAGTATCGACATCGAGAAGACCAAAATGTCGACAGGAATCACACTCGAAGACATCCACCAATATATCCAAGGGCCCGATCCTAGAGACAACAAATGGACCTGCACCTTCGAAGACTGCAATAAGAAATTCGGTCGGAAGGAAAATATCAAGTCTCACGTACAGACCCATCTCAACGACCGCCAGTACAGATGTCCAACATGTAATAAATGCTTCGTTCGACAACACGACCTCAAACGGCACGCAAAGATACACACAGGCATAAAGCCATATCCTTGCGAGTGTGGCAACAGCTTTGCGCGTCATGATGCACTCACCCGTCACAAACAACGCGGTATGTGCATAGGCGCGTTCGAGGGCGTGACGAGAAAAGTAGTAAAGCGTGGGCGTCCGCGAAAGCACCGACCAGATATGAACGAGCGGAAGGAAAAGTCAGTTCGAACCCTCAAGAAGAATATGTCGACATCGTCGATGTCGTCGCAGTCCGGATACTCGGACACCTCCGCAGGCAATTCTCCCGAATACGTCGACCCGGATTTCGACGTGCTAGATGGAATTATGGACGTGTCAATGGGGGGGACGACGATGAACCCAAACTCTCTCCAGAACCCAAGTTCATCATCCGCGCCAATGCCCAGCCTCGGTAACGATGCGCCGGTGAGCGTGCACTCGCCGTCGGCGGCTAGTGTGCATTCATACGTCTCGCAACTATCCCACATCTCGCTCCGCCAAGAACTACTGCCAGAAGCGATATCGTCGCGGCCAGGATCTCCGGCGAAGAGCGTCGCTAGCCAGTTTAACGAACTCCCAGAGCTGTCTCGCTCGTCGTCTCCGCCGTCCGGCAGCCGGTATTTTGATGTCGAGCCGCATTCGAGCGGTACGGAGATTACGATTAGTTCTAGCGTCGAGACATGCAGCATTCCAAGCTTTCCCGGGATAAGCGAGGCTGACGACGATATGCTGCTCCAATTCACTAATAACGACACGGGCATGCTCATGCTCAGCTCTGATAGCAAGTTTGACGAGGCGTTCGACAGCGTCGATATGTTTACCAATAATGACGATTTATTCTTCGGCAGCAGCTAAGACAGTTTATCTTTTCATATTTCACTCGAAACGAAGCGAAGCGGGACATATTAGAAGGGCATACTATAATAAAAAGCATTTTGGGGGTTTATACGTTTATACGTTTATACGTTTGTACTTGACCTCGGAGCGTAATTGCGAGCTCCCTTATTTTCCCCCTTTCCCCCTTTTTCCTTCTGAGATTCGGCCAAGAAGTCATGTACGATAATGTGGAATTACGAGAGACAGGATCGCGGTGCAAAGGGATTTTCCCCAATGGCGGATATCGGATGGGATGTTTTTGGGCGTTTTAGCGCCGACGCGGGTGGCCGTCTTTTTTATTTTCTGGTCTGTTTAATTTGGCGGGCGGTACTTGAGAGTTTCTATAGGATGAAAAATATTATTTGGGGTGTAGTCGATCTCGTTTGGATAGTAGATCACTGGATGATAATGAGATGAGGTCTTATTTCGGTGCTAAGTATTTGTGTACCTAGGTACCTATCCATGTTTTGTGAATATGATGTGATGCCTATGATATTGCGTGCCTTAGGAGGTAGTAGGTCAGGTTAGGTACCTAGGTGTAGGTACCTAGGTGTAGGTACCTAGGTGTAGGTACCTAGGTGTAGGTACCATTGATGCTGTGTGCTAGGTACATACATCCCAGCCCCGTAGCTTTTAGGTAGGTTAGGTTAGGTATTGTACCTTTGATGGTATAAGATAAAAAGATTGGTCAAAAACTGTAGCCAGTCTAGCCAGTCGGCAGCATCCGCTAGGTAGCACTAGCTCCACTTTTGCATGTCTCCAACCGTCTCTACGGCAAACAGGCAACGTGAATAATACCTAACCTTTCTCAAGATTACCTAAATAAGATGAAAGACACACCATCTTCGTTGAACCCGTTTTTATCTATGTTAATGTTTATACCCAACCAAGCTCGTCTACTACTATAACAGCAAGAGGTGACATCTGGTCTCCCAGGTCAAACTTACAAACACAAACTGCCATCAGAATACCACCATATTGAAACTCTCTAATACAGGTTACTCACGTCAGGTTCCTCACGTCAGGTTCCTCACGTAGGAAGTCTTACGGAAGCTTTACCTCGTCTATCTGCAGGACTACTTACCAACATGTTCATCCCGGCCACTATCCCATACTTTACTCAGTTCTACCCCATTGGCAATACTCCCGCCGTCAGCTTGACGAGAGGCTTGCCCCAGGGGGTAGATGCTGATATTCTTCTTCTTGGATGTGGCGACGTCCGCAATATTCTGTTCACAGCATACTCCGAACGAGGATTCCGTAAGTACCCCTATTACTCTCATCTGGTCTTTCCTGTCTCTATGACGGGGTATACTCAACCTTTCGTGCCGAGCGGAAGTTATCTGTAGAGTCTTTCAGCATACTATCATCTGCCATCGATGTTATTGACATTCGAGTAGCAGCAAGAAAGCTTGACATTACGTGTTGCGATGTTGAAACTGCAATAATAGGTAAGCAGAGCATATCCCGGCTAGATATCCTTATACTGAACTATTCCAGCACGGAATGTACTTCTCTTTACCCTCCTCGTCGACGGTATCAGTGCCAAGGTCGTATGGGATATATATTTCCATTTTTACATCGATGAAAACTCCAAAAAGCTCATCAAGGATCAAGCACAAAAGATAGTATCATTGTCAGGCAGTATAGATCAATGGGGCGAAGGGCGTTATGGCTCGATGCTGAAGTTCTGCGATGCAAACTCACTTCAAGAAGTCAGGCAGGTCTGGATGAAGTACGCGTCAACTCAATCCAAGTCTAAAACTAGCTTCGAGAAAGACCTTGAGAATACTCGAAAGCTATTTAGGCTTACAAGCGGCCAATCTGATGGTCGGCCCGAGCTCATTCTAACCGGGCTCAGATCCGCGGCCCCATTATCAATAGCGTCAAAGGAGGGGATTTTAGAGGCCAGAGGGCGCTTCTGGAAGCATGGTAGTCTTTCCGAACACCCAGGAACAGTTCCCAATCCGCTATTCTCTGAGTCCGTGTCTGCAAACACGTATCTTCATTATGGCACAGATCCCACTCTTGGATTCCATCTCGCAACCGCGAAAGCGAATCTAGCGCCGGGGTCCCCGCTTCGTCCCGAAAGAGACGACGGCGAGAGTCTCAACGTTATTGCCGCAGCGAAGACTCAGTTCCGTGAGTGGGTAGCGGCATTCCGAGAGGTACCGGAAGGGAGCATAACTCTTAGATTCACCGTATCGGATGCCTTATCCTTTAGCCACGCCCTGCAGACCATTTCAACTTCAAGAGGCAGACCAACATGTCTCTTTCGCCGACAACTTGATATAACCCCAATTGAATTCGATCCTAAAGCTTACGCCACTCCCGGATTAGCACCAACCAAATTCGACGTAATTGATACCTCGAATCTTGCCGACCATCTCGGCACACTAAATCTATTAGTAGCAGCCGCGCCTCTGTTGAAGACATCAGCGAGCTCAACCCTATGGATAGAGAAGTTGATCAAAACAGAAAAGACGCGAAGGCAGCAATTTGACGCTCTACTGCCCGGGCATGCCCCGACGATATCCATGCTTCTTGGCCTAATCCCAGTCGACTTTTGGACTAATGCTACATCCGTTTCGTGCGTAGATGAAATCTTGTTGAACATTCTAGGCACATCAACTGGAGCCCAGCAGGCGCATTCAAGATTGGCTTGGAAATTGAGCACATCTTTCTCGCAATTACCCAGCGATCTTGAGGCTTTATATGTTGAGCCGCATGCGCTGGCTAGTGCGGTATTTCAAGTTTATATACAAATGTTCGAACTTGAGGACCCCACGCCACTTCTAAAAGTAAATCGCGAAGAGTTAGCAAGGAAACTTCTAAGCCAAGGATATCCACTATTCCATAGAGGCAGTTTCGTGCTGTTCATGAAATATATCCAAGCAAATACTTCTACCACTTGGCCGTCCTTCTGGGAGCGCTTGTTACAGATGATAGACCAGGATAACCTAGACAAGAGAACCATACGAAGTCTCTATCGTCAGGAATTGAGTGCTCAACTGCATATCCAAGGCCTATATACCGAAGAATGGGTGAGAGAAGAAATAAGATCGATACCAAGCGTGGGCAGCTTCCACGCATGGGACAATATACCAAAAGTGGTTTGCGTCACAGTAGTGGTGCCGAGAAAACATATTGACAGATTATATAGCACTGAAGAGAGCAAGCTTAACGCACCAACGCTCGAGGGTATACTCAAGTCGAGCAATCCAATGGGTTGGGAGAACTTCTTTGCTAGTGTGCACGCCGTATTTGGACAAGTTGAAACATCAGGACGCCGCGAGGATGAGAATTTCTCGATAACAATCCATCAGGACCCTCTGGGTTGGCAGGGAAAGTCTCCTCTAGTAGCTTCCTTTTACGTGCCATCTGCTGGCCTTCAGGTTGAACCAAGAGATACTCGAGTTGGTCTCCGCGTCCAAAACACATCCATGGATATTCGCACTTTCAAGCACCTTTTACCCACCATGGTCTTACACGCGACAATAGTCACTGATACTTCTAGCGTCTTTGTCACGAAATACGAACCGGGAATGACAGGTTACCCCTTGGCAGGTAGCTACAAGAATCCTATAGTTAAGAGCGCCGTCCAAACGGATACACTTCCACCTACCCGAATTGCCGCGAACTTTGAAAATAATATAATCAAGTCCTTATGTAACCATGTCGATTTTTCTTCGCAAAAGGCTCGCAAACTCTTAGCAGAACGCGTCCCTGTAGAATTGCAACAATCGTCACCATTCTCGATAGATATTGTATTCGGCGAGAACCTCTTGGTCCATGCCGCGTCATTCCCAGCTCCAGTTCTCAAGGAAACCGCCAAGACACGTATCGCACGCACGTCTGGTTACATCGAAGTCATTGCACCCCTAGCAGATCCCTTGGCTTCGGGGGCGCTATCGTCTTTCATCTACCCCATCACTCTCGGGGAAAATTCCATGCCCATACCACTCAATAGTCAACAAGTCAACCTAGACTCTTTGCCGATCCTCAATGTGGATCAAGTTCACCAAAAGGAAAATCGGTGGCTAAACGCACTTACGTCTCACCAGTTTTCTGTTCGTGAGCGAAGATTGCGAGACTCAACCGAGCCAGCTTCACTGCGTATGAACTTCAAAGAGTCGCTCTTTTCCATTTTTATGTTAGCTTCGGGGCTTCAAGGTGGAAATACCGGGCTCTTCGCACTCCAGCACCCCGTAGATGGAAACCAAGTCCTTATCTTCATCCGCGCCATACGGATCAATGGCGCAGAGGGGTCCGTGGTGGCAGACGCGGCAGCAATCCCTATCACCAGGCAGCTAATTGACTCCGGAGAAATCGAGACGTTCCTTTATATACTTCGCGAACTACAGATATGCGCCATCAAAGTCAACGACGAAGAGCTCGTGCTCTGGAAAGAAGTCCTCCCTGCATTCGCCGAGCGGTGTCGCACGTGGAGTCACGGTCCTAAATGCGAATACAAAAAGTCTCGTGCCACGATCCCGCTTAGCACGGAGATGGGGAAGCAATTCATGTGCAGCTGCGGAAACGGCAAGCTACCCGAGGGGTTTATAAGCCTGCCAGACTGGGACAGCACAGCATCTAAGTATGCAACCCGCGTAGCAATCAGCCCGACCTTCTCGGTACCTTTTATTGAGGATATTGTGGACCTAGATTTACTTAATGCCCAAGGAAGCCTTGAGCGCTTGCACATGGACAAGTGTCGCAACTGCAACGCGACGGAAGCCAAGAATGGGGGGAATCTCTTGAAATGCTCAAGATGCAAGGAGGTCATGTACTGCTCGTCAGAATGTCAGCGCAAGGATTGGAAGAAGCATCGGATGGAGTGTAAGGCTTATGATGTGTCGTAGTTGAGTTGGCCATAATGCACTTACAGACGGGATCTTGCAGAATATGATGAGAAATTGTCAATAATACAACGCGACGGTTCCCATGGCTTGTCGAGAGGTTAGCTGAATTACGAACATTAGACACTCAGCCCTATGGTACACTTTCTACCTTGGAATAATATCAACGCCGTCTATACGAGGTTCTCCAACCCATGTGCCTCGGCTAACGAGGGTCTGCACTGGACCTCAAGGCCGCTACCCAGGCGGACCATATTCTTCCTTCTTCTAGGACGGCTTTTACGCATCTATATTAACGTCGCGCCTACGTATATGACTTAGATTACTGACAACTCCATATTTGAGGTCCAATAATGCCGCCGCGCGTTTTCCGCGTGTTGTAAGGCACATCGGTTACCGGTAACGAGCGCTCATAATCTATAAGTTAACCAGAATCCCTAACAAAGTCAATGCCGAAGATATGTCTCCATTTTTGATTAACAATCGTGCCTCTGCCGCTATCGACGTGGTTCGAGAATATGCGCCATGTTGGGGGTTACCGCGTTATCGTATGATAGCCACGCGTTCGAGGTCGCCTCCTTCGCTTAATAAGATAGTAGTTATGATAGACAAATCATAGATTTGAGGTCATGATTGGGGTTGTGCCAATCGCATAGTAAGGTTCATAAGTCGTCGCTTAATTCTAGGCCACCTGCAAAACATATACCCAAAAGGTATGGAGGGATTAGAATAGCAGCACGCCAAGCAGATGCGCCAGACCAAGTTTTGGTACCAGGTAAGCGGCATCTAGCCTCATCATGTGGCTTTGAATCCTACCAAAGACACGAGGTATCAAGCACATCCCTATTTAGCCTAAACCTCTCGCAGCTTCTCGTGGGCCTATGTTCCCGAGGTTAACGTATAACACGACAGTGAGACCCGGGTACAAGACTGTATACATACACCCGGTTAGTCCTCCAGCGCCAATGCCGGGCATATGCCAAGACCAGAGCCGCCGGGTTATCATCAGTAGTACAACCTACACTGCGATGAAATATCGATTGATATTATGTCTCCAAGGTAGCCTCCAAATGAGACTCTAGACGGACCTCATATGATGAACAATGATGGTTATCGGGCCATTTCACGATGGCTTTGAACGATATCGTTTTTGCCAGTGGCTCGGTAAATCTTGAAGCTGCCCGTGAAGTTCTGGCCCCTATTTTCGATATGTAAAGAGCACTTCTCGTGGATGGTTATGCCTAACCGAGCAATATACATAGGCCGCTATGGCCGTAATGTTATTATAAGGTTTGCTGAGATATTTCGTGAGGTGTGCTGCGGTATAGTGCGTACTGACAGATGTTCGAAATCATGAAGCCGAGTCTTTCTTCCATTGTTGCGGGCGTATTTCTTTCCGGAGCTATCGCGCTCAAGCCGAAGGCTCTCCTTTCGGACTCTATTCAACTCACCCAAGAAGATATCGGGGACTTCTCTGCCATAGATTTTGGTGATGAGACTACAGCTTCGCTGGACGATAGCAGCGTCGACGGCTGTAAAGTCTTCCCGGGCGATAGCGACTGGCCATCTGTCGCAGAGTGGGCTCGGTTGAATAGGACTCTTGGGGGTGCTCTGCTGAGACCAACACCTGCAGCTGCCGCTTGCTACCAAGGACCCGACTATGATTTGGAAAGGTGCACGTACTTATTTATGAATGCGTCCCTTTCGCACTTCTGGATTGACGAGCCACTTGTTTCATTGACAGAATGGTCGCAAGGTGGTACTTGCGCGCTCGCCTTGGACCCCCAGGGGAACTGTACACGTGGAGGATTCCCCGAATACGTTGTCAATGCCACGAACGTGAAGCATATCCAAGCAGCAGTCAACTTTGCCAGGAACAAGCGCATCCGGCTAGTAATTAAGTAAGATGAGCCCGCTTATCTATAGACCGTTAATACTTTCAAAGGATGAGGACTCCTAACAGCATGAAAACAGAAATACAGGACATGATTTTGGTGGCAGGTCAGTGGGGGCAGGATCCCTCAGTATCTGGACACATCATCTCAAGGCCATGGAATTCATCCCTTGGTATAAACTTGGGCCTTATTGGGGAAAGGCTGCTCAATTCGGAGCCGGCGTTGAGTCGTGGGAGGAACGGAACCTCATGGCGGCCTACGGCATAACTGTAGTCGCGCCCGGCTGGGTCACGGTAGGAGGAATCGGCGGCTGGATGAGCTCGGGGGGGCACACGACGATCACCTCTAAATTCGGTCTCGGGGCCGATCAAGTACTTTCTCTTGGTGTCGTAACTGCTTCCGGCCGATTCGTAACAGCTGATCCGTATACTAACCCCGATCTTTTCTTTGCATTACGCGGCGGCGGCGGAGGTACGAATCTGCGTTTCATAGTTTCTTGTGATAAGCCTCTCCTGGATTATTATTAACGGGTACAATAGGAACCTATGGGGTAGTGACTTCGGCTATCTTAAAAGCGCATCCGCCAGTTTACTTGACGTCGACGTCGTTAAGTCTCACCCTTTTGGAGCCAAGGAATATGACATCCCCTATTCCCGGCGTACTCACTGATGCCGAGAAGTTCTGGCAGGGGGTCAGCGCTTACTATAGATTCGCCGCCAAGATATTGGATGCTGGTGGTTACTGTTTCAGCTACATCTATCCCCTTCCGAACAACAGTTACAGTTTTGTAACCAGCTCGGACTTCACTGACGCCACGGCAGCGGCAGTCTACAAGTTCATGCAGCCATTATACGATGACCTGCACGGTCTTGGTATCAACGTCACTAACCCAGTGCTTCTCTTCACCAACCTCTACGGGCTGCCGAGTTTAGGAATCGGGTCCCCGCCAGGCAACACCAGATACAGGTCGCGGCTACTCCCGCGCGAGAACTGGGAGGACGACGAGCTATGGAACAAGACGATGAAGGCGATACGGACGGCCACGGAAGGGGGCTACGAGCGGGGCTACTACTTCCACGGGACGATGACCTCGCCGACGGAAGAAGTCGCAGGGTGGCCCGGCGCCGAAAACTCGGTCAACCCGGCGTGGCGCAAAAACCGCATGCACGCGATGCTGATGGACCAGACGCCGGACCAGTCGACGGAGCGCGACGCGATGATGCAGGGGTACACGGACCTGCTCCGCGAGGTATCGCCGGGCGCCGGGTCGTACATGAACGAAGGAGACCCGGGCGAGCCGAACTGGCAGCAGGCGTTCTACGGAAACCACTACGCGCGCCTGCTACGGATAAAGCAGCAGCGCGACCCGTGGGGGTTGTTCTGGGCGCCGACGACAGTCGGGAGCGAGGGCTGGGCGGTCCAGGCCGTGGGGTATGCCGGATCGCAGAATGGGAGGTTATGTCGCGTTGAGCAGGTGGGGGGTGGAAAGGAATCGTGACCCTTTGTATTTGCATAGGTACCTAGGTTAGGTAGTTACATACTGTTTTTTTATTGTTTTGTTTTATTACCAAGTTGATTGGAAGTGGTGGCACTACGTACAAGACAAGTCAAGTCAAGTCAAGTCATTTACCGTGCAGAGCCCTGATCTAACCCCTTAATCAGGGGTTACAATAAGTGGGGGGAGACAACAACATATCAAAATCACCAATTCCCAACTCGTGCGTAGGTAAATAGAATAACTTGTTATACGTAAGGTTGATTGAGTAGCAAGTTGAATCGACATGTTCCAGTATAGGTTAGAGAGATATCAAAAGGTGGAATAATACCTACCAAGATACCTGAGGTCTAATAAGTTTTAATAACCAAAGAGATCTAATATTGACTTTAGTGCAACTCCCGCCTACAATAACTTTCATCATTTTTATATGTGTTGCTAATAAAACTCAGATCGGCAAGTTGCAGTATTAGTAGTGGTTATCAACATTTCTACTGGTCATACCTTTTTCCAATTTAAGGTCAATCCTAAATCTTCTTTCGTTGACATGGCAAACCAGAACTCGGTTGAGAATAGGGATATCCAATATTCACTCAGAACAGAATTGAAAGATCTAGTCTTACGTATTTGGAGTGAACCAACCCGTTTCTTCAATTATCATTATATGACTGTTAATCGTATCCCATACCTCGGAGTTGTTGGTGCGTTATAGTATATGACTGGTGCTAGATCTGAAAGACCAAGTATTCAATACAGCTTCAATCATACCATGTGAACGAAACTAATTACATTAGGTACTTATATATACCATCAAATAAACAACTCACGAAGTAGTAGATGTTTAATCTACCAAGTAAATGTAACACCATTTTGTTCGGGGCCTCAGCCAAACACTTCCTTTGTGATTCAAGTCAACTCCATAGTGTAAAGCCCCCCCCCAAAGATGTAGTTGCGACCCAAAGCGCCCATAATCATTTATTTAATATTAGGCAAGTGATTGTACAGAATGAATGTCATTGTCGTAAAGATAGCCTACATCTATATATATCTTGCATCTAATCCTTCGATGGTAATGCCTACCACTCAAACACAACCCAATTCACCACCACCTTGCACCTTGAAGCATCTTCAGCCGGACAGTCCTATTCTTGAAAAGCTTCGAGAAACATCAATATCAGATTACGCAGCTTCTCTAGCAATCCTGCGGCTCATCTGTCTACCGCAGCCATGTTCAACGTTCTTAAGCTCGCCGTGCTCGCCCTCCTGGCAGCTCCCGCCGTCATGGCAAGCGACATTATCGTGCAGAACAACTGCAAATTCGACGTCTGGTGTGACGCAGCCAAGAACGACGGGTCCTCCAGCCCGTCAGTTAAGGTACACGCCGGCCGGCATTACAAGTCTCCACTCCCTGCCAACAACGACAACGTCGGCTCTGTCTTGAAGTGCACCAACGTAGCTGGTTCCAGGAAGGTATTTCAAGCCGAGCTGGCTGTGCAGCATGGTAGGTCGTGGTTTGACCTGTCGGCCATCGACGGTGACCCATTCCTCTCGCACCACCGTCATGCTGAGCTCGCGGGCCAGTGTGTTCTGGACTGCCCTCCCAAATCTACATCCTGCTATTACCCTGTTCAGGTCGACTGTGCTACCACAGAAAATGCCGTACTGACTCTTTGTTAGTTAGTAACGCCCGAGTCTTAGCAAGCAGGCCATGTTGCCATAGTAGATAAGAAATGGCGAGTTGTTTTCAATGTTTAAGCTGCTAAGTTTACTGCACTTGTGCTTACTGATAAAATCTTTATTTAGTTAAATTAACTGTTTATATCAAACTGTTTGTAATCTCGCCTAGTTATACGATTCATGTGATTGTAACTTGTACATACTTCTGAATACATAACTAGTTGATTGGTTAAACTTATAATCATTAACTGGACACATGAACATGAAATGACTACCTCTTCATATCTTAGTTCAATGTTACATAAACGGTTACAATTTTATTCTCATGTTGGATATGGTAAGTAATTGTACATTACCAGCTATTAGTTGCGCACTACATATTTGACCCACACTCCTCATGGCTCTTAATGATATAATGACTACAATTGGGATTCATTAAGAACTTCTTATCATTGGTTACTAACCCTATAACTATTGTTTTTTTTTTTTTTTTTTTTTTTTTGAAATATTTAAAGTCCGAGATATACAATGGGGTAAGTGACGAAATAGGGGCTAGCGCTTGTTTTTGCCTGTATCCTTTTTATAAATATTTTTGGACAATGATATAAGCCCAGGGCGTGAATGTACGATTGGCGCGCCACGATAAGACTTAGGACTTACGACCGACTCACGAATTTTATGTGAAAATGGTAGATCTTGGCGTAAAGTGAAGAAACCACTGGAAATTTGCACGAAATATAAGATGATTTAGGTGCACTGGCAGAAAACACTCCGGGATTAGATGGGGTATGGAATTGGCCAGCTAACAAGAGAATGGATTCATCATATATCGTTCGTTTGACGTTGTGTTATGTCGGCTAGTTCAGATGCTTGCTTTACACGCGATTAGGTAGATTCAGATCATTCCCTTGAGATTTGGGTCCAGTGCTCCTGCGGCTGCGGCATAGGAAAATCCCCGCGTTTAAAAGGATTAAATTGGTGGCCGTCCTATTTTAGGATCCGAGTTATTCTGAATGTAGAAGCTCTGGAGTTGGACACGCTAAATTTGGTTATAAATTTGGTTATATGGCGAAAAAGGAGGATGCTGTTGTGAAACGACCTTTTCGGTTTCTATTGTTGTTTCTATTGTTGTTTAAGAGGTAGACTCGTCAATATAGGTAACGTAACCTAGTCACGAAGATGGAAGCTCAGTTTAGGATGGATGGTCGATTGAACGAAGGAATAGGTAGTCAGTGGTTGTTGGTGAATAGGTTCGAATGTATCCAAATTCTAGGATCCAACCTACATGTACCTAGGTTAAAATATTTAATATTTTCAAAACATGGAGAATGTTGCGCAAATGCAAATGCTCAGCCTCACTCGTGCATTATGCAAGTCATAGGGCCGAAATCTGGACTCTGGACGAGGAAATTCTTTTTTATCGGGTTGACAATAACGAGCTTTGACGAATCTGTGTATATGTGGATAGGTATAAAATATGAAATCTCTTTCTTTCGTATCTCTTGTTGGAATTGCATGGATAAGCAATTAGTTTTCAGTCAGTACGAAGTGCCGAGAGTGATGAGTTGGTCGGATAGCTTGGCTGTGGAAGCATTCGAAATAATTTGTTCTTCTTGTGCTGCCAGGCTGCCAGGCTGCCTGGTTACTCTTTAATGGTTTGACCGTCTGTTGCCGTGTGTTTCTTGTTTCGGGGTTGGCTTGGCAAATTCGCTACTTTACCTTGCTTGGCTGCTTGGCTCTCGTGTCTTGCCATCTTCCTATGCAGCGTGCATAAAAAGGTTACGTCGCAATGTCAATCTGTAGATCAAGACTTAACAAAGTAGCATTAATACCGTAGAGTCGAAATAAATGAAGTAAATGTACTCGTAGTTAATTCAAGGTCGAGACTGATTATTGGATTGGGAGAATTGAAGTGACGACAATGCACGCGATACTGGATCTTATTAGGAGGTAATCCGTAATCTGTAATCCGTAATCCAAAGTAATGAGTTAAGTAATGGGTGGCGAAGGCTTATCGGGAAGTTACTATGTGGAAGTTACTATGTATGTGGAAGCAAACACCTTGGGCTGGGTTTGTAACACCTTACTGTAGCAACTATTAACTATTGATGCTATGCACTTCATATACCGATGCGATGCATATCATGTACGTGCGTAATTGAGTTTCACAACGTGTAGCGCCACATACACTACCTAACCTATAATACACAATTAAGCGAACGAAGTACATAGGGTAAGCATCAGGAACAGTAATTTGTCTTGGAATATCCGCGCACTTTCCATAAATCCATAAACCAGCTTAAAGCTTATGAACGCATAAAGCCGACCATAAGTGCAAGACGGTGCGTGTATGGATAATTCATAAGCCCATAAAAGGCATAGTCTTCTCCTTTTCTATCATTATGCAGACCAATAAAACAAAACATGTGGGGAAATACGTAGGTACATAGTACAAAAACGTTCCCGGGAAAGTTTCAGGGGTTAAGTGACAACTCAAGTACTAAAGTAGCTGAAGTACATACTACAGCTGAGTGGCTTGACACTACTGCAAGGGGTCTGGAGAAGCCCAATGGGAAAAGCGGATAAGTAGGGGGAAATAGTTGGTCAATTCGTCAATTGATTAGCCAGACAGGCAAATAAAAAGACGAAACTCTAAGGTGATAATAGAAAAAGGTTTAAAGGAAAAACGGTTGGAAAATAAAAAGGTATTTACAGGATTGGGCACATAAGAAGAAGGGATTAAATTGAAGATAATTGTGTAACTTGGAGCACGTAAGCGACGGATAAAAAATAGGGCACTGTGCAAGCATAGCTACTAAGCACGGTGCTGCAGCGTATTTACATACTTGGACAAATTTCCTCTTCTACCACCCCCCTTGTCCGATGTAATTTCCCATCCTCTCGCTTCACATTCTCCTTCTAGTAAAGAGCGCAAGGAGCCTGCCGCCTATCCAGCTATCCAAGTTTTGTTCCACTGTACATACATAACCCACCACCCACCGAGAGCTGCTGGCCGCGCCTGCCAGCTTTTTCTCAAGACCGCGCGATTGCTACCACACCTGGCTACACTGCATGCGACCACTAATGCAACCACTAACCAGTCACCAGCCAGTCAAAGCTGCCAGTCCCCCCAAGTGCAAGTACTATAATCAGGTACGTACATGTACATATTCTAAAATACATTAACCGTAGGTACATAACGTATGTACCCTTAGTAAAGTGGGTTCTGTTCCTGTGTGACTGGGGTCTATCCCGTTCTGGGTTCTTAGCCTCTGTTTCTCACAAACTCACCTCTGCATCCTCGTGTCTTTCTCCCTCTCCCTCTCTCCCTTTCCGACCCTACACCCCGACCTGCCTCTCCAAAGCAAAACAACCCCCATTCCCACACTCCCTAAGTTACTCAGGCCAGTCAGTCAGTCCACTCGTTTCCTCGTCCGATCTCGACGTGTCTCTCATTTCTCATCTTCTGAATTCGTCGTTTTTGTTCCCTTTCCTCACCTTTACACCGCACCTTCATAGGTCCTTTTCGCCAGGTCATCGTGACATTGACCTCTTCAACCAACACAGAAAAGAGGGTGAGTAGAACTGCCACGCGACACTTCCCTTCGCCTTTCTCGATTCTATCACGTTGCCGAATACACCTCCGTTATCCCGAGAACAGATACTTTGTTCCCTATCATTCAACATTTCACTGAACTTCCTAAGGACTTGCTAAAGGAGATTGAGGCGCTACTTAATAAATAAGGGATTCTAACAAAAGCTATTGATTTAGTCGGCTATTGTTTTATACGTTCTTTTCACCTGTTCAATTGGTTTTGCTACCGCCGAAAGACCACAAAGAACAACGTACAAATCAATTGCAACCCGACGTCACTGCCACGAATACTGTAATCAAAAGATTCGCTATCTCCATCTACATGATCTGGACGACTTCGTTGCCATCCAGGCTTGTATACAAGTATTAACCGACGAAGATCGAGATACAGTACGAAATACGACAAGGACATTATCGGCTCCCCCCCCTCCCTAGAGGAGATTGAATCCAACCTACATTAGATTTTCATCCTCTCCAGTCGTTGATCGGGTTGAGAGAATTAAGATTTTGGCAACTTAACATCGTCGTTAATAATTTTCGACATCATGTCACTTCGTCAAATTGCCGTCGCGGCTATTATGGCCCTAGGTCCTCTTGCCGATGCGAAGAACTTACAGTCGCCGGCAACATCCCCGATACCAGGGACAGATACCGTCCACGGATGTTATAAATCCTTGGGAACGTTGCAGCACGAGCAAACGATCGCATTCAACACGCAGGGTGCATGTAACAACCTATGCCGCCAGAAGGGTAACCTCGTTGCTGCTACCAATACGGAAGAGTGTTACTGCGGCGACGAATATCCTAACTCGGGCGACCTAGTTGATGATTCTCAATGTACAGAGCCATGTCCCGGGTTCGATTCGCAAGCATGTATGTGCTATTAATGATCTTGCAATTAAGTATGGTACTAATTTGTCGATAGGCGGTGGTCTTGACACTTACACGGTTTACAATACTGGAAAGAAGGTATCAGTTGGTGAGGCACCGGCCTCCAGTTCTTCCAGTTCAACTCCATCGAAGACTAGTACAAGCGCTTCAGACGCTCCAGCCACCACTTCTGGTATGTGTCTATTCACCATTCCTCGTCGGATCATGAACTTGTGCTAATTTGTGTTATAGATGCTACCGAGACCGTAACGGCCTCTAGTGAGCCCGAGTCGGGCTCCGGAACCAATGTAGCCGGTATTGCAGCTGGTGTTGTGGTTGGTGTTGTTGCGATAACTGCTTTTGGCGGTGCAGTTTTCTTCTGGTTGCGGCGAAAGAGAAACGCCGAGATTGAAGAAGAACACCGACGGAATGCTGCTATCAATACGTTCATTAGTGGCGGAAAGCCTCCCAGTAGCAGCGGCGGTGTTTCGATGACCGACTCTCGTCTCGACCCTGTTATGAACAGACGAATGAGCGACGGTAGCATCGCCGACAACCAAGATTACTCGCGAAGAATTCTAAGGGTATGAGCTTTTGTCGGCTCTAAAGTAGTAACGCGGGCTAACTTATTTTTCCAGGTTACCAATGCTTGAACCCATCGCAGATATCACGATGAACGACTTCCGCTTGTAACACTTTTTATTCACATCGGCATCAACGGCGTTTCATGGTGGCCATTCGTCATTGGATGATCGATCAGACTAGACGATCCCTGGCGTTATTTGTATTGAGGTGTAAGGAATAACATATTGGGTGGTTACAATATAGGGCGATACTCCTCGGCCTTGCTACTACCGACGAAAATTTCCTACGCCGTCCTCTCCTTTTTCTTTTGCACGTTGTTGACTGGCCGTGTCACAATTTGCAGTTTGACATTAACTTCGGAATTTCTCGCGAGATCTATTAGGGCCCAGGCCCAGGCCCAGGCCCAAAGGGAAGATAGGCTGCATTCGTCATAGGGCGATATGCATTTTGGGTGCTGTGCTACGCGAGATAGTTAATTAAAAAAATGAAGCCGGAGGTCTAGCGGCGGCCCAGGGGAATTTTGAGCGGATGTGACCGCCCTGTGCGCGAAGCGTTTTGATAGAGGATTAAGCATTAGTGATCATTGAGAGGACTTTGCTGTATATTATTCAGATAGTCCAAATGACTATGCATTTGCTCGTGGACTTTGGTATATACGCGTGTATTGTAGTTCTGTTTGTATATGTTACTTTGTAAGTTTTTCTAATGAGTTTTTCTAATGACGTTTATTAAGATTGGTTATAGGATCTCGTGAAACACTGTTTGGTATATAATTAACTTAGGGGTTGTGGATGTCATGCTATTAGTAGTATTACGTCGAATCCGGGGTGGTGGTCAACATTAGTTTTTACCTAAACTCCATACCTATACCCCATGTTTGGTCAGTCACACGTAACTGCTATCAGCAGTTTAAGTCAGATGGGTTTTCGGCGATCTATCCGCTGGGTATGTTTGAGAGGCAGCCGGCTGGCAATGTCGATCAACTTGGCTAAGCGCGAATGATGCTGGTGATCGTCAATTCTGAAACCGGGCGAATGAATATCTGAGAGGGGGTCGTCTTTTCGGTTATTGCTTCATGGTATTCTTCGTGTCGGCAGAATGGCAGAATAATTATGTATTTAGTTAGGTATCTCAATGTGACTTTGTTTATGTCATGTTTGTAAGTGATGTAATGTACCTAGGTAGGTAAGTGTTACATAATGTTGCTTAGGTCATTCCATAGGTATTGGTACCTAATTGATGTTAGGTACGGTACCCAAGTACATTGTCTGTATGGAACAGGTAGGTACATGAAGCTTAGTCAGTACAGCTAAAAGTCACGTGGTCCCGGGTTTTTCGAGCTGTCCATAGCTTCGTCGCGTTAGTCAATTTATCCAAATCGCGACTTCAATTCCAACAACCGCAATCGTCCTGACAACATCTGCTTGTCTACATACCTTAGGTACCTAGTTTCCGACATCACGTCTTATTCTTAATTTAATTAATCAAAGATCCCTTATGACGTGATGAAACTCTAGGTGGGTATCAACCTGGGCCTACTGAAATATCCGGTTCCCTGTTGTCCTGCCTCTCAACAAACTTGAACTCTTTGGAAATAACTACCTTTGAAGCTCTGTTCGCCATTATCATGGCCCCGACCACAGTGCCTCGTGTCCGCCGGACTGCGCAGAACACTCAGTATACGTACATCTCCCCAATAAGGCCCACATCCCTTTCTCTATCTAACTTTGGCTTCTTAGGTATACCCTTACCCGTCGCATCCATGCTGTTCAGACCTACCCTGTTCTCTCGCCCCAGGGCGCGACCATCTTAATTTATGGCCACGAGAGTGGAATCACAATAATATGGCGTGGAGGACGGCGATTTAAACCCCAAGTGTCTAAAGAAGCTGAGCGTGGCCCTACAACTAAGCAGAATGGCAAACCCCCTGCAGATGCCGTTATGATCATTGATTCTGACGAGGAAGATACTGCGCCCCCCGGGAAGGGAGGATCGTTCGTTGATACGCCGCAGTTCGAAGAATCGCTCGATGAAGACGCGCCATACCCCGAAATTATTCAAACCCTTGACCTAGAATTCGGCACTGCCGTCTTTCATCTTGCGGCATTGCCCTTAACACCTTGCATAGCAGAAGATGCTGCATGGGGAGGTACGGATATCTTAAAGGATAGGATGGTGTTCGCTTCCTCGTGTGCGACTCGCGAGGTCTTCCTCGTTACCTTGCCCCTTGTTCCACCATCTCCCCTAAGCAAAGCCCGAGCCGAGCTACAAGAGACTCTCCTAGCCGGAAAGGCTGGCAATGGCAAATGGGGTGAGACGATGACACTGCTAGCCGGTCAAATAAAAGGCAGCGATTCCTTGGCGATGACGCTCATTAGACCGAAGACCGTATCGGAACGTAGCAAGTCGAGCGAACGGTCGCGTTCAGAGTCTAGTGCGCTACCTCGCGTCGTAGTAGCCGCCCACTCCCCCGAGGCTTCTGGCGCCCTACGACTATGGGACGTGCCCCTTGAGGATTCATATAAAACAGGTCGACGGGTCGAGCCGTTCCAAACTGAATTTCTACCTAAACCCCTTGTTTCTATCTCCTTCAACCCTACTCACTCAACCCAACTTCTATGTAATGCGTCGCCTGAAGCCGTTAGGATATACGACTATGCGCTTGCCTCGATGCCCCCTGACGATCTATCCGAGGGACCATTCCCTTCGCAAGGCTCTTGGCTCATTTCGTTCTATCCACCCTTTGCCCGACCCTCTTCGTCGCGGAAACCGATACTTGCGGCTTCGTGGATTGCCCATGGTCGTGCTATTCTCGTTCTTCTTGCGGATGGCCAATGGGGCATTTGGGATATCGATGGTGTTTCCCCTCAAGGACCTGCTTTGTTTGGCAAGCCCGGTTCTGGTATTCGCGGTGATGCATTGACAGAATTCAACGTCTCTGGATATGTCGAAGGCACAAGCCCTCTACGAAACCCTGCCTCCCAACGGGGCTCGAGCGGTAGTTCTGATTTCGTACCTATGACTCCTCATTCTAGACGTGATGCCCTCACAACTTCCCATGGACCTGAACGTTTTGCACCAGTTAGGGGAGGCATTACGGTGACACCGCTACCAGCCAGTACAACTACGACAGCTGACGAGAGCGTTGCCTTGTGGATCGGAGGTGCTGAACACATTTTCGTCATACCCGGTGTTCTTAAGTTCTGGGATGCACAAATTCGCAAGGGTGCTGGTGGTGGCGTCAACCTCTTTAGTGGAGCGCAACCAACCCGTATGGTACGATTAAACGATTTGAGCGTTGGACTAATGGGCGAACGCTGCACCGGTGTTGGTGCCATCGTCCGCTTTGTCGAGAATGGCGGCGCAAGCCTATCTGGAAACGAAGGCTTACCCGTCGAATTATTAGTATGTGGCGAGGGAAGACTTGTGATTGTTAGGGAGAGCGAGACGGTTGTCGGCACTAAGATTGGCGGAGTCATCGGTCGTCGGAAGAGACCAAGCGATCGCGTAAAGGAGAACAGCGCCATCGTTGTCTATCCTCGCCCACAACAGCCGGGTAGTGTTACCTACAACCTCTCCGTCGGTCCTAGAAGGAAGCTCTCGAAACTTGGGATGGAGGGTCTATTTGGTGAATCGCCTTCGAACGATACTACTGCGCAAGCCCAAACGGAACAAAGGTCTTTACAATTGCCAACAAGGCCAAGAGGTGGATTCGCCTTCGCAGACAGCTTGAATGCTGCAGCCGACGTCGAGCAACAGGAAACGGAAGCCGAAAGAGATGTCGAGGTGGAAATGCTGGATATAATGGAAATCGACCGCGAATTGGATGCTCTTGATAACGGACGAGGCCGAGGCCGTAAGAAGGTTATCTTTGACTCATAAGTCCAAACATTCCATATCGACTAACGCGTCCTACACCGGTACTACTAAAAGGGGGTTGGATTTAGATATGATGTGCGATACCCCCCGCTGACGCCCGGGAGTTTGTTTACCGGGAGGTTAGGAATGTCATTCTTCATGGAAGGTAGTAAATCAGGAGCATTACTCAAGGTCCCCATTCTGTCATCATATTTGATCTATGAGAAGTTCGCTAAACGTGATCTAGATTTTGACAGTCCCTCGTCTTTGTCATCTTTTTTTGTTTTGTCTATTATTCTATTACGTTGCCACTAGTTCTGTCTTGACATTACCCCGTATTTTTTATTTTCATTCATTAAACCCCTTTTCTTTTCCGCGCGGCAAGGTGGAGCACAAGGCGAGAACCTTCCTTGAAGCTCTGTAATCCATGCGGTACATTGAACGGGACACTCTGCCCCAGTGTCCCAAGCGCCATTATCTTTTTACACATGGCGCGCGCCGACGGTTCCAGGAGGGAACATTTGGGAGGGGGCTCGGGTTGGTTCGGATTTCTATGCGAATTGACCGTTTGCCCTCCCGCCCTTAGACGGCCCTGCTATCTGTTCTACGCGATGCGCGAAAACGGGGGGCTGAGATGAGGGTGGGAGACGGGATCGTCGGTACATATTATATCTTATATTATATCTTATACGTGGGCTATCTTTGCGAGTGGGGATGATTGAGGATTTCGGATTTCTCTTGACCACCTTATGGCTGTTATAAGTATTGCCGCTGTATAGGCACCTATTTGTCATCAAGTGGTGGCCTACGTGACTGTATGCTCTGACAATTTGGATCCGCTACTGACAGTACCTGTTCGGATCAACTACCTGTTATCGTTTCTGTGAAATGAGTTCAAGTTTGAGTAGCGTGAGATGAATTGCAGATGGTGGTACCATAGACTTCATATCGGTATATCCCATCTACGAACCAGTATTATGTTGCGTTACTACATACAGTTGATCTCACAAATTCCCTCGTCACCCGCACGGTTTGTTCATATTGCATTCTACATGGGACACCGTATATTTCCCCCATGCTCAACACTTAGCTATCTAATATAACAGCCTATATCGTACACACCTCCCAACATCTAGAAAGCTAAGCAAATAAATAGCTATTCTCCCCAAAGCTCCAATCTGGTATCAATCTTTCCGCTCCTTCTAACTCTCCCCTCCCGATGCTCGCCCACTATAATGCTGTATAAGAAAAATCCTAGATATGCAATTTGTCTCGACTTTTTTTAGTTTCTTTTTCCAAGCCAAATATGCACGACGTACCCATGCTTATGCAAATGTCTGTCTATGTACAGTCTAGTTCCGGTGGTAAGCGAACGTAGCCAATATCCCTTGCTCCTAACTTGATACGGTATATACAGAGCTGCTAGCTCTCGAGAAATCACGGCGATTGTCTTTGCTGTTGCAGGATCCCCAGCCCGACGTTGGAAGTAGTGGCTGTTTCCTTCAAGTTTCCTTTCCTACCTCTTCTACTCAGCCTATGAGGGCTGAACCTGGACAATGTTCGGGAAGGGCTTGGGTATATGGACGGGCTATTGCCGTTGCCACTACCGGCCTTAGCCCTAGCGCTGCTCGTTACAGGAGCAGACGACGTCTCTCCCTCCTGTTGTGGTGACCCAAACTCCACAACTCTACCGTCTACCAGTCGAATCCCACCTGAACCAGACCGCGACATTGGCTCAGCATCCTTAGGCGAGTCTGGATCCGGGCTTAGACTTATTCTGGAGATCCTAGTTAAACTACTTAGTCGGCCACTTGCCGACCTATGACGACGGCTATCACTTCCCCTTCTCTTCGGCTTGAATCGTGAAAGCAAACTCGGAGAATTCGAGGAATGAGACAATCCTCCCGACGCGGTGCGTTTACGACCTCGAGCCGATTCGCTGTAGAGAGAGTAGCTAGTAATCACGGGTTCGAGCTCGAGCCCGTCTAGTCGCGGGCTGGGCTCTGTCTCTACTACGCTTGGGCGGCGCGAGCGAGGCCTCTGCATCACTTGAGATTCCAGCGATGAGCTATGCGCTAATGGAGATGTGGTATGATTTAGGGAATTACTCGAGCCGTGGCTGTGGCTTGACTGGTGGCTCGTATCGCGCGACATAGGCTGACTAGAATATCCTTGCGGGTGCAAATTGGGGGACATGGCCGACGCCACCCATGGTGGTGGATGCTCCGATACGGGGAAACCCTCCGGTGGATTGTGCACCGTATGAGGATACGGTAGGCTTGGAGGGGTTCGGATTGAAGGGAACGACTGAGATAATGGTGGATACTCATTATCTTCAACGATAGAACGTTGGGGGAGTCGAGTAGAAGAGCCCCATTGACGAAGATTAGGAGCAGGTGGAGAGCGTAGGCTGCTGCTAGAGTTGACTTCGATTGGAATTGGTGGCGGGGAAAAGGGGCCTGTAGGATGGGACGGGCTGGATCGTGCAGACCTTGATAAACCCACCGAGGATGGCCTTGAAGCTCGCAAGGAGGGAGAATATGAAGGTGGCGTCGAGGGAGGTCTTGAGGGCGGTCGCGAAGATGGTTTCGGCACGCGGGTCGTCTTGTCACCTTCTGGTAACGAAGTTGTCTGTGTGACCGGAGGGCTTGGCACTGGAGGTGATGTGATAGTGAGTGGCGTTGCGGCTAAAGGACTGGAGATCTTGACCGGAGCGAGTCCGTCCAGTGATACAGAACGATCATTCTCTCTGCGTTTCAGGATCGAGGTGGCGGCATTATTTGGCGACGGAGCTGGGCTCGAGAACGTTACGGATACGGGATAATCATCATCGACTGCGGTCTCGGCTTTGGCATCGGCGTATGATGGCTTCCCAGCTATCAGCCTTGGACGTGCGACTGAAGTTATATCACTAACTGATTCAATGTTGTCTTCGGTGCTTCTCTGTTGCGAAGAAGGCGATCCCTTATTAATGCGATCAAGAGTTAATTGCGCTTTGGTGGCATCCGACGAAATGCTATCTGTGGAGGAGCGTGGTCTAGATATCTGCTGAAGTGTTGTTGCGTTTATTATGCCTTTCGCTGTCTCACGGCTGATGCTGACACGTGGATCACTTAGTATCTGAGAAGCAGCTCTCCAAGAGCCAGCGTGGTCACGATAACGCCGCTCAGCGTGCCTTTTGATGGTTCGATGATGAGGACCAAAGACCCTACGTGTAACTTCATCATCGTCCGGCATAGACATCGACTCAAAAACCTCCGTTGGCGCTGGCTGTGGCGTTACTGTTCTTGAATAGTCTACATCGTCGTATATCGCGCCATGTGGGTAATTGACATGCCAATGGTAAGGGTTATAGTCGGTGGCGCTGTATATCGCTGGTGATTCCAATGGCGATAACGGCGAGGTCTCATCATATAAGATGTAAGGCTCGACTATGCTATTGTTGCTTGGAGGTGTTAACGTGTCTTCCTCAGATAAGCTGTTGGTCCGCTCAAATACAGAGACGACTATTGGTTCGGAACCCTGACTAGAAGCATCTGTGATCCTTTTAGTGAGCTCATCGATTCTCTTGTCGATGGTGCCTAAACGCGATTCGACAAATTCCCGGCACTGCGCGAGATCGGGATGCCTTTTTTCAAATCGACTGATGTGAGCTAGTAATCGCTCGCCGTGGATGCGAAGCCTTCGGAAGTCTTCAGGCACTCCTGTCTGGGGGTCATCGGTAGCCCGGCGGTCGCTCACGTCGAACGCTTTACAGAAGATACATATTGCTCGTTCCAACCAGAACGGCGCTTGTTTCTCTTCTGCAAGCGCATCGATGAAAAATGCCTGAACGATTCCGTGAACTCTTAGTATATCGAGGCTGTCTTGGCCCATATCGACGCTGCGGGTACTATGCGAGCTAGCTGACGAGGCTTCAGTGTTCTCATTTCTTTCAACAAGAGCGAAGGCAATAAGTATCTTGAATGTGTTATTCAACGAAGACCTCCGAGTTTCGGGATCTGCGGTTTTAACCGGGGTTCTCTTGTCCAGCGCTTTTGCACCTGGAACGACAGTTAGTAGGGAACAACTTGACCTGGGAAAATCATGACTGCATACCTAGTACTATCATCTCGACAGGAATGTGCGTGCCGAAGAAAGATAATAGAGACATCAAGTTTAACGCAGCGGTAGCGCCTCTGTGCTCAAGCTGCTCACGGACCGCCCGGTACGCAAGGAGATTACCGACCTTCGGGCGACTTCGGAACGACCTTAGATACTTCGCAAGAGGCTCTCTAGTAGCCTTTAGCTGCAGTGCTGCGACGTGGATCATGAGAGGTAAACGGTCCATTAGTTCAACCAGCTCCTCGGCACGTCTTAAGTCATCCTGCGTATATGGCTGCCTTTTGCCCATCTCCTCGAAGAGTAGCTCCTGGGCTTCTTGCTTCGTCAGTGCGTCCAGCGCAATGACTTGAGGATTATCAAATTGGTAGTCTTCGCCCGTTGTTCGCTCTGTTGATGTGTAGATTATACCGGTATTTCTCGTGAAGGGAATATAATGTTGAAGGCCTACGAGGTCAAAGTGGATGCCATCTAAGATAAGTAGCCAGTTGTCATTAACGCTCAACCATGTGTGAACAGCCTTAACCATCTTGCCGGTATCAATGAGTCCACTCCTGTCTAGAAGACTCATCTCGTTCAATCCCACCGTCTTTGCTATGTCCCAGAAACCGTAGTCCAGTTCCTCGAGGGATTTTGCCCTGATCCAAAAGATACCACCGGGATAGTCGTATCTATGTTGGAAAACATACTGCCGTGCTAAATGGGTCTTACCACCACCAGGCATGCTTTGAATCAGAACGGACGAAGTACCGATTGATCTTCTCTTGCGATCCATTAGCATTTTATGGAGTAATCTCAATTCTTTGGCCCGACCCTTAAAATAAGTGTTAGGACGAAAGACTGTCGGCTTCACAAATAGGGGTTCTTGAGGGGGGTTATCATCAGATTTAGACTGTTGAGAAGGGAAATAATCTTCTTCCGATGGCTGATTGGGCGTCACTGGGCCGGTAATAAGCGGTCTAGGGTGGTGATCGATCTTCGAAAGGTCTGGGGTTGAAGGTAATATCTCATTTTGCTGCTGCGGAACTACAGAAATAAATAACAATCAGCTACGGCTTCTCGATCTTCGGTGTCTAACGCTTTCTCGTAAATAATGATCATCAACCTCCTCAATCTCGAAAGGAAGCTGAACATCTTCAAACAATGAGCTTCCCAAATACCGATCATGATACCGGTCTGAGCTACTTTCTAAAAAGGGTAGTGCTGGTAACCTACTGGATCCTTGACCAGCCTGCTGAAAACGCTGCGAGTCCAGCTAGTCGAGGTTAGATATGATTTCATTGTGATTAGTGTTTTGTTTCGGGAGGTAGCATACCCATGGCTTCATTCTCTCTTCTATTTCATGTTTGGCCCTTGCCAACTTCTCGTCCTCCTCTACTCTCCACCGCGTGGTGATGACGTCTGGCGCATCGGCAACCCAATCTCTAAGGGCAGTAGCTATAGTTCTATAGCCCGGTGCATTTTTGCTCTCGAATTTGCACATTCCCGAGTGAGTTGCCTCGATAGAGAAATACGTTACGCCCGGAAGTTGGGGACTAGCGGAATGAGCGTCAACTATTAGCATCCTAGTTCCCTTTAGATCCGACTTGTGATTCTCGTGTGCCATGAGAATTTTAAATCGTTGGTAGATATCAAGAAAATGAATATTGATATTTTGTAGGGTTTCATTATCCCTCTTCAGCGTCCTGAGAAGAACCGACTCCGACTGGAAGAAGGTCCTTGGGACTACGGCGTCCGACATTGCCTGTAACATCGTACCCCATACCGCTAAATCCGAGCCTGTATGCGGTGTACCAAGGAAGACGAGACCATACGTAGATACATATATCGATCTGTAGTCTTCATGCTGCGAAGATCTTAGGTCGTTCGAATATAAGAGCGCGCGCTTCACCAAGATTCCGCCCAAGCTGTGACACACCCAGATGATGGGATTCTGAGATGTTTGCTCATCCTTTCGATAGTGCGTGAGCGACGTTACTAGGGTTTGCGCATGCATGTAAATGAAGTTATCGCTTGGGTTTGACCCATGCTTCTTCGAGTATACATCGGCATTATATCCGTACACAAGGATATTCGCGCGGACATCCCTCAGAGAAGTCGGGAGCAAGTCGGTAGGCCAGAAGACATCATTCTTAGCCGTCCAAGTCTTTTGCGGATCACCGTTCAGGCCGTGGACGAGGACAATGTCGACCTTGGCGTCGGGATGGGTATACACTGCTGTCGTCTCGTAACGCGAGATTTGTTTATTGATCGAGCCCTGCGGGGAGTCTGGGATTAGCAAAACACTCATAATTGTAGATAGGAATGAAGCCGTCCGAGTCCTGAGGATTTGGTGTACTCCTAGAAGTCGTATTAGGAAGCATCGCCAAATACGAGCGATTACCATAATACCATAATATGACTCTGGAGTGAAGGATAACAGGTCTACGAAGAGCGGCTGGGACGATATACCAAGCCCCAGATGCGCCCAGGTACATTTCAAGCCGAGGGGTTTAAAAAGAGAGGAAAGGGGTTAAACATACCATGCTTGCTTGCAGGCAAGATGAGGACTCAAGCCAATATTATTACCTGTTTCGTGATGAGTGGGTGAGTGGGTGTATGTGTAAGATCCGTAACTGGAAGACGTGCTCCTCTACTTATAAAGGAGGGTCAGATTTCACTGCGATCAACGTCGCGCATGACATCAGTCGTCAATAATGACAGTACTGAGCACGGAATACAAGAAATCATTAGAGTCGGGGGATATATACGGTATACTTTGAAGAGTCATAGAGAAAGAGGCAGACGGGCAAGTATACTTCGGGACAGCCTGACCGGTGGCTACAAGACAATCCCCATACGGCCAAGTTTCTCTCCATGTGCTATTCCATGTACTATTCCATGTGCTATTAACACGACGTTGCCCTGCTTAAAGTCGACAAGGTCGGATGATTGAACAGTGCTAAGATTCGGTCGAGGCGGAATTTGAAAGTTGGTTGAACAGGTCACATCGTAGAGAGACACTAGGAAATAGAGGGTGTACAAAGTTGAAGGGAGGAAAAAAGAGGCAGCAGGATGTAGCAGGATGTAGCATCACGGGGCCTTGTTTCTAATGCCGTCAGCTGTTCGGTGTCTATGGAAAGTTGATGGGTGGTGTCCTCAGCCTGAGGCTCAGCAATATTTAGTTTTTAGTTTAGTCATATTCTACTATTTCCCCACACCACCTATACCTACTTTTAACTAGGTACCTGTTTCCTAGGTTAGGTAGGTAGGTAGGTAGGTTAGGTAGTTTCCTAAGTACATACATAGTTAAAAGTTAAGCGACCTTATCCTTGACCCAAGTTGCGACGAGTTGCCTTGTAAAGGTACCCGCAAATCCTATTTGCAAACGCTATAATAAGCTAGGTTAGAGCATGCAGTAAGACGGGTGGGCCGCATATACACAGGTAAGCAGGGGTCATTATCTGGGGGGGGGGGAAGCCACTGGCGGGGGGGCAATTGCAATTGGAGGGAGGCGGGATATGCACTAAGAAGGCGTTGTCGCAATTCGGCACTTCCATGTTTGTATGTAAGAATGGAGTAATGCGTACCTGCTTAAGTGGAATGCTTAGGTATGGACCGTAACTGGGAAAACCAATGTAAAATACCTAGGTACACGCATAAGCAAACGACCTAGGTTAGAGCCCTGTCAAATCTGATGCTAACCAGTTGACGTCAATTAGATCGTATTGATCCGTTGGCCGAGTCAACGAGATCCGAGACAACAGCCGGCGAAACTGTTGATTGGATGGATAAATCGCCTTCGTCACAGTCATGTTGGTAGAAGGATCCAACTTTGTTTGAATAATGGTTCCTCCTATCTGATGTTGCCTTGGCTGCTTGGGTATTAAAATACATGTGCGACAATCGACAACCAATAATCGTGCAGATGTCCCACCAGTACGGCGCTCGAACTAAAGCTTAAACTTTATTATAGACAGATGCTACATAATAAGCTTAGTGAATTTTACCCAACGGGCTAACGGGATCGTTAGCACTACATTATAGTTCTACTAGTTTTAATTCTAAACTCTCATCTGCATATTAAATCAAATATTGAAGCTCGGAGTATTAGTCAACTACCAAACTTGGCTATTAACTTACTATTTACACCATATTTACACCAAATATAGACATTTCACAAGAGCATCATCTCTACATTCGGAATTAGAGTGTTGTGTCTGGAAACAAAATTGATTACTTACCTCCTATGAATACCTCAGGGTTGTCTCGGGGTTGCATCACTCGCCCGAACAGTTTACTTGCACAAGAAAGGCATTTGGTTCAAAGTACATACATAGGTACGGCACGCTGCATGAGTGGCAGACGGCAGCTTGCCTTACGTCCCCTGGGTCGCCCTCCAGTAAGTATTCCAGTGTGCCTGGGCACTAGATCGCGATCACGAAATTAATTACGCGACTGGTAGGTTCCCAATATGACTTTTTGGTTGAAGTTCTATTCTTCTTTCACATGTAATACGACGAGTTTCACATGGGAAGTATCATGAGGTTGTATTATCTGGCGGTCTGGCCGCTACACGGGGATCGCTCCGCTGGATTCTTTATTATGGCTATTCTCCATCCTGTGGAACGTGGTTAGTTTCACTGGTGCTCGTATGCGGTTGTAATTCTACCAGCTACCATGTAAGGGGCTAGAGTCTATGTTGGGTAAGGAGGCGGTTAGAACAGGGCCAATCGATCATCATCACCATCATTAGTCCGTCACGGTCCCACCTGCCAGACACCCTCATGCTTTACCAGTTGGGGACACAGCCGATTCTTCGGCATAAGCTGTTGGTCCCTGAGTTCTGAGACATAATAGCACTTTTCGAAGTGAGGTATCACTATGAAATATCATTTCTATACCTCACAATATGCTATTCTAAGGCCGTCACCCGCATGATGAGACCGTCCCGTGATTGTTTAAAAATTTTCAACTTAAACAACCATCTCGTAAACTCGGTTAACGAATGATAAGACTGAGCAACTTCGACAGGGGCGGATTTGGTGTGTAACATCAATAAAGGGGTACTGCCTCACTAACCCATACCGACGATAGCCTCCTTGATCTTCTCCGAGAAAGTCAAGGCGACTCCGGATGGTTACATAAGCCCATTCTAGCATTCCTCCGAAGGCGGAGATATGATGGAAGAGAAAACCTACTAGATGTTTATTGCTTGATTTCTAAGCGCGGCTGCTCGAGGAAGATTCTGCGATTGCCTACATCATCGTGCGCCCCGGTCGAGGGACTTGGGCAACAGTTACACAGTGTAGCGTAACAACGATATACCACACTGAATTGGCACGCGAGGCTGTGCTCTTTGTTTGGATCCCTAAGGTTTAGTCCTTCGGAGCAAGCATTAGAACATACTCTCGTGTGCTCTGACCGAACTGGATCATATCCTTCTCTCTAAGTTCGAGATATCTGCTTTCGGGTACCTTCTTTCCGTTGAGCATGGTTCCATTGGCACTCTCCAGGTCGATTAAGTACGGCTTTACCTTGCCAACCTTGTCGCCGTACTCGTTGCGCTTTTCGATGTAGCGGAACTGTATGACAGCATGCTGTTTGCTGATACTCGGGTGCTCGGCAGGCAGGTCAACAACCGCCAACTCTCTACCAACTAACCAGCAGCTACGATTTCCGAGAGGGATTGTATCGACAATATCTTGGCCCTTGAAGACGAATAATTTCCACTGGTCCTTCGGAGAGGCCTTGCGGGCTTCGGGCGGTTCATGGTACTTGAGTACTATTTTGGAACCGTCTGTCTGAATGATGGAGTTTGAAGCAGCAGCCAATGCGCCTGTGTTCCCAAAGTTGGGCTTCTCCTTCGGTTTTGGTGGCTCCTCGCCTTGCGTAACAGCGAAAGAATCAGCCTGGGAAGGTAATGGACCGCTTCGCTTCACTATTTGTTTGGCACCTCTGTCTCGGCGATTGTAGTCGTTGTCCCGCGCCCGAGTGCGATGTGAGCCTTCATTATGCCTATCGTAATCGCGTGACCTTCGTCGCCTATTTTCGCCTCTACCGCGGTCACGGTCCGGAGAGGTCGATCTATGGCGAAGCGCATCATCGGGAGACCTGGAACGCCGGTGGCGTCTTGTATTTCTAGATCTATCACGAGACCTATGACTTCTTTGATTTTCGCGTCGGCGAGAATCGCTGTGGTGGCTAGTTCGGCTCTGCCTGTCGCGTTCGTAATCACCGTCGCCATCGCTTCGTGAGGCTCTTCGCTCGCCTAGGGGAGACTTGTCGTAACCCATATCGGAATGAATAGGTACCTAGGTAGGTAAGACGTAGGGCAATGGCTGGCTACTTAATCTGAGCTGAAAATGAATGAGGCGGACAAGTATAATTAAAGTTTTCGGTCATAGATTCGGAAATGCTTATGAGGCTGAAGTTTGCGCGCCTGAAGCTAACAGGGAGAAAGTTGACAGGGAGAAGGGAGAAAGCGACGTGAATCTTTTCTGCTTCAGAGGCCAATCACAGGTCCTTGATACTTGGGTACATGCAGTTATACAGATAGGTACTACCTACATACCTAACTATATACCTAATGTATATATGCATATAAAGTGTACACGAGTTACGTAAGTTCCTTTTCTTTACAATCCGTTTCTTGTCTTTGCAGCCTGCTGGTTTTATTTGCCTCTGTAAAAATGCTGAGATTGGCCTTCGTCATTAAAAATTACGCGTCACCTGTGGAAATCCACGAGTTAGCCTAAGTACCTACGTTAATATATTATGCTTGCGTGTTGCGTTGCAACAGGTTACTTTAGGTAGATAAATGTGTCATTAGGAGAATGCATCCCCAAAGCATAGCCACAATATAAGGTACCTAGGTATCTATTGCTGTTCTAGTCCCTCAGCTAATATTTATCCAGACCAATCATTTATTTTCAAGGTAGCATCTTCCTCATGGCGGTGCTCAAGGCACCGGTCATAACGAAAACGAAAACGATCAGAAAAGCAAAAATTGCGGAAACTACGATCCACGAAGGATAATAGAAGAGGATCGACTCCGCGCTGTGCAATGCAGGTCTCCCCTCTTAAGAATCCTTTTTCTTGAGCGAGGATTCTTCTTCCAAGGTAAGTATGAAGAAGAAAGGAAAAAGAAGCATTAGAAGTGGAGAGAGGCCCCAGATATTTATGGGCCTTCTTAGGCGGTGTCTAATTGTACATACAATACAATCAGCCCCAGCCGGCAGAATTCTTTTTAGGCGACCAATAAAAAAAGCCTTTGTATGTACGCTAAATTTAGTGCACTAACTAGAACGATTTTTTTCATTGAGTGACTAAGCGCCTTTGAACCAACTTAGCTGTCACTACGGGTGGACAATAGCTATTCTACCACTTATTAAGCTTACTTAATTTCTATATGATATCAAAAGTTGATGAAGTACCCAAGTTCGGTTTTCTAAACTGGTTCAGTCCATGGACAGGATCCACCCCGTCCATCGGTCATTGATAATTAATCTGTAAATACAATAAGCTATGCCTACGAAGATGCTCTTTTAATGCTTTCAACTCGTCGAACAAGGCAACATCAACTATAAAGTAATAACGTACGTATCCGGTTCTTATTAAGTCTAGACTATGTTGGCAAGGAGATTCAAGGGAAGATTAGCAGGAGGCTATAAGCAGTACAGTCTTCGATTCGTACTCGCCCAATGAGGAAGACTTTCGCGTAAAGCCGCATAAGTACGAATACCGTTGCGATAGCTAGGCAAAACGACGTCAATATGAAGCCGCCATCATTAAAATTTTATGGGTTTTTCAAGTTAGACTGTATTCCATCCGGAGGCTGTTTTGCAGATCTGTTCAAAAGGTTCTCCTGCTGAGCAGGCGTTAAGGAAAAGAAGAGTACATCTGCCATAATTTAGTTGGCTTTATTCGAAAGTAAATGTTGATTTAGAAGACAGAAACTGGTAGACATGTATAAGCGGAAGAAGTGGAATCGACCGGAGCATATAGGTCTTATACCCGATAGCGTGCCAATCTATCTGACCTGAATAACAATAGAGCCAGTCGTACCACCATACTACTATAGCTAAGACCTCAAGGCTCGTCATACTGTAGATGGGGGCCGTCCTCGTACGCCTATTACACGTATATCGAATATCGTGAAAGCTGAAATCTTCAATACCTCCACCAAGATAAGCTTAGATCCATAGGGTCTCTCAATGACTATCAGTGGCTTGTGGCGTTAGCTGTGCCTCATGTCGTGGGAGGGAACACTGTTATCCATTCCGGCGACGGTCCGTTGTTTGGCCTTTGAAAGACTTTAATTGGCTGTAGGGAAGGTGATGTTATCAGTGTAACATTTTCTTAATAACGAAATGGCGGATTTAAAACTATTCATCCAGGGAAACTTGCAGCTTCTACTGCGGTTGGTTTGAATAGGTAAGGGGTGTGTCAACTACCCATCTGAGCATACATATTGTCCTCTGTGAGCTGAAACACACGTGGGCGCTTCTCTATTAAATACCTAGGTATAATTAAGTCAAATCAATCCTAAGCATAATAGAAACTCCGCAGGCTGTTTACAGGCTAAAGAATGGGTGAATTATTTTGGGGTCATATCTTTCTGAGTAGAGGCAGTCATGAGGTACTGCTAGATAGTAATGACTATTATTCCTAGGAAATATAGATGAGCTTTTATCATTGATAGTAATATCTTCTTCCTAGGTCAACTAAGCCATTGATGTTCAAACCTCCTGTGTTGTTTGCCTCGTAACTTGTTTTCTATTCGCGTGGTCGGAATCAGATGCCTCTTCAACAGCGCCATCTTGCTTTTCTCTCCAGTCCAACCCCCATTCTAAGAGGTTTGGATATTTATCAACGTAAAATCGTATTCCTAGCATAGATACTATACTTCCTACGCAGAACGCTGCAGCTAACGGAAACCCAATCGGATAGGTAGGGGAGTCAGACACTCGCCACGCGCGAAGCGGGATTGTGGCGTGCCCAATATAGACCAGCGTAATGGCGATGGCCACGATGATCGACCGCGCCTCAGGTTCCTTCCTCAGTATCTCCGCAAGCCACGCGACGAGTGCGTAACCCCAAGCAGCCGTAGCAAAAGTGAGGAAATAGAAGGTCATGATTGTAGCATGCGAGTTAGGCCATCCGGCCAGAACAGATGTTGCTACTAGTTGTAAAGCAGCGGCACCACACGAGACTTGCCACCGCCAGCCTTTCCAATCACTTAGTGCATTTAGTGCAATGTTGCAGACGATCGAGATAGCGTAGCCACCGAGAGGAATGAGGTTCACCGTATAGGTTGAATATAATGGTTTCCCAGTTACGTCCGTAACATCTTTGAGATATAGGAGGAAGTATGAGTTGGCGCGTTGCGACCAGGCGAATTGAAGGTAGGCTGCGAGGAACATGTACGTAAGGGGGCTTTTCAGTAATGAGCGGAACTTTCGAACGAGAAGATCGAATGGGATTAGCTCTGAAGTTGTCACTCCGTGTTTAGAGAGTCTTATATATGCTAAATCTCGCTCGGAAGTGTTCAAGTAGAGAGCTCGAGTGATCTTAGGAGAGTCGGGGATGGCCAGAAATCCTATGGCTCCCCACACCATCGTCATAACGCCGGAGACGATGAACAGCCACTGCCAGCCCTCGAGACCATTCACTCCATTCAGGTTTTTATAGAGCGCGGCCTGTAGAATGCCTAGAAACATACTACCAGCCACACCACTGACACCAAATATGGCCAGTCGCTTGCCAAGCTCTTTCGGTGTATACCAGTTGAAGATTAGACTGACGAGGCCAGGCCAAGACGTTGACTCAAAAACACCCAGGAAGAACCTCAACCCAAAAATAGTTTTCGCATTTGGCGCCTTATATGTCGCCAAAGTGAGTGCACCCCAGATAATTTCACAGATTGGTAGAAAGATTGAGGGGCGAACTCGGGTCTGTATCATTTGAGCTGGAACGATAAAGAGCGCGTAGCCGATGGAGAAATAAGTGGTGAATTCGACTAGCTCATTTCCATAGAGCGAAAGCGATTCTTTCATGCCCGAGACATAGGCTTGCGTTGTTGCTGACTGGTCCATATCTTTCATTAAACCAGCGACGAAGGCCCAAGTCAACATGAAGACGTCAAGTTTGAAAACTACGACATGCTCTGGGTTCTTGAAATAAGGGTGTATCTTTCCGAGCCATGTTGGTGATGCAGTATGTAGCACATCGGCCTGATTGTCAGGGCTTGGCTTGCCCGTGTATTCACTTGACGGGGTTGATGCCATTAACTCAGTCATCCGGGGGTGTTGGAATTAGATGAAAAAGGAGAAACTATCAGTTGGTCACTGTCGGGGGCATTGATATTCTCAAGAGGACGAAGTCTCAAGACATGTCTAGGTACACTATTGGTAGCATGCTAATTATAAAGCTGTTTACTATTAGTATAGACCTGCTTAGAAAAAGCCAAGAACTTACCATAGGCCGGTTTATGATGACATTCAAGCTATAATCATGGCATTGAGAGTTGGCCTATTTAACACTAGTACAATACGGCCTATAAAATGAATAACTACCTAATATTATCTACCCAGCTTCAGTAATAGTATCTCGTAGTTATTGGAACCGTACGGTCGGTATTTGATCTCTCTAACCCAAGCCAAGATGCCGTCATCTACCATGCCGATGTCGTGATGAAAAGTTGACCTATCTAATCCATGTCGGGTCCGATTGATGACCCACCGGGATCTAGGTCTACTGTATCATGTCGGGAATGCAGAGACCGAGCATGGTTCTTTTAGAGAAACCCGGCCGGTGAACGGCGAGAACGGCATGTTCATAGAAAGCTTGGGCTCCGGTACAGACCCTGGAACTTTCACACATCTTCAATAGCCGGCGCTCCAGTAACCTTCAATTTCAAACGACATGCGAAGTCAGGAATAATTTATCAACATGTCATCTGACCCTCTGTATCCAGCTTACCTCCCAACCAGGCCAGATGGGTATATGCCTACCTTGGACGTTCCTCCATTTGAGGCGGATGAGCCGGGTAGCCGCGCGGACCCCCTGAAACCGGCCATTTTTAAAGCGAACGCGAAGATAACAAACATCACGCCGAGGTTAGGGACAGAGATCACCGGCGTCCAACTAAGCCAGCTTTCTCCAGCAGGGTTAGATGAAGTTGCTTTGCTGGCAGCCGAGAGAGGCGTCTTGGCTTTTGTGAGGCTCGAATTAGACACGTCGATAAAAGTATTACTAACATTTAAATGCAGAGGGATCAAGACTTTGCAGACATTGGATTCGAAAGACAACGAGACATTGTGAAGTATTACGGACCCTTGCATAAGCATCCTACGATGGGTTATCCTGCGGGAACAAGCCCAGAATTCCATGTAGTGTATGCGGATGAAACTGCGTAAGTGTGCGAAGTCTAGACAGATGCGGGATGGCTGGTACTAATGCGACCGCAGTGGTAATCTTAGAACACTTCTCGGCCCTCGCACAGCGTACGACTTATGGCACGTCGACCAGACATTCACGCCAAATGTGCCATCAACAACCTTTTTCTGGGTTCTTGAAATTCCAGAATCTGGTGGCGGCGACACGGCCTTCACATCCCTAACGGCAGCATATGAAGCATTGTCACCTACTTTTAGACAGCTTCTTGGAGGGTTAAGTCTCTATCACACGTCGGCTTCGGTTGGAGAAGTTGCTCGTATCGGGACGGAGCGTGCCTTGAAGGAGGCTGTCAACACGACGCATCCCTTGGTTATTAAACACCCTGTCACGGGTAAACCCTCGTTATTCGTAAATCCAACTATCGCTCGCAAGATCGAGGGGTTCTTACCGGAGGAGTCGGATAACCTCCTGAAGTTCCTACACGATCATATCAAAAGTCTCGATTTTAGCTGTAGGATCAAATGGGAAAGAAGAACTGTCGTGGTTTGGGATCAAAGAGCTGCAGCACATAGCGCGGTACCTGACTTTGCGGATGGAGAGAGACGGCATATGGTGCGGATGATACCTTACGGTTCTAAGCCCGAGCCGGCGTTTCCAGAACTGTTCAACGCTTTCGAAGAGAGGATACATGGGTGATTGTTTGCATGGTAAATGAACAGTAATTTTAAGGTATTAAATGTACTTACCTAGGTAGGTACCTGTGTTGAAATGGCAAGGCTCCGGTCCCGTCTGCGCTGTAAAAGCAAACAGATGTATTGCTGTACTTATTGTAAGCCACATGATTAGCATCCGGATGTGACAAGTCAGTTGAGAAATAAGCAGGCCACCATTATTACATGCGGGAAGCGTGCATATGTACTCAACGTGGCAAGCCAACGCTACGGTAGCCTGCATCAATAGGTTCCTCTGATAAGCAGGCTCTCTATATTGAGGGAAACCAAGTCGGGTTGCCTGAGAGAGGGGTGTTCCCCTTGATATCGAGCTCCAAGCTCCCCTCTTTGAACTAGAACCTTGCATACCTACCTAGGTACACTGAATAACTCCTACGTGAACAGCAGCGCCTCAATATGGCGCCCCAAGGAGCGGCTATGTCGCTTCAGTCTAAGGATCACAAGATATTGATGGATATTATTGATAAATTGAGATCAATGGGAATTAACCGATATGTCAATCTTCCCCAGATTGTCGTCTGCGGCGATCAGTCATCGGGTAAAAGTTCTGTTTTGCAGGCAATTTCGGGCATGTCTTTTCCGACCAAGGATAACCTCTGTACACGTTTCGCGACGGAACTGATCTTACGACATACTAATGAGCACATTGAAGAGAAATGTCGCGTGTCTATTTCTCCTGGTATCGATCGCTCGGCTGAAGAAAAGGAACGTCTTGAGAAGTTCCAATACTCCGAGATTCCCGACAACTTCAACTTCAATATTGGAGCCTTAGTGGATAAGGCCAAAGAAGTCATGGGAGTTGGTTCTGATCAGGGTAGAACTTTCTGTAAGGACGTCCTTCGTATCGAACTATCCGGTCCAACTCAGCCTCACTTGACAATCGTCGACCTCCCGGGACTTTTTCGTGCTGGTAATAGGGAGCAATCCGCTGAGGATGCTGCGATCGTACAATCGCTAGTGCTGTCGTACATGAAGAATCCACGGAGTATTATACTGGCTGTGGTTTCAGCTCAGGGCAACTTTGCTTTGCAGGATGTCACCCAGCACGCACGCGAGATTGATATTCGTGGTGAAAGGACCTTGGGGCTCATCACAAAACCGGACACGCTCGACGTCGGTTCGGCAAGTGAGCGTGACTACTTCGATTTGGCACAAAATAGGGACGTCAAGTTCCGGCTTGGATGGCACGTTATGAGAAACCGTGATTTCAAAAGCAGAGATGTCACGAATGAGGAGTGGGACCAAGCAGAGGCAGAGTTTTTCGGTCAAGGCGTCTGGGCTGGACTACCACGATCCCAGAAAGGGTCTGTAAGCCTACGTACTCGGCTGAGCGAGGTGCTAAAGGAACAAATACTTAAACAGCTATTTGAAGTTCTAGAAGAAATTTAAAGAGGGTTAACCGTTGGCTCCGCCTTTTGGTACATATCTATTTTGTAGCATACGAGATCAATATAATATAAATAATAGGAATAATTTTAATAAATAATTATAATTATAATGAACTGGTGTGGTGCCACATCGCCAAAAGCAAAGGTATTATTATGTAATCTTAGGTTATAAGCCATATAAAGGTTTAATATTTATTGTATTCTTTTAATTAAATAGCCACGATTATTATTATTTAATTATGCATTTAATATAAATATATTTATTATTTTTCTATATTTATAGCTTATAATCTTATTTTATATATTTATTTTATATATTTTATCCGATTAGTAAATCCTTATAATTCTTTTAAAGTATAATGTTATTATTAATTATTTAAAGCTTTTTACGAAAATTTAAACGTTGAAATGATATGTTATACTTTGTAAAAGATACCAACTCTTGTTTAATAATATTAATTTAATTAATTTAAAAGTAATATTTATTTATTAAGCTTTTTTTAAGTATTTTTACGGGTTTTTTTTTATAGTTTTTTTTTTAACGTAACATTATTTTTTATCGATATTAACTTTAATTCTCGTTTAATTTAAGTCGATTTAATTTTTAAAAGGTTAATAAATATTTTATTAAGTTTAAATAATATAAGCTAATGTTTATTAAATATTATATCGTTTAATCGTATTTATAATTTATTATTTTTAACCCGTTAATATTATATTATAACCGTTGATAAAAAAAATACCTTATTATTTAATGGTTGTGTAACATTGATATAAAAGTACTTTATTAATAATAAAGTACTTTTATCGTTAATAAAAAAAAAACAAAATATTTGATTTTATTAAGTAAAAAAATTAAATATCCATTATTATTAAAATATAAAAATATAATATACTTAATTAATTTTAAATAAATTTTTTTTTTTTAAATATTTTAATATATTAATTTTAATATTATTAATTTATTTATTATTATTTTATTATTATTATTATTATTTTTATTTATATATATATTTATTAATATTAATTAATATTATTAAATAATAATAATATAAATTAATAAAATTAAAAAAATTATTATTATTTTAATTTAAAAATTTTTATTATAATAATATAAATAATATTAATACCTTTTTTTATATTACTTTCATAATTTATAATAAATTATAATTTTATTTTTTTATATAATTTATTTACATTTTAAATAAATTATTGTAATTTAAATTCTTTATTTATAAAATTATCATTATTTATATCATTAATCTTTCTTATTATATCTTAAAAAATATAAGTAGAAAGTTTAACATAAACGTAGATTTATATTATATATAATTTTATTAAATAAAAAAATATAAATAAATTATATAAATTCTTAAATTATTTCTTTAATTAAATATTTATATTTAATATAATATTTAATTATATAATAATATAATAAAAAAAAATTAATTTCTAAATAGTTATATTTAAATAAAAAATAATATAAATATTTTTTATATTAATAGATTTTAAAATTATTAATAATAAAACATTATATATATGTTTAATTAAGAAAGTAATAATTAAGTATTAAAAATAATTTAAAAAATTTATAGTAAATAATTTTAAAATATTATTAAAATAATTACGATTGGTGTTATAAAGTGTATTAATATAAAAAGGTATTTATATAGGGAAATATAACGTTAATTATATAAAGATATTTATTAATTTTATATTATTATATAATTTATTTATATAAAATATTATTAAATTAAAGGTAATAAAAGTAAAGTAATTTAATATATTAATATAAAAAATTTCGGTTTATAAAACTAAAAAAAGATTGGTATATCCCGTTATATACGCGTTTATATAATTATAAATGTTAATATAATAATATTAGGTAATTTTTAATTTATAAATGTTAATGTATACAATTATATTTATAAAATAAACCTTAATATAAAATATTACGCCTTAAACCTTATTTCTTTTTAATTTATAATATATATTATTTATTTTATAATTAAAATAAATATTATTTTTTATTTTTAACCAATTATTATTAATTTTTAACGTTTTATTATTAATTTAATAATTAAAACTTATTTTTTAACCTTATAACCAACCATTGCTTTTAACATACCTTTTTTTTTCCCTTCCCTATATACTTAACCTTAACCCGTTATTATAAAATATATCAAATTATTTATAATAATTAATATAAATTTAATAAAATAATTAAGGTAATATTTAAATATTATCCAACCCTTTTCCCTTTTCTTTATTAACTTAATAAAAATTATCCGTACCTTTTATAAAATAATAAAAATATAATTTAAGATATAATTTTAAATATAAAATTAACTAGGTATAATCCCTTTTTTTAATTGTAAAAAATATATTTGAACCTTTTAAACCGTTATTAGATAGTTTATATATAATATTAACGGTTTTATTAAATATTAAATTAAATGGAAAAAATTAACTTATTGAAAATTACGATTTTTCTTCTTAAATAATTTTATCGTTTTTATAAGTATTTAATTTTTTTACCCAAACCTTTATACCCGTTAGTAATTAATAGGTTTAAACTTATTATAATATTCTCCCGGTATAAATTCTTAATAAAATATACTTTTTAATTATTATAGGTTATTTTAAAAAAATTTAAAATAATGAAAATAATTATATAAAGGAAGTATATAATATTTTTAAAAATAAATTTTGATTTTTTTTAAACGTATATTATACGATAAAAATTTAATAAATATAATTTTATACCATATTTTTTATTATTTTTATTAAAAAAATAATAATTTATTTTTTTTATAATATATTTAAATATTAATATTTTATAAATATATATATAATTATAAAATAATATTTTAATACGGAATAAAATAAGATATAATACCATTAAAATTAAATAGTTATTATTTTTTATAACATAAAAGTTAAAAAAAAATAAGGGTAAATTTAATATAAAGGTATTATAAGTTATATTTAATAAATTATTATTATATTAACGTATTTTTGGATTTGATTTTAAGGGAAAGTAGTAATTTATTATAAATATATATTATTTATTTTATTGTATTATTTTAAGAAATTAATTAATAAATTTTAAATATTTATTGAAATATTTAAGAATTTTAAAGGGATATATTAATTTATAATAAGTATTGATAGTAAAAATAGTAATAATAATAAGTATAATATTAGTTAATATTATATTAATTAAAAATATTATTATAATAATAAAAGTAATAAATATAATATTTATTAAAAAATGTTAAAATATTAAAAATATTATTATTAGGTATATAAAAAAAAAAATATTAATTAATTAAATATTTGGAAAAAAAACGTAAAAAGGTTAAAATTTAATAAAAGGTTAAGAAAAATTAGGTAAAAGAAAATTATGTAATTTTTTTAATTAAATACGAAGGTATTAAAAATTTTAACGTAAAAAAGTTTAAAGAATTTATTAAAAAAGAAAAAAAGCCAAAAAATTAATATATAATTATGGTTTATTTTTTAAATAAATTTTTTTAATATTAATTTAATTTATAAATGTTAATTTTTAAAAAATTTATTAATAAATTTAATATTAATATTATATTTATTTTTAATTAATATGTAAAAAATATATTTTAAAATATTATATTGGATATAGGAGTAATGTAAGTGTTAATTATAAGCAAAAATTAATATTAAGTTTTTATTAACGAAAATTTAAAATATTGTAATAATTTAAATATTAATTATGTTAGTAAAATTAATATATGTTTTAGAAATAGTTTATTTATTAAATTATTGGGAATTATGATAGTTAATATCTTATTTAGTAAAGTAAATTTTTATATAATAAAAATGAATATTTTGTTTTTTTTTATTAAAGATATAAATTGTTTAAAAGTATATTTTAATAATATTATTAATTAATTAATTAATAAAAATAGTGTAATAATTAAAATTATGCGAAAATGGGGATATTTATAGTTTTAATTTAATGATGTTATTTATTTTATAAAGGTAAAATTGTGTTGTTTGTATATATATTTTGGTTATTTATTTATTAGTAAGTTTTATAATTTATTTAATAAAGTAAAATATAAGGTAAATATTAAAAATTTTAAAAAAATTAATAAGTTTTATTATTATTGTTAGGTTAAAGATAAAGTATTTTAATGTTTTAAGTTTAATTTTAAGGATTTTGATATAAATTTTAATTATAAAATGATTATTGATATTATATATTTAAATAGGAAATTGGTTTTTTATGTAATTAATGTAATAATAAGGTTTTAAATAGCTTGATTTATAAAAAGTATTTTTGTTAAAGAAATTTGGGAAATGTTTAAATAATATTAAATTAATATATATTTGGGATTATTAGACGTTTTTAGTTATAATGCGGGTATTAATTTCGATAGTGTTAAATTTTATAATAAAATTTACCTTATAGAAATTATTTATAATTAAGTATTTATTAAAATATATTGGTTAATTGGTAAGGTAAAAAAATATTATAGTTTAATTTAGAAAATATATAAAATCATTTTTAAAGAAGTATAAGAGTTGAAAAAAATTTATTTATAAATAATAGTTAAAGTTATAAACGATATGGTAAATTTAAACAGTTTTATTTTTATTTTATTGGTTTTTAACGTTTATTTAAAAATTAATATAGATTTTTTTTTATGTAATTATAATTAGAAAGGATTTAAGCGGTATAAAAAGTTATAATTGAAATTAAAAAAGTCAAAATGTAAAAAACTATTTGCGACGTTATAAATATGCGAAATGGATTAAATATTTTAAAAATGTTGTTTATGTTATTATTTATTAATAATAACGTATTAGTTTATTGTAAAAAAGGCGGATGGGAAGGATTATATAAGGTTATTATTATTATAAATAAAGATGTAATTATTATATTAAACGCGTTAAAAGGTATTTTAATTTTTTGGAATATATATGTTAAGTTATATATATAGTTAAAAAAAAGTTTTAAAGTTTATTTATTGTTATTATTATCTTAGTTTAACCTTAATAAATATAAGGTTATATTTAATAAGGATTTAAATATATTTATTATGAATATAATATATATTAATATAAAGGAAAAAAATAATTATATCTTTGTTTTAAAATTATAATTAAATAGAAAAATAATTGTGTTAAGAAAGTTATATAAGATTTTTGATATAAAAGAATTTAATATTCTTTTTATAAATAATATTTTATAATTTAAAATGTATAATAAAATATTTTATTAAAATATAATTATATTTAAATTTTATATAATTTATAAAATTAAAGGAAAGAATATGTTAATATTATATAAAAAATTATAATTTGTGGTATAAAGTTATAAAAATCTTAATAAAAATTTTATTATAATATATATTCTAATAATTTAATATGTTAATTAATGTTTAATATTAATTTTAATATTTATATTATAATAATAAAGTATAAAGGTAATAATTTAAAATATTATTATGGCGTATATATAATTTAAAATATTTATATAAAAGATAATATATATATATTTATTTTTAAAATTAAAAAGTAAATATTTTAAAAGAATATTATTATAAGTAATTAAATTTTTATATAAATTTGTAAAATTAAATATATATTAATTTAAAATTTATTTTAAGTATTATTAAAAGGAATTAAATATAATTTTATTAGTATTTAATTTATATTTGTTAATTATAAAGTTAAATTAATTATTTAGAGTTATTAGTTTATAAATAAATAATATATTAAATATTGGTATAGTGGAGTTTTTAATTGAAAAGAATAAAGTTTTTATAAAGGTAGGTATTAAGGCGAAATTTTAAAAAATTTTAAAATTAAGTATAGTTGAAAATTTTAATAAATTATAAATTATAATTTATAAAAAAATAATTTTTATTATTTAGAAAGGATAAATAAAAAGGTTAGAAGAATTGGATTTAAAGATATTTAATATGATTAAAAAATTTATAAAATAACGTGTAAAAAGTGTTTATATTATATTTATTTATTAGTTTAAAGTAATTTTTAATTATTTTATGATAGTATAATATATAAAATTTAAATTAAAAGAAATTAAAATCTTTAATGTAAAAATTAAATGGTAAATAAATTATAAGGATTAAAGCTTTAAGTATGTAAAGTTAAATCTTTAAAACTTACGTTTATATGTTTTTATAAACGGTTTATTTGTTAATAATAAGGATATAAATTTTTAAATTAATTATATTATAATATTTAATAATAAAAAACCTATAAATTATAATAATAAAATATAATTTATTAATAATATTATCTATTAGTTTTTTACTAAATATAAACGTATTATATGTAATATATTTGCTAATGAAATTTATAAAATGGTATAAGGTTTTAATATAGATTACGTTATTTATAATATTATTAATATTATTTTAAGTTGATTAAACCTTTTAACAATCTTTTTTATTTTATATATAAATTCTTTTTTATTATATTAATATCTTATTTAAATAGGTAATATTAACAAAAAAAGATTAATAATTAATTTTATAGTTTTAAGATAATTGTATAAAAATAAAGAAATTAATAATATTTAATAAATATATAATAATTATAATCTAACAGATGTGATAATAAAAACATTTTTAAATAAGGTTATAAAAATATTAATAAAAGATAATTAAATTGATTTATATTTAAAAAGGTAGGTAAAATGCGGAAAAATTAGAAATAATATTAAATTAATGTAATAATAAGTTATTAAAGTTAATTATTAATATTAATTTAAACGTAAGTTATTATAAGAAATAAAAAAGGATATATTAAAAATGAAATGGTATAATATATATTAGTGTAATTTTATTTATAAGATAATTCTTAATTTAAATTATTATAATTTTATTCTTTAATTATTATAAATGTATATAATTATAAATATATAAAAATATAAATATATAATAGTATATATTTAGACTAATATAAGTATATGTTAATATAAATTATAAGGTTTTATTTATTTAATTATATTTTATAATTAATTAATTATAAAAAGAAAATAAAGTAAATAATAATTGTATAATATTAATATAAAAGGATTTTATTAATAATAAGGTACTTTTATTATTAATAAGGAAGAAAAAAATAAAATATCCGATTTTATTAGATAAAAGGGTTGGATATTTATTATTATTGAAATATAAAAATATGTTATATTGAACTAGTGTGGTGCCACATCGCCAAGAGCAAGGGTATTATTATGTAATCTTAGGTTACAAGCCATATAAAGGTTTAATATTTGTTATATTCTTCTAATTAAATAGCCACGATTATTACTATTTAGTTATGTATTTAATATAGATATATTTGTTATTTTCCTATATTTATAGCTTATGGCCTTATCTTGCGTATTTATCTTATATATCCTATTCGATTAGTAGATCCTTATAGTTCTTCCAAAGTATAATGCTATCATTAGCTATTTAAGGCCTTTTACGAGGATTTAAACGTTAAAGTGATATGTTATACTCTGCAGGAGATACCAACTCCTGTTCAATATTTAGTTAGCCTTAAATAAATTCTTCCTTCTTTAAATATCTTAATATACCAATCTTAATACCATTAATTTATTTATTATTACTTTATTATTATTATTATTATTCCTATTTACGTACGTACTTATTAATAAATTTTAATAAAAAAAATTTATTACGATTTATTAAATAATATAAAAAAATGTTTAATTAAATATAATATATTAATTAGTTAAAAAGTTATAAAAATTTATTTTAAAGATTAAAATAAATTATTAAATTATTAGTTTATATTTTAAAAAGTTTTTAATATTACTTCAGTTTTTTTAAGTTTTATTTTTAATTTAAAAAAGTTTAATTTTATTAAAAATATAACTTTAATTTTTTTAATAACGTTTTTAAGTTTATAAAATATTAATATTTTAATTAAAAAATTATTTAAAATTAATATAATATTTATTAAATTTATAATAAAGTTTTTATTTAATAAAATTAATAAAGTTTTTAATAAAATTATTATAAAATTAATTATAATAAAAGTTTATATTAAATATTTAAAAAAAATATTAATAAATATAAAATTATAAAAATAACGTAAAATATTATTTAATTTAAATTTAACATTTATAAATATTAAAGTTATTATAAAAAAATAATTAAAAATTTAAAAATTAAGTAATATAATTATAATTAATAATTTTAATATTAATTTAAAAAATAAAATTTTATTAATTAAATTAATAATAAAAAATTATATTATTATTAAAATATAATAAATTATAAATTAATTAAATTTAATTTAATTAAATAACGTTAAATTAAAGTTAAGGTATTTATTTTAAAAGTTTAAAAATTTAAGGTAGCTTTTATTAGGGTGGCTTTTGTAAGGGTGTTTTGACTTATAATATTTATGAAGCAAGGTATAAATGTCTTTAACATGTATATATATCAAAGTACTATGGGCCCCCTTTCCACAAATAGGGAGCCACGTGACATGCTGGATATATCCACGCCTCCCTTGCAACAAATTTATGTACATACATGTACATAGGTCCATATTCTGTATCTGTACAGGGGCCCCCACTTAGCGCTATCCAGTACCTACATAGGTACCTATGTACATGTATGTAGCTTGGAAAATCGTTGATCCACATTATTCTTTTTTCTTTCAATTGATCAATTGAAGCAACCCACCTAGAACTATTCTCGACCCGATTATCCCCGGAGACATTGGAGGATTTGATGTAGAAGTGCGAGGAGCACATATCTGGCGAAAAATAAGAAGGCTACGACGTTGGAGGAGAGTCGAAGTCCTAGGAACGACAGCAGCCGCGAGGAGTAGCATCAGAGCAGGTCGAGGGTGAACGAGATATCGAGGATTAGGTTGAAGGTTGCGCTCGAGCTATCAGCCAGTTACTCGTGGCCTTGAATCGCGGCAGAAACGGGAAATCGACGAATAGAGAGGTAGCAACGACGAGCCGTCATCAAAGACCATAAGTTTGGACGAGCGGACATAGCGACGATTATAAATATACCCGATACGCAGGCTTAAGCACGATGTTCACGCCTACTTTCCGCGGCCTCCTCATGAGGCTCCCATCGACTACTCCTCTCCCCAGTCTCTTCTATGGCCCGTCCTCGGGCCGGCCTGCTGCCGCGACGGCTGTAGCAGCATGTTCATCGCCATTCTTCTCCACACCTATTTCTCGGCAGATACATACCACGACTCCTCGGAATGCGAGGATCGGTGGTGGAAAAGGCTCCAGTGCTAAAGGTTCAGGCGGCAAAGGTTCGGGCGGCAAAGGCTCTGGGAAAAAGAAGCGCAAGGGAGGGAAAGGCGAGGGCCCTGATCCCAGAATCCAGAACCTGAAAGCTTCGATGCCCCGTGCCGTTCCCGCCCCTCTGAGATTCGCGCGAAATCGTGCGCTGCGTCACTGGACTATTCATCGCGCCTGGTTATTGTACCAGCGCAAGGAGCGGGAGAGGGAGGCGCATGAGCTGGAGCGGTACGTCTAACCTCGCATACATTCTTCTTCTTGATACTGTGTTGTGACGATACGTTTGCTAATCGGATACGTAGGATGTATCAATCGATGCATAATGCCTGCGAGGAATTGCGCAAGACTAGTGGACCTGGCACGCGGGACGAGGGATACTTGTATCGCATGGCTATGGAAAAGAAAGGTGTATACGGACACAACAGCATCCCGATCGAGTATGCGAGACCACAGACGGAAACACCGGCTCGAGAGCCTTGGAATCACGGCTGGACCCGGTGAGGAGTCCTCATCCGGCCCGCATCCGAATTCCCGGTCTAGAATTCGTGTAACATAGAGTCGTCTCCGACATTACGTGGACTAGAAACCACCATATCCAATGAACTATTAGCTGCATATCTGCTGCGTAAACTTTGAGCACGTCTGCGTGCGTTGTTTTCCCCCCCTCCCATCCGATCGCCACTTTACCTTGGCAGGTAGAGACGTGGGAAGACGCAATCAATTACATCATTCGATCATATACCTGGATGCAGATGCAACGCCTACAGTAGCTTGCAGTGATGGACATGCCTAGTTGGGGAAGTAGGTGTGTTTTGTTTTTTCATGTATGTTTGCTCGATCCTCTTGGCCCGATCCTCGGTAAAGAGGCATGGAAAGGAGTAAGGGAAAGCAAGTAAATACTAGATCCACTTTGAAACTGCTGGGAACGCTTCGCCGAAATCCTTTATGCTTCACTTTACGTTAGAGGCGGACTATTATCAATGTGAAATTAATGCTCTGGTTCAATGCCTCTCCTTATTAACAATAACTAGGTACTTTATCTTCTCGCGATAGAGAAGGTTGGGATTTCCGGAAACCCCACAGGATCGGCTTCCCTAATCAGTTCAGTTCATTTCAGTCTGTTTCCAACCTAGATACAGGTGTAGTCTGTCATCGTGGTTTCGTCTGTGGGTGAGCGAGGGTGAATGATATCACAATGGAAATAGCTCTCCTTGAATGTTTCGATAGATAGGTGGGATGGGTTGGATAGATTGGTCGTGATGCTGGATACGTAGTTTGTAGGTCCTGACAAGAGCTCGTCTCGTTCGAGGTAGATTGCAGGCTGTTATGAATCCCAATCCCCAATTGCTTCCTCCGGCACGCATAATCCGAGGGCCTCCTATTCCTCCTCCTCCGCCTCCGCCTCCGCCTCCGCCTCATTTTCTCTCCTCTTTCTCTTCTTCGGCCTCCTGTTGTAATATTCCAACAAAAGCAAAACGAAAGGAAAATAAATAGTATTTCGGAATAAATATTCAATTCCGCCTAAGCCAAACTCCACTAAGTGAACACCCAATTTTTGGTTTAAATCTGATCCCCGGGGACATTTCCTGCTCGTGTTCGTGTGTCGATTCCCGTGGCCCATTCTACAAGTCGCGTCGAGTTCGTACCGTACCGTACCGTACCGTACCGTACCATGCCGTGCCGTGCCGTGCCGTACTGCGCTGCGCTGCGCCGCCTTATAATATAACGCAGCATCCGCCGCCTTCGCCTTTTTCGAAGGTGAGGAGAGCGGCGCGGGTGGCGGCCTCAAACACGTCGTCGACACCCTCCCCGCTCAGACTCGAGCACTCGAGATACTTGCGCGCGCCGACCTCCTGCGCGGCTTGCTCGCCTTGCCGCTCCGTCACGAACTTTAGGCTCTTCTTGCGCATCTCCTCGATCGCTACTGGGTCGTCTCGTAGATCCTTCTTTAGTCCTACTAAGATGATAGGGACGCCGGGGCATCGTTCTGTCGCTTCTTCTACCCACTGTTTTGCTGTTAGCCAGGATCGTTCCGTTGTCTCTTGTTACTCGTAGTGTGGAACGGGAGTTGAGCAGAAGCGGGGAGGGTTGTCCGACCTTGTGCTTCACGTTGTCAAGAGAATCAGGCGACTCGATCGAAAAGCCTATTAGTAGCACATGCGCCTTCGAGTATGCGAGCGGTCGCAATCGCTCGTAGTCTTCCTGGCCCGCCGTATCCCATAATGCTAATTGTACCGACTTGCCGTCGACTCTGCAATCTGTTACGTAGTTCTCAAATACGGTCGGAATCTAAGGGGGCGCGAGAATCGTTAGTCCGTCGGCCAGGTAGGCTCATGGTAGGGTCCGTGGTGATGTCTGCTTACGTAGTGCTATATGTAATCTGTTAATGAATGATTGCCCGGAAGCACGGAAATGAAAAGAGATTAGGGGAAGGGAAAACATACGGTTGGGAAGTATCCAAGCGTGAAGACGCTCAGCAAAGAGGTCTTGCCGCAAGCTCCATCGCCAATAATGACTAGTTTCCTAGCGATCCAATTAGTTTTGTGTTAATTCGTATAGTTAGAACGCGATGATAGTCGAATGCGAACGGCTGTAGATAAAAAAAAATATGTCATAGGTCGGTAAGCCTGGGGCTAGAACGACGATAATATGGGAAAAGGGGGTGACGTCGTGGGGTGCGCGTGATGGTTGTCTTCGAAGACATCCGAAAAGAGATCGACAGGCAAGGTGAAAGCATACCTGCGAATAACATTCTGCGGAGTTGAACTCGCCATTGCTCGACGCGAAGTGAAGTGCACCAATCCCAAGGGGGGCCTAATAGTTCGTATCGTATGTCTCGTTGTCGGAATAAACTTCTAGATTCGGTTTGTGTTTTTAGGACGCGTGGACTAGCGACGGATTCGAAAGTATATTTCTCGTTATCCCCGGCTTGGGGGGTCGTCACCTCGTGTCGGATTGGAATTGGGATTGTGATTGGGATTGGGATTGAAATATGTAAGCGCAAATATAAGGCCTCCGGTGACAAAAAGTTGATGTGAGTTTAGTTCGTTTAAGTTATTAACTTTTGGATAGGGATAAGGGGAGCTTTCCAACGGGTCTCCTGGTCGGGCTCTAATAACGAATTAATCGTTGATGATATTGGGTATTTCCAGATTTCCCAATGGAAATATTGTCTCGTTTCTTCGGATTATACTCTTTTTTGCTGCCCTTCTGTTTGTTATGTTATCCTGAAGATTTAAGTATGTTTGGGTTAGAAAAAATTGATCGAATACGAGAGGCCTGCACACTAGAGCCGGGTTTCGCGGTCGAATTTAAAGCCTTCCGTTAAAGGATTCCCTGGAGTTCCTTTTAGTCCCTTGTCGGTGCTGTCCCCCTGTAATTTGGGAATTCAGCTTCAAAAATAGAACGATACAATTGGTCGGGTTCGACGCCGGACCTTAACGTTGTCGCGAATGTGTCCAGCTGTGTTAAACTAATATAGCAGCTCTGAGAGCCTTACGATTAGACAGGGGGACGAGTCCAGTTCAATTTATATAAATAATTCCCTCCGTCGTGTATGTAGATGAGAAGCCGGCCTCGAAAAATATTACCATTATTATTTACCATGACTTCTACACAACATGCTAAGCTGATGTAAAGCTGCGAGATGCCGCCACTCAGCTGTAGCTATGCTAAACCCCGAAAGAACGCTACGTTACAAGGACCTGGGCTAGATCAAACAAGTTGCCCAGGCCGTGCCACAGCATCAGTTAGCCAATAAGCAACAAGGGGGTTGTTATGAACAGAATCGATTTTCCCGGCGCAATTGGTCCGACACAACTCGGGATAGTAGGATGATGGATGCTGACTTTAACAACTGGTGAGTGACTTGGCTGTTAGACAGCCAGATCGTAAACTATGAAAGAGCCAGTGAGCATTAAGAATAAACAGTTATATGTTAAAACTGCGATGCTACTTCGTTGCTATTCGACCAGTTAACGATATACGCTGTTACATACTTGCTGATTGCTACGAAGGATGTTTGATGATGAATTAATGAATTGATGACTGGAGTGGAACCCAATAATATGCAAAGTGGTTCTTCCTCGTCCATTCACTTAATATCTGATAGCCTATGCAGAATACATAGGTAGACAGGAGACATATCGATTCGTCAACTTCGAGAAATCAAATCGAGCTAGCCTGTCAAACTGACCGCTCCCGCTTCGTCGCACTGGCCCGACTATGATCGCCCAACGGCTGCAGGTCTCAGCACAAAAAATTGGAATGGTGCATGTCTCTGCTGCATACTCCCCTCTTAATCCCACTTGAACCCGCTGGTAAGTCGCTACATACTATGTACATATGTATAATGACCGTGTCCGACCACACTTCTTTATTGAGGCGATCATCATGGAGAAGAGGTCGAACATAACATCGGCTTAACGCCATTGGCTTGCAGTAATTATGTATCAATTTTCGTACATGATTCCCAGCACCGTAGTTTGATAAGTGATAAGTCGTGCTACATGTAGGTAAGACCTCTCTTGTTGATTGATTACCTGGTTAAATATCTAGGTAGTCATACCTTAGGTAGGTAGTCATCGTGATGTAGCACAAGCCATGTTATTCAGTGTATCGTTATTGGTAGTGTTAGCAGGACACGGCCAGTACATACAAACCAGGTGCTTCAGGTAGTCTGCTGGCCTTGGCGAGATACACATGTCTCCCGTGGGGAATAACTGAAACCATTAAATTTGTTTGGGGGACGCTGGGACGCTGGGACGCTAAGATGCAACTCCTTTCACCCAGCACATGGTCATAGATGTGAGGAATGCCTTGGGCAAACCCGCATTCCAGTATTTCTTACGCGTAATGATATCCACATTGAAATTAGCAGTTGACTATGTACCTACTTACCTACCTATGTTTCTTGAATTAGATGGGTTTAGGTTAGTTGTTTATTTTAAAGACAAATAAGCAATTGATATAGATATCAAATAAAAGTTACAGTTATTCTAAGAATACGGAATACAATAATATTGACTACCGGTGAGTCATAAATAAGATTATTTATCATGTTTTAAACTGGTATAACTAAATAAAATGTTGGACGTTGGGGGATATGTAGAGCTGGTACCTCAATGAGCCCGGGTCAAGGGGTTGTGATAGCGGAACTAGTGACGACTTACAGCTTCAGCCATCAGGGTGCTGTATTGGCGTACCTTATTGCTGGGAATTTTGGGCTGCCTCAGCTTCTATGTATTGTACATAGTAGAATCCTGGAGGGGTTACTCAAGATCATGTGACTACCTTATTCCCCGGCTTGCCGACCGGCAAAACTGGGGGGCTGATGGAGATGAGGCTGTGGTAACTTTAGGGAGGCCTTACTTAAGATACCTTACCTAAGCGGCCATGTACCTACATGTAAGGTTTTAGCACAGTTTTGGAAGAACCGACCCAATAGGCGTAGAGGTACCACAAGCCAAAGTAGCTGCTTTTCGAGATTGTAGGTACATAGTACCTGCCTACCTGAGATTTCGACGTCTTTTGCATGGAAAAGCCAGACGCAAGAAACGCCAACATCCCAAAACCTTGGCCGACTACAGCAACATCTCTGACCACCGAGCATAATTCGCACCAGGTGATCAGCCATCACTCCGACAGGCCTGTTGGCGTTGCACTCTTTAGCATATTTACGGTGCCAAGGTTAGATACAAAAACCCACTATCTCGTAGATTGCAGTACCTATTTCCGGTTCGGACAGTTGCCAATTTGCATGCTCGAGAGGGGCACAACTACGGTTCATTCAGATTCACCTTCGACAAGTCGACAAATTGACAAATCGATCATAATACCGACCTATCCGGAAGCTAATCATTCTTCTATCTTAGGTGATACCGTTAAATCTGTATCTATCAATCCGTAACGCCTGTCAGCGAGTTGTTTAACTCGGACTGTCTCCAAGGAGTAGATCGCACATGACTCCCCTCGCTTTCGCGTCATAACCTCCCTTGAGAATGCCTGGCAAAAACAACAATCGACAGTCGGCCGCGCAGGGTCCCCAGCCTCCGACTTCCAAGGCTACAGCGAAATATACAAATAAGGATGGAACCAAGTATATATCGGTTCCCAAGTCTTCAGCTTCTACTCCTCCACCCCAGCCATCGCCTACGACAACCTCATCCTCCAGAGGCGGTGCTCCGACCAATATCCCTGCAGCTGCCGACATGCCCCCCGCGCTGCCGGTAAATCGAAAGAAGCAAAAGCGCCGAGCAAAGGCTGCTGCAAAGGCTGCGGCCGAACAAGCAGAGGCCGTGGCGAATGGGCTCCCCAGTCCCGCATCTACGAGCAGCGTGCCTTTACCTATCGGAACAGAGTCGCAGAGAAAAGACGCGCACTACTCGCGAAATACCATACCGACCGAAATCCCTCCCTCCGACAACCACACGCACAATGGCGAGGACTGGGGAGATGAGACCGAGAGTGACGATGAGCACCCCGAATCTGCCAACGGCTCAGCGCAAAAGGCTTCTAAGAAGTCCAAGAAAAAGAAGAAGAAGGGTACGATCGAGGAGCCCGTTAGTAATAACCCCTCCGGTATATCTAAAGAGAAAATATGGAACACTTCAAACGAGCAGGAGCGAGAACGTATCAAGCAGTTCTGGTTGGGTTTGGGAGAGGAAGAACGAAAATCCTTGGTCAAGGTTGAGAAAGACGCGGTGCTCAAGAAGATGAAGGAACAGCAGAAGCACACATGCAGCTGTTCTGTCTGCGGGCGCAAACGGACAGCAATCGAAGAAGAATTAGAGGGTCTCTACGACGCATACTATCAAGAATTGGAATCGTTCGCGAATCAACCTCACAACCATCCTAATGCGCCTCCTATGTTCGAACCTAAGAGATTCGGACCTATGAGCGGACTACACCCCCCCGGAGCCCTTCCGTCTAGATTTTCGAACCATCACCCGTCTCATGGTCGCATAGTGGAACACGTGGACAACGACGAAGACGAGGAAGATGAAGTAGAAGAGTATAGTGATGTAGATGGTTTGGATGACGAGGACGAGGATGAGGATGAGCCTGAAGAGATCCCTCGCGACCAATATCCTAACGATTTCTTTAATTTTGGTCAAAGTCTCACTGTTAAAGGTAAGCTGCTTCATACGAGCCCGATTCATACGTGTGTCCAGCGTGTTTGAATAACATGTTTTAGGCGGAATTCTTACTGTAGCAGACGATCTACTCAAGAACGACGGCAAAAAGTTCATAGAAATGATGGAGCAGCTAGCCGAGCGAAGAATGGCGCGCGAGGAAGATGCTAAAGATCACTACGCCGGTGCATACGGCCACACTGCTAATGGTGCTTCTCTACCTAACCCTCACAACCACCCACCTCTCGAGGATGACGAGTCGGAGGAGGACGAAGAGGAAGAGGAGGAGTATAGTCAGGATGAAGACTATGAAGAGGAAGAGGTAGCTAGCGAGCATCCACCGTAGGCGCGCCTTCTGGCTGATGAATTATACAGGACACTATGACTGAGGAGCAACGTATGGAAGAAGGCCGTCGAATGTTTCAGATCTTTGCCGCGCGAATGTTTGAACAGAGAGTATTAACCGCATATCGAGAAAAGGTCGCCAGGGAACGTCAGGATAAGCTTCTTGAAGAGCTCCAAGAAGAAGAAACGCAAGAATCCCAACGAAAGGCCAAGAAGGCAAAGGAAGCACAGAAACGAAAAGACAAGGCGGCCCAGAAGAAGCAAGCCCAGATCGAGGAGAAGGCGAAACGCGATGCTGCCAAAGCGGCAGAAGATGCGGCTCGCCTGGCGGAAGAAGCAAGGAAGGTCGAGGAAGCCAGATCCAAGGCAGAAGAAAGGCGGAAGAAGAAAGATGCTCAGAAAAGGGCCGAGGAAGAAGAGCGGTTAAAAAAGGAGGCTGAGCGGCAGCGACGTGCTCAGGAGCAGAAGGAAAAACAACTAGAACAGGAACGCAAAGCTCGCGAAGCAAAAGAACGCGAGAAGAAGCTAAAGGAGGAACAGCGACGCAAGGAACAAGAGGCTCGTGAGCTTAAGGAACGCGAGACTCGAGAAAGGAGAGAAAAGCACGAGAAGGATAAGAGAGAAAAGGAGTTAAGAGCAGCTCAGGCGAAGGCCGACCGTGACGCCAAGGAAAAGTCTAAGCAAGAAGAAAAGGAGAAAGCGGCTGCTAAAACCGCAACTCCTATAGCCCCTATTCCGACTCAGCCTATGAAGAAACAGCATCCCGTCTCGATTCCTGTGCTCCCTCACCAACCCCCGCAAAATCACGCCTCGCCTCAAATAGCGGTCGCAACTCCTGTTCTGCCCAAGGCTCCCACACCAATGAAACCTCGCTCCGTATCTCATGAGGTAACGAGATCAGCTTCCCAGGCTTCTCACTCCGCTTCCGGTCCAAGCCAGAACGTGTCGCCGCTCACCCAAACTCCGCTGCACACTAGCCCTGGTCCTATTGGCCCGCCCAGAAAGGCTTCATCTACCGGTCCGGTGAATATGGGAACTCCTATCGCCCATCCAGCATCTCCTCTTCATATAGGAGTCAGGAGCCCGCCTAGTGTACACCAAGGGCCCTTCACGGGACTACCTATGAGCCTCCAGGGTCCTCCCGGAATACCACCTCCACATATGGCTCCGGGCTTCAACCGAATGCACGAACCAATGTTCCCCCCTCCTGGAAACCTAAACTTCCGCCCCGTGGGTGGCATGCCGACACCGCCAGGCTTTCCCGCTCCTAGCCCGATGAGCAGTCGAGCTTTTCTAACTCAGCATGTGCCTCCCGGGTTCCATCACCCAGCAGAGCAACCTCCGCCGAATATGTCTCATCAAGGTTTCTCCCCGGAGAGCGTATCGGGGCGGCCGCATTCACACTCGCGACAAACATCTGCCTCTTTTGACGCGAATTCTCTATCCGGCGGTCCATCTCAACCAATTAGCAGACCAGCACCAATTGGTAGACCAGGAAGTGTAGTTCACGGTCAGAAAAGCCATGGCCTATCAGCCGATGTCGATGATGTGAGCAATCATCTCGGGAGCAGCGCCTTACTTGACGACACGGATGTACCTTTAGAAACTGTAAACTCCCCCCGACGAGGCACCGCCGCTCCAGGTCGGATTCCGTTCCCAAGCGCGCCATTCATGGACCCGTTCCTAGGCTCGCCACTCAACACCACCACATGGGGCCCTCCAAACGTGTTTTCCCCGCCGCCCGGTTTTGCCAACCCTAACCCCACGTGGCCGATGAATCCCTCGTTTGGTGCTCCCGCCTCTGGTATGCGAACCTCTCAACCTCGACCTGTTGCTGTTCGTCAAATGCTCGTGAACGCATGCAAAGAACTACAGGCTCTCGGATCCAATACAAACGGATATGTCGACCTGCTTGCCATTAAAGGTCATGTGAACAGCATAAATCCGCCAGGACACGACCCCGTCTCTGAAGAGGAGTTGTTAGATATGTGCGAAACGGTAGGCAGCTCACATAACGGCGGCGGAAGCTTTGATGTGCGGATTGGCGATGATGGGAAATTATCTGTCCGCTTTGAAGCTGATAGAGGATCGGTTTCGGGGCGAAATGTGCTGGGAGCTCCAGGCGAAATCGGCAGTCCAATTGTAGGAGTTGGTTCGCCAAGTCGTGCGGGTCCCCCGGCGTAGGAGCCGAGGCAATGGTGGAAAGGATCAAAGAAACCAATGATGAAGTAATTCGGTTACCGGCAGGGGTGGATAATAGGCCGACGTCGAGGCCAGGATTCGTTTTGAAATTCTCTTTTCCGCATGGAACCGGAGCTATGTCCGGCTCTTCGGAGCCTATCGTGTACCTTTTGGGCCGCTACTGGGTGAGCAGTCGCGGCGCGTTTGTAACCAATAGGTCGACTATCCCCTGGGACAGTCGTCAGAGCACGTGGGAGTAGTCTATGCCTTCAGAGATGCGCGAGAAGAAGCGGCTTTTTACCTTTTCTCTCGCCCCCGATTTTTAGGGCCGTTAAGCAGGTCATTGTTATGAATGGGAAACCTCGTTGAGCATCCGTACTAGAGCGCTTTTTGTTCAGTATTAGCGAAATTAATATTCACAAGAGTGCGACCATCTGAGATGTTAGGTGAGTCGCAGATGCTTATTCTTGGGAAGTCTTAGATCCGTTTAATTTATATGGTGAGCGCAATCGTGAGCGCAATCGTGAGTAGAGACCTCAAGAAGTCTTCTATTTATGATTCTTGTTTAAGTAAGTAAGTGTACTGTCGATGTACGAAGTCATAACCAAGAGCTTCATTCATAGAAGATTACAAGAGAGCAAGTATTAGTTAGGAGAAAACACATCTGCCTATAGCTTAACAGCTAACATTTATACAAAGCTCATTATAGCTGAATTCAATTATATCTGCCAAGGCTAATAGTCATTTCATCATAGAAGGGCATTATAAAAGGGTAACAAAAGACAATGGGCACAGAGGTAGGTACCTAGGTATGCGGAAGGGGAAAATTACTCCATAATGATCATAAAGACAAAGACAACCGCATAGCGTAGGTCCGAAAATACCAATTATCCGAGGTATCTAAGCGAGTTGCAACATCACGAACCCCAAAGTCCCGTTTTCCATGTCCTCGCCACGCCCGACTTTGCCTAATTCCATGATCCCTATGATATGATTTATTCGTCAGTTCCGCCCCGCATGAACACATTCTTCAGCTGTCGATTCTCTCTTCGTCCCATTCCCCTTCAAATTGACTCCGCTCCAGCTCTAGCTCCTGGGAATACATGTCTCTCCAACGCACCGCTACTAATGGTGGCTCGGAGCATGGCCCGCAGGTTCGTACGAAGCGTCCGCGTAGGAAGAATCCACAAACGGATTTTGCGCACCGGACCCTACGCTCGGCTCACGCTTGGGCGGGATGGCGGTCGTCTCAGACATGGTAGCACTAGTGGCGTTTGCAGCAGCCGTCTTGGCGATGGCCACGGCCTCGGCGTGCGCCCTCCGCTTGCGCTGGGCGCTCTTGTCGCGGCAGCAGAAGAAGAGCAGGGTGGCGAAGCCCAGGGCGAAGACGGCGGCCAGGAAGGCGGTGACGATGATCTCGCCGACGTCCAGGGCGTCTTGGCGCACCATGCACAGGTCGTAGCCGTTCTTGTCCGTCGAGCAGATGTTTTCGGCCTTGCAGACCGACGTCGGGACTTGGGTCTCGTAGCACGAGAGGGTTTTCCCGGATTCGCTGCCCGTGGACTGGATGGGGCAGGCGGTGGCTGTGGTGGTGGTTTCGGAACTGCATTCGATGGAGGCGGAGAAGACGCCGTCTGTGGCGGTTGTGGATGAGGTGCCGGTTTCTGCTGGTGCGGGTGTAGGTGCTGGTGTAGGGGCTGTGGTGGACGTCTGGTTAGTTATATTATTTTCTCTAACTTATTTAGGGGATCACTAGAGAGAGGTAAGTCTCACCTGGCATAGGTTCAGGCCCTCGCCGTCTAAGTTCGGCAACGGACTTGCCCTTGTGGAAGTTGTTGATGATGAAGGCGGCTTCGATGGTGGACTCGGCGCTCGTGCAGCCGGCGTTGCGGAAACACCGCTCTAGGTCGTCGGCCTCGACGTATTCCGGCACATTACGGAAACAGTGCGTGAGAGAGCCTTTGTCACCACAGGCTGCGGCTGCGGAGAGCTTAAGAGCGGTATCTCGGATATACAAAGCTCGGTCTGCTATTGCCGCACTAGCACCGAGAGACGATGTTGGGAAGAGTAGAAGTAGAGGTAGAAGGGTGGCCGGGAGGGCCGCGGCACCCGATCTTCGTCCGTGCATGATGATGGTCGACTGGTTTGTATAATGTGGGCAGTTTAGGCTTCGGAAGAAGTAGCAGCACGCTAAATAAAGTACTGATGCGAGACTGTTTAGACGAAGATGGAACTAGATGTCGCTCAGTCGAGACGAGACACCAGCTTTGTAAGTTGCCCGAATAGGTGGGAACCTTGAGACAAAGCCCGAACTGTGATTTCTTCCCAACAACTAGGTAAAAGCCCAACTAATCCACGTTCCGATTTGGCCGATAAATATGTATCTAGCCAAGAATCTGATCCGTCTCCAGGTTTTTAATCTCCGGATTCTTGCCCTAGTCACTGCCGAAGTAATAGTTGTTGGTTAGAACCCGTGAGCTACGCAGAAATCATCAATGGCGAAGGGTAGGAGATGGGAAACACAAAAACAAAAACCAAAAGGACAAAATCTGAGAGAATCTGACTAGACGGAGGTACGGGTTGGCTGAATATGTAAGAAAAACGCATCCTCCTACATGCTGTCCAGATGCAGCTAGGCTAGTCAGTCCAGTCCAGACCAGAGCAGCCCCATCATGATGTTTTTCAGGGTCTTCTGTTGTTCTTTTTTTACAGGGCTAATGGCCAGGGGAACAGCTAGCTCTCGTAACGCTGTCGGGTGCCTAGGGCTCTTACTATATCCATCTGCATCGTGCAGCAGAGCACTAGCCGATAACTACATAAGGTAACCTGATGTAACTACCTCTTAGGAGGTACCTAAAGGCTTTCGTAAGTGACCTATTTTGGTGGCATGGCGGAACGAATCACATATCGATCCTTGGCATTAGGAACAGAAGCGCTGCGGCTGGCTCGGAAACGGCATAGCCCTTATGGCACTATCATGATTGGGCGGATGACTTCGGAGCCATCTAGTCTGTCTAGTTACTAGTTACCTACATATAGTCAGAAATTGAATCAGGAAGTCTGTGTTTCCCCACAGAGAGCACACAGAAATATGAGGACCTGTTATGTTAGACAAGTGCTTCTCTACGCAAAACATGTCGGACAGACGCAATACGGCCGGAATCCGAAAACCCGAACGAGACAACATCCACCAAAGCAGATTGTGGGGGATCAGCAAAAGCCTAGTTTTGCCTTATCTAAGCTGATCTGATGTTTAGCGGAGGGACAAGGGCTCTTCTCTGCATGTCAGATTTTTGACAATGCCATGAATGTTGTCGAGATGGGCCTATGGGAAACCACCCTACCACCACCACCAGCCAGCCCGGGATAATTCGTTTATTGCAATGCCGACCTGTACTACCTACATAGGTACCCTGCGGTGCTGTCAATTTGGCATCTGGGCAATACCCAATACCCTTTAAACCCCATATGCCCCATATGCTGGATATCATTCACTACCGATAGTCCACTACGCAGAATATACACCATATACACCAGTAACCGTGCCTCGACCGAGTCGGACTAGGACAATTTAAGGCTGTATCCCCCTTGTCCATGCAGGAGAGCTAGCATGGTGGCTGAGCCGAAGCTCCGCAAGGGGCTTGGAGAAGCTGAACAGGTGTTGTCTGCTGGGTTCGCGTCTTGCATTGCAGGATACTTTTCTAAATCGGTACTGATTAGGCTATCACTTGCGACAAACCCAGATATTTCGTGTGATGATCGTCGCTACTTTTACTATATGCCGAACAACGTTACCTTGTATAACGCTGTTTACCCTTGGCTGGCTTGGTGCGTTTTCGGGGATTTTTTTAATACGGTTCGAGTGTCATCTTGGAATACGTGCATGTTGAATTTACTCTTAGCTATCAATCAACAGGGGGGGGATATTCGCATTCCAGGTTTATAAGCGCGTCTGATCTTCTCATGCGTTTATCCTACCCGGGATATTGAGTTATAGCAATAATACCCAAGGCATATTCAATTACAACTGGTTCCCCAACCCTGCGCGTCAATTCTTGACCCCCAAACAATATGCAATAGCGAATAACTTTGCCGATGCAATAGATCCTTGATATTTACGATGAATGGGATCGGACAAGCATCATCGTTAATTTTCGTGACTCTCCAGAGACATCAAAGATGAATAGAGACCTTATGGATTGTTCACACTCTTATCATATACCTTCACATGAGATTAAGGATCATATTGGTAGCACGTATCCGTGATAAAATTAATAGTAGGAGTGATACCGGAACGTTCCGTGTTCAATCTATGGTATAATTGCAGGTATAATTGATGCTTGCACGTGGATGGCTCAGTTGTCTTCTGAAGTTTAATCCTTAAATTAGAATACGTATTTCCATATTTCTTAACTCGGAATGGCAAGGTTAATAAAGCAGAATGATATAAACGATGAGATGAAATATAAGACCTGGATATAACGCAATGAGCTTATTTTTTGCGTACACATGGGTTCAAGTCCATCGATTGTCAAGTACTTAACCTTTATAATTACTGACTTAGAATAAGATCTTCAAGTTATTTAGGTAGACCTTGGTTCCAGACAATCATCTCTATCTACTGCCATTCTGGCTTTTTGCAATTAGTAGAAAGGAATATATACCCAGTTAATATACCCGTAAAGTACACTAGATTCATTAGAACTTATCCAACATAAGAAAAGTCATGAGTAAAAGTGGCAGAATTTATAAACTTAATGACCGGCCATCCGAGCCTTTATTTTACATTCATTCATATTCATAGACTACATACCTACCTTACACACCGAGTTACCTCATAAGGAAAGCCAAATGAGATTTCCAGAAGTGAAAGTGACTGAACTAGGTTAAGTGATTACCTAAGTCGACAGGGGATATCCACGTGATTTCTAGTAGCACTGACTGCCTTGTTTAAATACGTGTATACGTCATTACATACGAGGCAGTTGCGAAACATGCATTCCAGATTGCTGCTTGCCTCTCACTCTTACATATAAGAGACAACATCTCTTCCTTCACCCAAAGTCTACAAATCCCGAATCTAAGCAGACACGCTCATAACCACTACCAGCCTACATCTATTTACGAGAACACTCAAAACCAAACCTGCCAAAATGCCTCTCGTCGTCCCAGGAATCACCGACAACTCTCAGGACAAGACTACGCAGTGGTCGAGCAAGTTAGTAGGAAAGACAGTATCCGAAAATGACCACAGCGAGACGGTATGTACCAATTTTATCTCTTCATATCTCTCCCATAGACCATAGAGGACCGTTTATATGCAAGAAGATATCAGCTAACGCATAGTTACGTATTATAGAACTTCTGCAAAAGGGATCTCCCCCAGCAATGCCGTGTCATTCAACCTGGCATGATGGTGACTAAAGATTTCGTCCCGGACCGACTGAATGTCCATGTCAAGGACGACGGCACTGTAAGCCATGTCCAGCATGGTTAGACATTGCACCTTCTGTAATTCACGCCTTTGTATGACGGATATGAAGCTGTTGGGCTTGGAATGGAGGGGTTTGCCGGAAGGGAACATTATGCGTAGCCTACTCAGTACCCTTTAATATCAGCAACAAGAATGACTAGCAATTAATCACCAGTAACAGTATCTTTTACATAGGTAGTTTTATTTTTCCCTTTTAGATGGACGGATCTGTGATGTGTAGCATAATGAATGATGGTTATTTCAATGTTGCTTATAATATTGATAGTGTTAATAGTGTTGATAGAAGGTACCTTTGTACCATGTGCCCCGCTAGACCGCGAGCTTCGAGGGGTCGAGTCTGCCCCGCGCTTTGCTGCTTTAGACTTCTGAATTATGATTGCGGGGCATTTCATTCAAATGCCCCTCCAAACTTTCACGAGCTTCTACTCTAAACATCATTTAATGTCGATTCAGACATTACTTAACAATCCCTAAAATTGCACAGTAGCCAATTGGCCCTAGATCCGCCAAGATGTTCAAAAGAGAGTAAGCATTCTTGTTCTCTCAGTATATCCTGACTTTCTTAGCCAGACTTTTCAGTCATTATGGTCTAGCTAATCATCCCGCTTTACCAACAAATAGGATAACCGCCGCGCCCAAATCCAAGTTAAAGTCGTCTGTCCAGCGCTCGCTGCGTCAATCCTTACTGTCTACCTACCCATTACTAAACCCCTACATCGATGAGATCCTACCGAAGAAGGGGTCGCTCGAGGCCATGAAGCTTCCCGATCGCTGCACACTATACGTGTTAGACTCCCAGCCGCTCTTCTTCCAGCAGGACACGACAACACTGCTACCGCACCTACGCCTCGTCCATCGCTTCCCAGACGCCTTCCCTAGTATACGCATAGACCGCGGAGCGATTCGCTTCGTATTGTCCGGAGCCACACTCATGGCACCCGGTCTGACAAGCACTGGCGGCAGATTACCCAGCGGCGTCAGCACCGAGGAGGGGAAGGAGGGTCTAGACGAAGACGAGAGGTGGACCAGGGAATTGGAGAAGGGAGAACCCGTGGTAGTCCGGGCCGAGGGGAAGCTCGAAGCATGCGCCGTGGGATTCTTGGTCATGGGCACCAAGGAGGTTAAAGAGAAGGGCAAAGGACCTGTTATCGAAGACGCGCACTACCTGGGCGACGGATTATGGAAGCTCACTACGGACTAGAGTGAGTCGCGGCGGAGCGTGGTCGATTTATTGGTTAAGCGAGTATCATTACATGAAGCACGTGCACTAGCCCGAGGGTCCGAGGGTGCCTCGACGAAGCTCTCTCAGTGAAGCTCTCTCAGTTGTGAGAAGTGTTACTATCCGAGGGATTTATACTACCAGGGCCGATTATATTTACATAGCATCTTATGAAGGTTCTGAAGAGGCAAAGCTATCAGAATAGGAAAGTGAATGAAAGGTATTTTTATTAATATTATTTTGAAGGAGCGATTCTGGTGAGACGTGTATACAGAGTAGAGTATTGGATTAATACTAATTTGCAAGGATATGTGTAAAGTTCAACATGATTGTGTGGCTGGCTGGCCGGTCGATCTGAAATACTCTTTCAATGAGATTTCAAATATCTCCCTCTGTGGAATGACAGGTAAAAGGATGTTGTATTGGTAAAGATTCTAATGACTTCACTCTTCCCTCCAAATTCTTAAATATCCTTATCTCTTGCACTATCTTACACCCCCGAAAATTATTTAATGTATTGAATTAAACTCTGTTTAAGAAGGTTGTTTGTGTTTTCTTGCATGCGTTATGTTTGCCCCCGACGAAGTGGGGCCGTGATATATGTCGGACCGGGCTCCGCTTAACTCTTGCCTCCGGCAAATTCACCGGAATGCTCCGAAAAGGGGTAGAATTCCAAAGAAGTAACAATAAAAGTTTTCTTTAATACGTACCACGACTATCTGATAAAGCCTTGCTTTAGAATCTTAGACAAATTTCTCCATCAGAAACATGCTACAAAGATCACAATTCACTATCTTGAAAATGTCTGACTCTAGGTTATCTACCATTATTGATATCAGTCAATATTCATGTCCAGGAGAAATGTAATAGGGAATATTTAATTACTTGGCTTAAGCCAGATCTTAGAGATCTACGATACCAAGTCAAAGGGTGATAGCGAGTTAAACGGAGGAAGTCATAACAGGAGAAACTCGCACTGTTCGAATTGTAGCGGCAAAGCATATGAATTGATTAATCAACGCAAGTAAGGACTATCTATAGCTAGCAAGTGCTATCAACGTTTCTGAAATAGTCTGCAATAGTCTGCAAGAGTCTGCTTGTTTGCCACGAAGTAAGTTCATCAACCGTACAATCATCTGGCTACAACATTAAAAATGTTGTCCAGCATTCATAGTAATCATACTTTTTTTTTCCTTTTGCAAATTGAAATAAGAATGCTGTGGTCTCTTCGAAGAATCATTCAAGTGAAAAAGCAATGCGCAATGGATATGTTGAAACATATTATGACTCGGAGTAAAGTTTCTCAAGAGTCGAACGGCGGTTTGTGTAATGCAATGGCGTCTGGTGTAAAAAAGCTCGTTCGTTAATCTAAAAAGATCGGGTCTTCGGGGTAGTAATTGAAGATGTGGGCACTGGCCTGGATCATGATGGCCGATGTTATCTCTTCGCAGAAGTCGTGAGATAGATGATGCACTCTAGTGTTTAGGTGAGGAGTATAAATTGCCCTCAGAGCCCATGCTCCGAACGCCCCCGATGGGAGCGTTCTGTACCTCCCGTGTATTGCCTGATAGTGAAAGTAGCATCTTTGAATCTCTGCCAATACGTAGTCATGAAGGTTTGCGTTGACTGGATGACTTGGCGTGGGGACAGGCGCGCTGTGTAGGGCTAGTGCGACTCGGGTACAATACGCTTTGAAATAGTTGACGACAGTATGTAGCACATAATCCTGGCCGGCCCATCGCTGCACAAGAGCGATGGCGGCAATGTATTCCTCCCCGGTATAATGATGATCGTCCAGGTTGAAGCCTTCAGTGCCGTAGACTGCCAAGAGGACAATCTTCCAAACGTTGGCGCTCTCAAGAACGCGTACGACGCTGTACTGCATGTGATCGCGGGGATCGACGAACATCCAGTACAAGTAGGGGAGTGGCCGAAGCATCTCAACATGCACCAGGATGGGAACTCCACTCGCGATCAAGACAACGACTTCACTGTAAGATATTCTGTTAGCGGTGCCGTCATAAACTTAAGTAATGCAATGATATAAAGTACGTACACGTCGAAGAGCTCCGTCTCGACAGCAGCGACACCCTGCACTCGGAGAAGGCCTGGGTCAATAACGTCTCTGGAATAGACCGTTAGCTTTGTTTTTACAATGGTAGAAGATGGGAAATAAAAGGGAGTTATGTAATATACATACCTCACATGCGGGTAGTCGTTGTGGAACAGGCCGTAGTTCAAGCGCATCAAATCCTCAGCATTAGCGGAGTTGTAGAACATGGCCTGGGATAGATTGCCATTGTAGGGGGGCGTCACGAGGTTCTCGAGATCATCACCAAATAGCTCAACAGCAGGGTTGGGCATAGGCGACGGAAGACGAGGAATCTCGAAGAGTTCTGCGTCGACGTCCTCTGCAGGCGGAGCAGAGATAGGAAAGTCCTCAGACTTTAAGATGCCCCAAAGGGTGGCGGGTCCAGGAAGAGAACCCATGATGAATTAGATAGCTTCTATAGGAGATGATGTTGAAAAAGAAATATTACAAAGAGGCAGACTTGCGTTGGAAATGACTTGCGTAAAAGATAGGTTAGGTGAGAAATAACAAATAACTTGAGTGGAGGTGGGAGGAGCCCAGGGAAGGATGAGTTGAAGGTGAAGAGTAGAGGAGAAGAGCATGCAAAGAAGAAGAGAAACTATCTGCTCAAATAATAATTGCTAGGCAGGATTGCAGCCACTCTCAAGGCAGCGATTTGTTTTGGTGGGCTGCAATACGCAATTCACTATGAGTTACAGGCCTCCAAAAGGTTCTGCTGGTTTGCTTAGAAGTGGGTAGAAGGAGTAACTTCTCTGTGACATCCTACTAAGAGGGGGTTTGGAGGAAACTATTCGCAGGTTCATACAGGGCGTGTCCCTACACAATGCCTAGACTAGATGCAGAACCCCGTGGATATGTACCTACTAAGGGCTTAATACATGGTACTAGGCCATCTGTACTAGCTATGAAGAGAATGTCACACCAACAGTTTAGGGACATAAGTTAGAGGTTGTGTTATGCTATTACATGTTAGGATCCCCTGGTAGGTATCCTAAGATGGAGTTTCTAGTTGGTCTGAAGCGTTTACTAGCAGATCATCTAACTAGGTTCGTAGAGACCTACAAGGTGTACGCACAATACTAAGCACCGTTTACTAATAGTCATTCAGTGATTTGGTTAGCTCAATCCTGTAGATGCTTCTTAGCCTTCCATATGCTAGGTAGCGATCTGTTTTAATGCCATTGTAACATTGGGAGGAGTTTTGGTCTACTGATCTGAGCTTTGTTTGAATACAGCAGGTTAAATCCATGGACTACCTAGTCACCTAGAAAAAGGTGCTGTATCAGCAGCCCAGTCTTCGCTAGGTTCATGGTCTCTTATATTTCGGCTTAGGTGCATTGCTATTTCTTGTTCATTCCCTCACATAAAATTATTGGGGAGAAAGGACGTATGAGGCGGATCGATAATGAGCATCATAATTTTCCCTTTCTCTTTTTCTTCAAGTATTGTTAAGTATCGTTCTTGTCAGAACTTTACTCGTTAACATTTAGGAGTACACAGTGTCGTGCCTATGACAACATGAAAGTATAGAAGGCCGGACCTGTAAAGGGGAGGTATGATCAATTAACCGGCCGAGTATTGGCGGAGCTCCGATCCGGATGAGGTCCGGATGCGGCAGTTTCTACCAATCAAGAAGTTGAGCGGGGCCGGGATTTCGGCATGCAAGTGTGACTTTAGAACAGCAAACCGGGGAGGATGTTTGCTACACTAGCAAGTGCTAGAACGTTAAGTGGGCTCGAATACATGTACCCATGTACTCACTTCATCTGAAATGTTGGAATCCCCCCAAATAAGACAGAGGCTTAGTTACTTAAATGAGGAGAGTTTGTATATGATTATTTGAAAAATGTTCTGTTTGAAACATGCTGGGTTCCAATCATAAATGCAATAGCTACAACGTACCGAGTGGGCATTAAGTTGCTAATACTTTGAGATGATTAGGTGTTTTGTAGTGCCTGCTGAACTCACCAATAGTTAAATTATACAAACTTCATTTCATAGCTACCTAGGTACCTACGTTTATTCATACATATATCCAGACGAGAGATATCCTCTTCAACATGATCCATCGTGTGCGCCGGATAGTGATCACACTCGTCAACTTGTTGTTTGGTACAGCCAATCCTTGGTTAATAGCCCCAAGGAGCTTTCCGCAGGCTGCCTGATTAGTAAGAGCATATCTGACGTATTAAATGACTGTGGCACAAATTTCTAATGGTTCTGGTTCTTTAATTGAGGGGGTCCTTTGGCCTATATACCGAGTCTTCCGCTGCAGTTTTTCTTTCCCAACTACCACACTACTACTTCACCTCTTAGTCTGTTTTGAAAACTATCATCACAATGGCGGCCCATCGTGTCCTCCTACTTGGTGGCAATGGAAAGGTAGCTCGCTTGCTAACGCCGATGCTCCTTCAACGATCATGGGAGGTTGCGAGTATCATTAGAAGTCCAGACCAAGTTGCGGAGTTACAGCAGATTGGAGCGCAGACGAATCATAAGGGCAAGCTAGATGTTCTTGTCCGCAGCATCGAAGACGTTAAGAGCGAGGCACAGGCCAAGACCTTGATCGATGAAGTGAAACCTGACTATGTCGTCTGGAGTGCTGGTGCTGCAGGGAAAGGAGCACCGGAGAGGGTATGATCATCGGCGTTAAGCCCGAATTTTCACTTAAGTCCGACATATGCTAACATCCTTTTGTCAGACTGAGGCAATTGACCGCGATGCTGCATGTCATTTCATTCGCGCATCCGTGGCAACCCCGTCGATCACTAAATTTATATTGATATCTTTCAACAGTTGTCGCTATGAGAAGATGCCCTGGGTGACGGAGGAGCATTGGCAAGAGTATCTCAAGACAACTCGAAATCCATTGAATAGATACTACGAGGCCAAGATCGTCGCGGACAAAGTGCTGTGGGAGGAGGGAAAGAAAAGAAAAGATTTCGCAGCAGTTTCCCTCCGTCCGGGCATATTGACAATGGAGCCCGTTGGCGGCGTTGCCCTAGGGAAGTATCCGCGAGTGGCAGGAACAACAAGTCGTCCATCCGTTGCGTACGTCACAGCTTTGTTACTTGATTCTCCTAACCTCAAGACTTCTTGGTTGGATATACTAGATGGCGATGAAGATCCGGATGCAGCCGTAAAGAGATGTGTTGAGCAAGGAGAGGATTGTGCTGAAGGGGAACCCTTCTATAAACCTTAGGTTGAGTATGGCGTACCATCCACCTAAGGCAAATTTTGAGGCAAAAGGGGAATTATGTATTTCACTCGTTTGGTACATAGGTCAAGTAACGCAAAAATATGAAGCTTTGGTCTTTTGGGTTGATGCTAGATTTCCATGAGTTATTTAGGCCCTTCTAAAGTGTACCATTAATGAAATATTTGGTGTTAAGTATTTGGAGATAGGTTAAGCTTTTTAGTAGTTAAATGACTAGCCCTTCTATCCCCTTATTATTAAGTTCTTTAGTCGTATAGTCTTGCCCTGTATATCTATAGTATAAGTACCGATTAGCCCTGCTAAACTGTGGCGTATTTGCGCAGATTGTGTCAAATATAAAAGGTTGCAACACATGACGGCCACCATGAGTAGTAGCTAAGATATATTTATGAAACATAAATTGGGTCAATTTTCTGTTCGATCTTTTTAAAAAGTATAGTAGATCTATTGTCTTTGATTACTTCTATTGAATTATTTTATGGTGCAGCTTCTGATTCGACTGACCCCTGAAATTAACACTCTAAACCTCTATCAATTCCCAGTCTATGTGATTACCTTCTATTAGTTAAAGTCATGCCTCATATAGTCGAATGTTTCGTACTATGTAATTCCCTTCCAAATTTGAACAACTCATTTTCGGATATGCGGATTACTCGGGCTTCAGAACCGCACGGAAATGCACTTTGCCTTGCTCCAATTTGTCCATAGCATCCTTGATGCCAGCCTCCGTCATCGGGAAGGTTTGAACGACGGGCCTAATATCGTGTAGAGCAGCAAACTCAAGCATACGTTGGTGGATATATCTCGGAGCAACGACGGATCCTTGGATGGTAATAGCACCCAATAAAAGGGGCAAATAGGGGATCTGGAAGTTTCCCTCGTCAACTGAAAGGGGATGGATCCATGCTCCAGGAGCTAGGATAGGGATAAGCTGTTCCCAGTTAGGCTGGGCGGAAGTGCACACAAGCAGGCGGTTTAGCGGCTGTGTCACTTTAAGTTCTTTCTTGTCCTTGGTGGCAATAAATTCGTGCGCTCCTAATCGCATAGCCTCGTCCTTCTTCGAATCAGTGCCAGATAGAACGACAACGCGGCATCCCATCTTGGCAGCAAATTGAATAGCCAGATGTCCAAGTCCACCAACTCCCATCACGCCGACAGTTTCTGTCTGTGTGGTATTGTAGGCGTGAAGAGCGTTGAAAACGGTGGCTCCTCCGCATTGCAAAGGTGCAGCATCCTCATCTGTCATCCCATCGGGGATCTTGAACAGGAAAGCTTCTCTCCAAATGGCATGCGATGCGAAGCTGCCTTGGTCCCGGTCTGCAAATCCGTACATAGCACGGTCAGGGCAGTATGTCTCACTACCGCTCAGGCATTGCTGGCAGTGACCGCAAGAGTCATGCTCGTAACCCCAGCCAACTCTGTCGCCTTTCTTTAAGAATTTGCATGCTGGTCCTGTTGACTCGACGATACCAACTCCCTCATGTCCTAGGACCATATCATCATTTTTCTAGATGCTATGTTAGTAAACGTCTTATATTATTACACTTAGACCACGTAAGAAGTAGTACATACGTAATGGAGATCTATATTTCATAAGTTAGTGCTCAGATTTTCCGAGTTTCATGGACCTAACGCAAGACTTACCAGTTCCACATAGTCCAGAAGCCGTAACTTTAACTAGGACATAATCTTCTGATAATTTTTCTGGCTTGGTCATAGTGGTCTTCTTGGGAGCACCAGACTTGTCGCCCTTGAAAACTGTGAAGGTAAGGCTAGACATTCTTTTTGTTTAGCTTGTTAAGTATGAGTATAGATGAGCCTAGAAATATTATAATGATAGTAGAAGTCTTATGATTCCAGACAAGTAGCTCAACTACCTTATATATCCAAGCAAGATAAAAGTTTTTCACATATCCATAACGACCGAGGCTCCTAACCTTACAAATCATATCTTCATCCATGACGTTGAGACGCAGGTGCGGAATAGCCCGCACGTAACGTAGAGACTAGAACCAATTATTTGACCTTATTCGGACATTCTTCTACGGCGGTAAGAGATTGTGGGCTTCAGGAGGCAAAGGCCCACTATCTAAAGTTAGCCTAATTCAAGCTCTTAAGACTCGTTACCAGGGGGTCTCCTTGTCATGATGATGGTATTCTACGTTGCTAATATAAACTAGCTTGTGGGCATCTACCTTTGTAAGAGACCCGAGGGATTGGTATTTGGAAACATAATTTCTGGTCTACCTACATCTCATTTAGGAAGATTATTGAAGCAATAATAATGAATTTGGTGAATTTGTCTGATATGTCTTAGCCTCGGAGTTGGTCCGGATACCGACGACACTAGTTTCGTTAGGATATCTCAAGGCTAGAAACCTCTCCACTCAATCTACGGTATTTGCCTAGGTATTATCCACTATATACACAAATTTTTGCCTGCCGGGCAATTAAATATCTCATTGACTTCATGAATGATTACGTAGAAAAGAACATAGTGGGCCAATTTATGAACTTTTTTTTTTCTAGGGGATGGTTATAAAGATGTAGGGATAGGGGTTCGAGTTTTAACGTATTGTGAAACAGCAATACGAGAAACAGCAATACGAGAAGCTTCACATTTAGCACATACCTTTAATACCAATTTTATACATCATGCAGAACGCGCACAGGTTTATCTAATATCATCAGGTTAGATACCTAGGCTTACAAGAATTGAATAAATTTTTTTTTTTTTTTTAAATATTAGAAGTAAACAATCGCTTCTATAAACATTGGATATGGTCACGACATGGTCGTATCTAAATTATATGCTTACATAATACGTTGCTGCTTCTATTTAGCCTCGGCATCTATTATGCACAAACACTCGAGCTTTATCGATAAGCTTTAAAGATATTGATTGCATTATAGAATGTCATAGTAGCTAAGCTTGGAACTATAATTAGATATTTTAATAATCATTCCAATCGTATGTTTATAGCTTCCATAGCCGACTCTTTCTTCGCTGAGATTATAACTTGAAAATACCCCTTTCCTTGTCTTGCGCCGCCTAGCGACAAAGATGGAGAATATTCCTTACTCAGATTCTGATATGACCTTCACGGGGTATGCACCTCCCTCTTTTTTTTTTCCTTGCTACAGTCTCCCGAATATGAAAGTCGAATTATGAGTGTCTGTCTCTTGACTAAATAAACTCATTAGCTTTGAAGGCGCCATAAGCACCCGTGCTATGACCCATCCGCATCGCTCCTTTGCTTTCGAAGTGACATTTGATCTGGCTCATCCGCGTCTTGTCGCGTTAGGATCGCAGAAGCCGCCTCTTCATTTCCACCCGTATCAGGAAGAGTACGTGCAGGTATTGGCGGGCCGCTTGGCCGTAGAGGTAAACGGACGTGAAGTCATATTAAGTCCAAGTGATGGCGAGTTTTGTCTACAACCATGGGTAGACCATCGGCTATACCCACCTCAATTGCCCCCCCAAGATGTACAGAAAGACGCCGCGTCGACGCTGGATAACACAACCAAGTTTCTACTTTCAGGCCAACAGACATTAAAGGCATTTAAACTTGACAACGTCTTCTTCCAGAGTTGGTATGCGTATCAAGACGAGATTGTGGTTGGTGGCAAGAGGCCCGACCCGATTCAAGTCATATCGGTGAGCTATCAGGCTTTATTTCCTGCCCCTATATGACCTTGCTCCATCTTGTGTATATAGCTAACATAAACAGACGTTCGACGCAGGAGGCTCATATCTATCGTTGCCGTGGTGGGTTCCTTTCAGACATGGAATTTCTCAAGCCGCTAGTATTTTGGTTGGGAGGTGGCTTGGGGGCTTATTAGGATACCAGCCGTTTTATCGCGAATGGTTGACTGAAGAAAATTGGCAATTGGCCTGTGAGAAGATGGAGTCTTCTTTTTTTCAGAGACGGTTTGCAGATCGTAGGCACTCGACTTGAACAATTAACCTCATATGCGACGATTCGTTTACATTAGCAATCACAACCTACTTCCAGATATATGTTCAAACGATAAAAGAAATAATATGAATTAAACTTGAGGTATTATTAAACTTCACAGCATTCTACATAATGACTAACATCCTCCACTACAAATCAACTACTTCAAGGGTTAGATATTGTTACAGCATTAAGAGTCAAGGGCTAAAGAGGTATTCTCCTTATTGATACCAGCCCAAGTTAAACTCTTCGCCCATATTGCTTCCTGCTTCCGTTCCTCTTTACTCTCTGGCGAACTCTCATCCTTCTTCAAAAGAGTATAATAACCCGCCTGTCCCACATATTTCGGATTAACAGCTAGCTCAATAACGTCTGCTCCAGCTGGGGCCGAGAGGCGCGCCGTATGGTCCTTCAGTCGAATTAGGGGTAGAAGAGGTCGAAGAACGAACTTCTGCATGTAAGTGAAGGGTTTTGGAGTATTAACTCGAAGCGCGCGTGAGTCGATTAGGTTCCCCGGATTAATTGCTACTACTGTGATCTTATTCAAACTTGGGTCCTATTAAACATCAGTTAACCTAGGTCATTCGTATGTGACTTTTGGCATATTAAACCACAAGCATTCTTAGATAAATACTAACCCTCTTCAAATGCCTATCCAGTGCATACGACCATGCTACAATTGCCAGCTTTGTATTCGCATACTTCTGGAATCCTAGACCTGTCTTGTCAGCCCCAGCATCGGCCTTAACGAGCTGTTCGAGGTCCTCCGGGATTGCTGGCGGATATTTCTCCACTGCATTGATAACGTTAGTTGCGGCCTGGTGACTTGGTACAGACTAAGTGGCAGCTAAAATCTCAGTCCCCCCAGAAAACGTGGGGAATTCGATCGATTGGCGTGCTGAAAAAACAAGCTAGGATTATGTTGATGCGAAAGAAGATACTAACAAGAGTTCTTGCCGGGCCAGTGTGCATCGCTGGAAAAAAGTACAACTCTTCCACCTTCCGGTCCGAAGCTCCCCAGGAGACGTAATACTAGAGCTACATGGGCGATATGGCCAATCTGGAAGGTTTTCTCGTATCCATCTTTTGTGAGCTCAGGGTCGCGGACGAGGTTCCAATAATACGCATTGGCGACGATGGCGCTAAGGGGAGGATACGAGTTATCAGCTACCTCTTTCTGAATTTTGCTGGCGAAACCATGAACGGCGGAGAGGTCAGCAAGGTCAAGCTGGTGGATAAATATCTTCGCATTTGGGTATTTCGATATTATCTCACGCAGTCTCTTGCTGTTGGCGTCATCAACATCTCGTACGGTTAAGATAGCTGCATATTCTGGGTGATGACGAAGGAGATGGTCAACGGCGTGTATTGCAAGGGACCCATTGGCCCCTGTGATAAGAACAGATCCTATCATGTTGAACGCGCCGTCTTAGCTAGAGAGGCGAGACAGGGTAGGTAAGCTAGAGACGGCTACAACCTACATATGACCTAGTGAATGAGCTCGGGAGATATTCGGAAGCCTATCTCGAGCTGGAAGGACTCGAAGGGGCTTTGACCTTGAGAAATATCAGCATGTTATTACAAACCAGTGAAAAACGCAATAACGGTGATATCAAACTGAGATCTCGAGTCACCGAACAAAAACGGTTTGCGTACCGTAAACGAGTATTACATGGATTATGGATTGCCACCTAGGATACATGCCCCATAAGATTCTGACCATTCACATCGAGCCAAGTGATGTCCCGCATACCTTTTCAGGAAACTAAAATATTACCATGTACCTAAGTATCTTCAGGACCTACCTATAACTCAAGATAGTCTCATTATAGGTTGCTTACCGAGAGCGTTGCATACAGGTAGCATGATATTACGACGTTATAGGTTTCACTGGAAAAAGAACCTGTTTTTAAGCTCAGCACGTGTTGTAGAAATACCACTTAGATGCAGCTGTCGGTATCCAGATTTCCCAGAATTTGGGCTCTTTTATTCCTAAACGACACATGCGACTCTATTGATCTTACCAAATCCGCGTAGTACTGTTGCTACCAGAGCCCGTCTTCGGTCACCTAAGTTCCTTGTAAAGGTTCCATCGTGCCTTGGACCTATAGTCCCCTTATTTACAATCTTAGTAGGTACTCCGAAAGTAACCCAATTGTCATTGACCCCCCAGCAAGCCAGAACCCATATCTAAACCACAACCAGCAACTCAGCGAATCCCCGAGGTCCACATTCAAGATCATTATTCCCAGGGACCCAAAGCAGCCCCCAACCGCCAGGATGTAATACCAGGGTCCCATCTGGGCCAGGTAGCCACTTGCAGAAAGCAGGGCCAGCATGCCGCCCAAAAGGACCCAAAGTAAGTACTTTGTTTTATTCCCGCATAAGACCGCCATGCTCTTTAGGTTTATTTTAGTATCATCCTTAACATCTTGATGTGCGTATATCGTATCGTAGATAACCGTCCAAAGGATGCATGCAAGGAACAGGAACGTAGTTGAATAACTCTCCAGGGGATCCGCGTCCATCGCCAGAGCACCCATGAAAACCCCCCACGAAAGACAGAATCCCAGCACAAACTGAGCGAAATAGGTATGACGTTTCGCATAGGGATAGTACATCGTAGCGGCGATGTTCGGCATTGCCCAATAGGCTGCGACCTTCTGCTTTGGAAAGCCGAGAAGGAATACTGCAGCGCTAACGGCTTGCGTCGCAGTAAAAACGAAGGCAGCCCGGGGTAATATTGCACCTCGAGCAATAGGACGATTGCGCGTGCGAGCAACTAACTTGTCGACAGAAGTATCTATCAGATCATTCCAACTATGTGCGCCATTGGAACAGAACAAACTGCCCCCAAGCAGCAGGACAGCGGCAGTCCGTAGGGCTGCGGGACTTGAGCCCTGCTGCAGGATGGCCGAGTGGAGAATACCAAGGAAATGTGGAATATAGATGAGAATAAGCCCAACAGGGGGGCTAAGTCGAGCCAATTGTATGTATGGAATCGCCGATGGCGGGAGGCGGCTAACCCATTTGCCCGTATGACCACCTCCATATTGCTGATCCAGCCCGTCGTTGCCGGTACTTTCCTGTAAAGGTACTTTCTCGTGAAGCTCACTAATTGCCATGGCGGAGAGCTGGCGCTTCGTCGGGCTTGGTTGGGGCTTTTGGTAATATCGATTTGAAGAGGAGTCTCGAAACCATGCTCATATTTCAACATCGCTCGCTTCTGGGAAAGGTAGCTATACTTACCTACTTAAATATTCAACTGTCACTCCTGATACCGAGGTTTGAGCAAGCTAGTAGTCGTACCTAGTCCAATCTTGTGAACCCATGCCTGCTCCCGAAAATCAAGGTACCAAGATACAACAGTTTTGGTTACATGGCCCGTCTATAGTCCCAGTCTATTCTTATTTTGACCTTGACCGTTTCTATACGTACATGGTGGCGTGGATAGCTCCCAAGTGGTCCCACTGATGGATTTGTATCTCGCTCAATGACTCCAATGTTCGACCAAGGCGCAGTCGTAGCACTCTGCAACAGCCACAAGCTACTACAAGAACAGGCCGCTAATTTAGGATATCGAATGCGAAGCTGTTAGGTAATCTTCATATACGGTATTGCCAGACGTTTTGTTAAGTAGGACAGCTTTTCATTAATGAAGGTTTATGCCATTCTGTTCACTATTGACAGTTGTCATACTCTGACATTATGCTGAAGAAGCTATCCCTTCTAGCTGCTTTAGGCTCGCTTTATTCACGCTGCCTAGGGGCGGCTCTTACTTCCGAGCCAAGTCTGACGCTATGTAAACAACTCGATGATACATTCGGAAGTGCTATCGTATTTCCTAATGATACGGAATATGCTACTTTAAGAACAGAGAATTGGTAAGCTTATTAGCAGAACATCTGTCTAGGTACCTGTTACGGAAGCTAACAGTGTAAGGTCTCAAACTGCGTGGAAGACGCCGACCTGTATTTTTCAGCCAGAGTCTGTAGAAGACTTGCAAACGGTTATTCCCAAGTTGGCAGATGCCAATGTCAGCTTTGCTGTGCGCTCGGGAGGCCACTCCCCGTCGCCTGGGGCTGCAAATATCGATCAAGGGGTCTTAATTGACCTTTCGAGGTTCAATTCCGTCGATTACGATGCTGAGAATAATGTGGCCAACATTGGTGCTGGTCAAAAATGGGAGAATGTTTACAAGCAACTTGATCAATTCAATGTCACTGTTGTTGGCGGAAGAGTGCTGGACGTCGGTGTAGGAGGGCTAATTCTCGGAGGTAAAGTCTTCTAGTTTCCAACTTAGAACAATCACTAACATGTAAACTACAAGGCGGCCTCTCCTATTTGTCTGATCTTCACGGTCTAGTTTGTGATAACGTGGTAGAATTCCAGGTAGAATCCCATATTTACCGAGTTTACGATATACGATGATATTAACTGCCTACTAGGTTGTTCTAGCTAATGGGTCTTTTGTTCATGCTAATGCAAACTCCAACAAAGATCTGTTTTGGGCTTTGAAAGGAGGAGCCACTAATTTTGGTGCGTTTATTTCCTACCCCTCAAGACTCACTTAGCTAAGACGTACCTATATAATAGGCATTGTAACTACGTTCAAGCTCATCACATATCCTGTCCAGCAAGTCTGGGGTGGGATAAGAGGATACACGCTGGCAGACGTTCCGGAGTTACTTACTGCTGCCTTCAAGTATCAAACAGCACCAAATAAGGACCCTTATGCAAATTTGATGCTTCAAGGGTTTCCTATTAACGAGTCTTTTGGGGTTGTGCTCAGCTTGATCTACCTGAAGCCGGAGCCTAATCCCATAGCGTTTGAGCCGTTCTACCACATCAACACTACATTCGACACTACAGCAATCAGTTCCTTCACGGAATTCCTTAGCGGACAAGCACAAGCACAGCTCCCACCGAGGTACGTACCTATTTACCAATTCCTTCAACACCGTTTGGCGATGTATAAGTCCAATCAGCTTCGTGTAGCTGGTTGAAGAAATGAAGTCCTCGTCACCGAAGTTGCTATGTCAAGCCTTTTCCCCTTTTAGTACATTAGAAAGCTACGCTCCTACCCCATTAGTTGATTGAGGTAGACTCTAATGTAGGTACAGGATTGATTGGTTTACTACCACCTTAACGCCGAACAAGGAGTTGTATGATAAGATTGGCTCTATTGTAACTACGTCAAAAGCGCTAGACAAGATCCGCTCGGCTACTGCGGGATCTACCTCCTTCTCTATACAGCCAATATCCAGCAGTGTTATCGAGGCTGGTAACGCAAAGGGTGGTAACGCTTTAGGATTAACGGCCGTCAACCAAACTTGGTTCAAAGTTGATTCTGGTTGGCTGTGGCCGGATGAGGATGAGATAGTACATAGCGGCTCAACGCAGTTGATCGGCGAGGTTCAAGCTGCCGCAAAGGAAAGCGGCAACTCTTTACGGTACATTTTCATGAACGATGCAAGTTGGGACCAAAAAGTCATCGACCATTACGGCACAAATAATGTTCGGAAGTTCCGGCGGATACAACGTGAGTACGATCCGGACTTGGTGTTCCAGAGGTTGGTCCCAGGGGGTTATAAAATCCCATGATGTGACGGAAAAGGGAGCAATAGGAACGGTTTCTGTGTACAAGACATACATGAATCCGTATAGTGTTAGTTATTTGTAAACCAATGTTCATACTGTTCATCATACGTCGTGGAGATCCTGAAATGCAGAATGCTTACATTGGAGTCTAAGAGTCCCTTGCTCGGGATGCTACCTCTTAAGTGCTTACTTAGACCCACAGGTGCGAACTAAAAAAGCCACAATATCTATCGAAATCGTATATATTCCAAGATCTAACCGTTGTTTATTGAGATCCCATCCTTGGAAGGGCCAGGTTTGTTACTGAATTTCGAGTAACCAACAGATCTCTACAGCTCGAAGGAGTTCAAAGGATCCTAGACAAACCTTAAACGGACAATTCGGAATCCCAAGTATCCGTAAACATCGTGGATGTCCGCTATATCCGGTAACTAGCGATCGGAGAGACCAGGGTTTAATTGTTCTAGTTGCTGCTGACACAAGGTATCCGCTTGAAACGGTTTACTGTCAAATCAAAGACTCGACTCCAAGCCATTGCAACGTAGCAGTGCATTTAGCTGTAAGACAGTTTAAGCTTACATACTCCAGCCGTTGCGATACGACTTTGAATTTAAATTATATTAAGCTGTGCCACCCACCATATTGGAATCATGTAACCCATGGTATCTTCCGAAAAGCTGATATGGGAAAGGCGGTGACACTAATAAGATTCTCATAAATGACATATGATATTTGCGGGGCTGTAGATAATTGATATTGCTCCCCATGTGGTGGCATTAAATTCGCGACATGCAATTCATTTCGAGGTTGTTAAGCGAGTATAAATTTACTTTTTATCATGCGTGTTAGTTTCTCGCTTTTAACTCTTCTTTCTCAAGAGGGTAAGATTGTGCGACCCCAAGTGCAGCAAAAGCGACACTCATCAAGTAGGTTGCAGTTACTATGACATCTAGTTATTAGGTAATTTTGAATCATGAAATCCTTTCAAACGTATCTATTTGGAATCTATATTACTAAGTAGAGATGACATGAAATAGGTTCATACCACCTAGAAATCATACGATCGCCTAAATATGTCACCGAAAGACAGCATAGTTACAATATAGGTACATAGGTATCTAGGTAGATAGCTAAAGTAATAGTATACTTATTACCAGCTCAGCGCTTTATATGCTATGTTTAAACCTAAGCACTTGATGAAGTGTAGTCGAAAGCAATTATCGTATTGATCTATGATTAGGTAGGTAGGTACCTTCTATAACCACCATATATAAAGCGTCTCCCAATGACTCAACTGATAGATTAAAAAAGTTATTCACAATTTAGAAAGTAGGAACCCGTCGTTCTGTTGCTTCTGGAATAATTGCGAAGCATCGTACTTCTGAGATATTTGCTTCAGCTTGTTGACGTTTTCGGTGCCGTACGATGCGAGCGGGTTCTGATCTCGAGAAGCGTCGTTCATGAAGATGAATGGTAGCGATGAGCCTCGCTCGTCTCCTAGCTCCTTCCACTTTTGGCTTGTCTGGATCGAGACCGACCTCACGAGATCGTCGTCCTTCTCGTCATTCCAATCAACAATTGTCGTCCACCCTAGTGATTTATTGGTTAGGTAAGTTATCCACGACACTATGCTTGGGAAAAGGTTAGACATACATCCATGGTTGTCCTTTAGGATATTCATTGGATTTCCCCCTTTCTGTTCTCCCTGTATGGCAACATTCTTGGGAACAGGCTGGATCGTGAAACTCTGGTTGGCTCCTGTGGCGTCGCGAACTGCAAGGGCTTTCTCCCGCCAAAAGGCGTACACGTCTTTGTAAAGTTGGGCGTCGATACGTGTACTGGCGGCTCTGTAATCATGGCTGTTTACAATTTCATTAGCTCATATTCCAAATAGTTCTTAACATTATGAGTACATACCGGTCTGATCCAGTTCCAGTACTAGCCATTATCGCCGTCAAGGCGGTAATTGAACCGTTTGTTGGTGGCACAGCGACCATAAGTGGTTCTATGTCTCTAAAGGGTGCAAACGCGCTTGGTTGATCCCCTGTAGGTTCCGAATATACCAGGCCAAGGCTGATGGAGTCGAGAGAAATACCAAGACCTACGGTGGACTTCAGATCAGTTGCGCCTTCATTCTGCTGCCACTTGGCGTATGCATCAAAAAGATCGTCAGCTTGGTCGACGGAATATATCGACGCCTGATACCAGATCCCTCTTACGGGTACGGTATATAGGTCAAATCGAGTCACGATTCCGAAGTTAGGCCCACCACCCTTCAAAGCCCAAAAGAGATCCGGGTTGACAGTAGAACTGGCGTTTGTAATCGTGCCATCCGATAGGACAATCTAGAGCTCAATTTAGCGCGTGAAGTCTAAGCCGAGACCTAGGACATAATTGCCACCCGCCCGGGATGTTCACTAAGGAATACTACATACCTCAAAGTTCTTCACGTTATCAGCGGCAGTACCAAACTGTCCCGTGAAATGAAAGTAACCCCCTAAGAGTGTTAAAGATACTTGGGAACAACAGGGGCTCGTAGGTAACATACCACCTAGTATAACTCCTGCTACACCGACACTGGGAATTCGCCCACCTATAACCATAGCTCCTTGTGCGTCCAGAGTAGAGATCACCTCACCCCACCGGGCCCCGGGACCAATACTCGCCACTTTCTTATCGCAGCTTAGGCTGATTTGATTCAAATTTTGCAAGTCCACAAGAATTCCTCCCTGCCCCACGCTTGACCATCCAGGGTTGGGAGAATGGCCACCGCTACGAACTGCAAATTTGACGCCGTAGTAGCTAATCGTTTTGATGGCATTCGATACATCTTCTGCTGTTTTCGGTTGGATTATGCAGTAGGGCTCGGCGACACAGGCTTTTGACCTAGATACATATGAGACTCAAATAATGAATAGACTGCCTAGGTAGGTAGGTAGGTATGTAGAACTTGCCAGTTTTCACCCACCACTGTTTCGTTCAGGGGAGATGTATCAACTATGGATGATCCAAGACTGAGCTGTATCGCTGTACAAGCTGCCTCAACAGAGCTTGCATCGGTTGTTTCTGTACCGTACTTCTCTTTTAGGGTTTCAGCCTGTGCTTCTGACAAGCCTATGCTGTTGTAAAAAGCTTGGAATTTTTTGCTCATATTGTCCCGAGATTGAAGGTGAGCGCTTGTATGTGAGGTAGAATCGGCGAGTACTATGTTAGAATTGACAATGCTCAACAGTGATAATGCACTGATAATGCTGGAGAGCACCGCCATAGCCCCCTAGAGCTAGAAAGGGAACGCCTTTCTTGGCCTTCTCTGAATGCAACGTTATGCAATTGTCCTATCCTAACGACTGGTCATTATGAGCTCTCCCATTGTTCTGTACCAATATTGCTGCTGTGTTACACTTACCTAGATTAAACCAATAGGGTTGCAACCTCTAGCCTGTTGGACGATGAGATGCTACCAAAAGCTGCAGGACTAAGAGGTAGCTGGGCTATGTAATCGTGTTGGAACACCGATGCATAGAATATTATTTAGAACAATGATAGAACAACGATTAATTAAGTCAAGATCTACTCAAGGAGTGTCGTTGCACAGAGTTTAATACTTCGGAGTTAAAGCCATCTAATAAACTCGCTTCAAGTTCGCAATCTGATCCTGCCAGCTAGTTCATTTTACCTATACGATATTCAGCAATTAATATAGGACCGCAAGCAGCTAGCCTCAGCTTCAGCTTCCGCTTCAGCTATGAAAGATAATGCCATGACCTCAAACAACCCCCGGAGAACACCCCTTTTTTGAGTGACGAAAGAACATTGCAGCTAGAATCCTTCTGTGGACATTCTAGACCGGTCTTACACATCCTTTATATTTCAATGATGCCAGCGTCTCACCTAGTTGGGACAGTCTGAAGGCTACAAATACCACCACTCTTCCCCCCGTAGGTGCTTATTTCCTGCCGAAACTCTCCGGAGGGGGAGGGGGGGAGCTAGGCCACGCGTTATACTACCTGTCTATTTAGGTAGCGTAGGTGATAAGTCAGATTATTGTCACCCATACATGCAGCCTACCATTCCACCCCTTCGGATAGCACGGACTAGATACCTCATTATGCTATACTTTGCAATAATCACGCTAGGTTAGGTACTTATTAGAGCACTGTGCCGTAGGCGAGGGACTTCTAATCGTTATGGATAAGTACTAGCTTCTGCTCTAACTCCCCAACCCATATGCACGTAAGTTGGAGGATCTACCCATCTTGTAGATATACCCAATCTCAATGTAACATTATAACATGGTAACTATCAAGTTCGCACTGTACCCTCCAAGTTGATTGGTGCGCAGTTCGATATATCTCTAGGCAGTACCTAGGTACAATATGTCCCTTTGTCCTTGGCTGTCAGCACAGCAATTTGTTTTCAATTTCTTGCTCATCGTAATTGTATGAGTAGGTACCTAAGATAGTCTTAAAACCGGCCTTGATAATCAATACGGTCTCGGAATTATTTAACGAAGATTTACATTTTGTACTATTATTAATTGAACAGATACGTTTAATGATGGGCATTTCTCGTAGATAACTTCGTAAAATTGTATAGTTACATTTCTTTTTTCATAACTTTTGGTTTCATATGTACAACTTCCAGTTGCATCATCTCTATCGGCGGGAAATGCCGCGTTATAATACAGAGGGTCGGTTGACGAGCGCTTGATATACCTAATACAGTGACTTCCGGGACCATATGACGTGACGCCCACATTCGTAGAATTCAATAATAACTCCTATTATCAGTAGATTGCGCGCGACTATCGGCTTTTGACCTTCCTGTATCCCGTAGCTCGATCTGTGATTCGCTCAGGGGTCGAAACCCTCCTTTACTAGCTGTCTGCTTGCTGCCAAATGTCGGTGGGTTTGATTGGGAGTCATACGTCGTAGCCTTGGAAGTCGAGATTAAACTAGACCATACTTTTGTGACATGTCCTGCAACTAACTTCATGGAATGGCCGAGTGCTGGTAGCGATGCTCCAATGAGGGCGACAGTAGGTTCAACTTGAGATGGGATCCAGAATGTCTCGCCATAACCAGCGAACGACCCGGCAATATAGCGCGAGGCGAGGTATTGGAAAACTAAGAGCTTTTGTTAGATAGGATAAAGATGAAAAAAAAAAGTCTTGGTGATACTGACAGACGGGATCCGTAACCACAAATCTTCGAATGCCATCCACAAACAGCGCTAACTTCAATGCTGCAGCAATACTAGCCCTGTATTTTATATAAGTTTATACTCGAATACTCCGGAGGGGAATTACTCACGCCGCACCCAACATGAAGATAACCAGGATACCAAGACGTCTTCGCCAACCCATATTGAGCTTCAAAACTGGGAATATTGGGAATACGAGCAAGACAACATCGTACGCTAAGCTAACGCTGTAGAGGCCGATCGTCGAGTACGTATAGTATAAATCGTTGCAGTGAAAAGGATGCTGTAGAGGGTCCCATGCCCAGTATAGCGGTTGGCAAGCGAATATGGGTGTAATGGAGAAGACCACGACGTAGACACCCTGCAAGGCCAAAAATGCATAAAGAATCCGCCTGATCGTGACATTGTTACCGTGTCCAAAGATACGTAGGTAGAATAGGGTGATAGAAACTCGGATGGTGCCTGACATTATGGGGTACAGCCATGCCGTCGCTACGATTCCTTTGTACCATAGGGAATATTCCTCTATGGTGATTTCCCATAGAGGTTTATCGACTCCCGCATTGAGGTTGACGTAGGCTGCTAAACTCGACCAGCCGATGTACAAGATCTAACTGAAAATGAGAAGCGATCGTGTGTAATGGGGTGTCTTCAACTTACAGTTGCTGGTATGATGGCATAATCATCCGCTCCCAAATTCTTGGATCGAGCTCGGAGTGTAAATCGCGCTACCACGAATCCCGTAGTAACAATGCAGAGGGCTATGCAAGCGGCTGCGATTCTGTACACCTTATGGGTGTCGTTAACCTCGGTGGGAAAGGGGATCAGTTCGTCTAGAGGCACAAGTGCAGCCATATCTTGCGATGATGGGATGAATCGTGACACAGCAGTCAAATTAGAGTAGAGGCAATCGAAACCAACTCTGGATGAAACTTGGGGGGTACGATTTGGGGGAGAAAACCAAGCACCTCAGTGATCTCATAGGCGCACCAGACTTGCCTTATAGGATCATACCTTTCCTACGGAAGGATGTCGCGAAATGCCTCTAACATATAATGCGTCGTAGTGATCAGGAATCCCTAACACAACGGCGATGCATAACCCCTTCGATTAAAACGCCTATATCTTGATATGAGACAACTTACTGTATGAGGAATACCTTGGGTCTGCTTAACACTATTGAATCTACCCCAGAGATGGGAAAGCGACGAGCCCAAACATGTGAGATCCTACATCAGACGAAAAGACGGCCCCTCCAAGACGCCTCTAGGCCGGGAAAAGGTAGCACTGCATCTGGAGCCATGCTGACGCTGAATTCATCATACCTACCCACCATTACAACGAGCTGTCCAATAGAATGAACAGGAATAAAAAACGTCAATAAAACCGTTCCATTACGGTTCAGGTGGCGAGCTTAACGACCCGCCACTTTAAGGCCTCTTCTATTTAAAGGATGACTAGTTCAGTTTTGAAAGCCTGGATATTGTACCGAATGCTACCCAACTAATAAGCACCACTACATCCTACAAGCTCCTGCAAATGCGCCTCTTTCTGGCCTTCACCCGGGAGCTTTCGACATTCCAGGCCACCAGCCCGCTTCATTGCCACTATGTGATGTAACTCGATGCATCAGAAGCGTGGGAAGGGAGGATAGAATCTTGTATACAACTCGCATGATATTACTTGTTTAGTTACACAAATTAATCGTCTCGTCGGATTGAGCGCAGCTCGTGATCTCATGATTGGATGGATGTAGACCGGCTCCATCAGATAGATGTACGGATAACGAGGTATTGGCAATTCATTCGTCTACTGAATAGTGGGCTAGAACAAAGACGAGTGATATAGCGAGGCTTGCGAGTATGTATTCAAATCCAAGATTGTTCGAAAAGCTTAATCATCCATCCTACCAACGCCTCCTCCACCGAATCTTCATATCCCGGTCCGGAGGAGTTGATACCGTGCCGGCGAAGTCTTTACTGTTTCTGGGTGGCCGGTCGGACTTCTTGCCGTCTAAGGTTGTCCACTCGATGAATTCTATATCGAATTTAGACACTATGATAGCCAGGCCCATGATGATTTGTTGCCTTGCAAAGTGCCGCCCAGGACAGACTACATTGCCTCCTCCTGTTGATGTAACTGTCAGCTAATAGCGTTTCTAATTTGGCTGCAAGGGAACTTACCGAATGGAAAGAATGAACTAGGACGAGCCTTTGCGAAAAATTCTGGTTGAGTGATAGGATTTCCGGATTCGTCTTTTCCTTCTACCAGCCGAATATGCCTCCCCGGCCAGAACTCAGACGCCGGGTGCCCATCAATGGCCCAGACAGCCTCTTCATAGTGAGCTACGTCCGTAGGAGCCTGTATTAGCGACTCCTTTCCTATACGATAGCCGCCAATATAAATAGTTTCGCGAGCCTCTCGGGTCAGCATAAATGATGTGTGCATGCGTAATGTTTCTTGGAAGATGGCCTGCAATAGGGGCGATGCTAGAAGTTTTTGCGTATTTATGTGGCGTTCTCCGGTGCTTGCGTCGACTGTAATTGCTTTTTGAGCTTCGTCTCGTACGTCTTGTAGAAGGCCAGGCCTCTGCAGAGATTCCATTATGGCCCACGTCACCGACGGGACACTATTTCCATTGATCCTGTACATTATTAGCACGATCCACATATCGTTACCCCGGTGTAGGGTGTGGACTAACCCAAACAATCTCGCCATAGTGTGACCGGATGCAGTTTCTATCGAGAGGTCATTTTCTTTCATCCATACTGCTATCTCCCGAGAAACTCGTGCACCGAAGTGAACGTCCCAGTCTGAATCTGCATCAGGCCCATTCCAGTCAAAGTTAGCCCATGCGGCGTCAAGGTACTTCGCCATCATTGCACGCAGTTTATCTCGTATCTTATACGGCCGAGGGGTAATAAAGCTAGGTAAACCCCAGACTAGCTTCCCAAGGTTGGCATCTAAGCCCCAGAGAGCATCAACAAGGTCTGGGTTGAGTTCAAGCATTCGAGGTCCAAACATGGTGATAACGGCACACTCGGGTATAGCATATCTCATAAAGTTAAAAAGGTTGATAGTGGTCCATTCGGTGGTAGGGAATTCGTCAAGCTTCTTCACTAGCACATCAAAGAAATGCTGGCCTAATTGGTTGCTGTAAGGAGGCTGGGTGAGATATTTGTCGTAGATCTGATGTTCCGTATGCCATAAACGCTTTTGATCTGGACTGGTCATCGTGCCCGGTATGGGAGACGTCAAACGACCGGTTTTGTCGTTTGCAAATCTCTTAGATTCCTCTTTAGGAACTCCCCATAACTTATCTATAAGAATAAGAGGGACTATATTTGAATTCAACGACGAATTTGTGACAAATAGCTTCTGGACAAGATTGGGGCCTGTTATCCAATAGACAGGTCTCAGTGCCAGGTTGAACCTAATAACTTTCCTCTCCCGTAATAGGGGTCTATAACACAGTTAGTTCGAAATGGCAAATTGAAGCGGCTTGGAACGAAGAATCTCACATAGCCCTCTCTAGAAACGCCCCCATATTGGTCAAGTTTTGGAAAGTGTTGAATATAAAAGGGATAGGATCTTTGAGCTGCACTGGTGCTTCCGCTTTGCCGATGGCCTCCGTTCGAAATATAGCAGCATAACCAATCCACAGAATAATAGCGAGTGGAATGACGACGAGTCGCACATCCACCTCGCTGGATACGCGATCATTGATGAAATGAATATTGTCCATGATCGTTCATACGAGTGTACCGCGTGCTAAACCTCATGAATCGATTTTTGGTTTATGGAGGGGTTCCCAACTTATAAGGCAGTCTTATTCAAATTAATGTTCACACAGCCAACAACAGGTACCTTTGGATTTGTATCCATATTCACATGTAAAGATCAGCAACTGTAACCATATTCGACTATCCGTATCTATCGTAATAACACATATAAGGTCTATTTCGAATATCTCCACTTTTCGAATTGCGGGCACTAAACTAACAATAATAATAGTGTTTGTTGGCCTAAATGCTCACCGAACAAAATAGCGAGGCGCTTTGGCGGAGTGGTTAACGCGATGCCCTGCTATATCTTTAATATAACGGAAGGCATTTCCTTCGGGAGCGCAGGTTCGAATCCTGCAGGCGTCGCTTTTAACAAATGTCACCGCATTTCATTTTTGCCCTTCATCTTTAATTGAATGTTGATTTTTTTTTTTTTTACTTCACATCAACAACTTCACATCCCTTTCCACAAGGCAAGCAACGTCATTTCTAGTTTCCAAATAGCTAGTTACTTCGTACAGACTTTTTTATACAGATAGGTACCTATTAATAACTTTTATGAGAAGACCCAATAATTCTAAACGATTATTCTATGGCTTCTTCCATCGAATCTTTTCATTTCGAAGATCACGATGTCTCATTACATAGGCAGTGAAGAGATAAATGAATCACGTATTTGAATACGGCGTATATACACGCACGGTTCTTAGCGAGCGAGCTGCTATGACCAGTCCGTCGAGTCACAGTCACAATTTGATTCGCTTGGCATGTTAGAATATCATCATCGGTCTTTAAATGACAATGCTTCGCAACAACAACATGTCTTCTCATTGTGGGAATGAATACCAGCTCAATCCCGGCGGTTAGGTTTGATATTGATGAATTCTCATCAGTTCAGTTTCTCAACCAACCGCCCATATTCACGGATAGCAGCAGCGATTAGAAACCCCCTGAAAACCTCCACCCGGGATGCGATCTCGCCATCGCGGCATTTCTTAGGGATCCCCACCTACAGTGTGTCATTGACGATGGAGGCAAAGCACAAAGCCGTCGAGGTGCCGAGTAAACATCAGTCTTCTCGCCCCACAAGAATCCTAATCTGGGTCATCCTACCGGCCATCTTTGTCGCTCTCGGTATCGCATCGCCCCCGACGGCGCTGCTTTCCTTGTTCGTCCTAACCACGAAGTTCTTTATGTTACGGTATGACCGCGCGCGTCCCGTAGACTAGAGGACGGATATCGAGACCTTCGTTTGGACGTATGTGCTTGTCGGTACCGTTGGCGTTTTCGCTGTCATTGTTGTCCAATCCCTCTTATTCTACCTATCCAACTATGCGCTGTTCCCGTCCTCGGCGCGTACCTTTCTTGCTGAATTCGCAAGGGGTGAAGGTGAAGTCTCTGGCCTAGATGCCGAGACATCAGCTATGAGAAGACGGATAGCCGGTAGTTGGCAGTATTGGACTTTCATGTTCTTGTTCGCGTACCTTGGTGCGAGTATTCCGGACTAGCATATGCTCGACGTCGGGGGCGCATTGCGCACGAGCATAACTATATTACGTTGGCCGCCGCAGCCGCTCTAGGTTTCAGTACCTTCGAGGACATCGGGTTCATCTATGCTGCCGTGCAGGAGAATAAGGGCGTTGCGCATCTTGCGCTGGCTATTGTTGAACGCGTACTTATCGGTTCGCCCATGCATCTGATAAGCGGCCTACTCATCGGTCTAGGCACCGCCGGCCGGGACTTCCGCGGGAAGAGCTCAAGTCTAGCACATATTATAGATCTTCCCGCCCTCATCCACGGGGCCTGGGACTTCTCCCTATTTAGCACCAGTGCCTTAAACGGGAATGTTGGATGGATCCACCCATACGGGAAGTCGTTACTGGCTGTTGTCGTTATTTATGTTATCGTCGAAGGTACACTGCTTTTCGTCGTCCAGAGACAATTTACTAGTTGGAACTCTCACGAGGTATGTTATTTTCTGTAATACTCGAGCTTGGAATAGCTAGGCCAGCATAGATTTAATTGAGGCTAACTTGCGGTAGAGTAAAACGAAGTAAAGGGCCTACGAAGGGAATTTTAGTGTACGAAGGAAGATGTATTTTATCAGATAGACTCGGCTCATCATCTGCATATACGACACCCTACCCCTGATATTTCATGGCCTGCAAGATCCTCGCTAACATATTGTTAAAGAGAGTACATGTTTTCCTTCGCAACTGTTGGCATCTAATAGCTAAGGCCCTGGCTGAGAAGTTTCGAAACTAGGCAGAGTTCAGAGCCAGCTCCTTAATAAATATATCAGCTGCTCTTTCTCCAACAGCCAAAGCAGTATCGTTGGTGTTCGCTGCCACATTACGAGGTGCAATACTAAGATCTGCAATCTTAAGGCCCTGGACCCCATAAACGCTTAGGGTAGAGTCAACTACGCCCCTTTCAGCTTGTGGGAGCATCTTGCACGTCCCGAGCGAGTGCCAAGTGGTGCTCACGTTCTCACGTAGCCACTTCTCCAGCACTACCTCGTCCTCGGCTGAATATTCGATATCAGGCACGTCGGCGGGAAGTGGGCCTTCGCTCAGCTTAACGCTCGCAGCACTCGAGTTAGCCGCGAAGGGCGGATGACACTGGGCCATCTCGCCCCGGTACGAAGTCATGCGCCGGATTACCTCACGCTGCTTCTTGTATAGCCACATGTGCTTCTTGATGTCAAGCTGGCCCTCATCCGCGAAAAATCCCGTCTCAAAATCAACAGGGTCGCCCACGTTGGGGCCTGTGATGTGGATATGTCCGCGCGAAAACGGATAGACAGTAAAGGCCGTTACGGCGAGACAAGGGTCGCCGGTAGCGAGACGGAGATCTCCCGGGAAACTATTCTCTGGTCAGAACGACTTCACATATTATTCAAATGTTCTCTTGGAAAGGCCTCACCCGGCGATTACGTTGATGATTCCCAAGGGTTTATCAGGATATTCTTTGAACTCTTTGTCCCATGCCTTCTGGAACTCTGGTCCAAGAGCAGCGACTTCGGCATCTGTTGGCCGCACCTTGGCTTGAACTTCCTGGCCATTCCATCCTAGCATTTTCTCGTTATTCTTCACTAAATCCTCGTAGCTTCCCATACGGCCGAGCACGAGCCCATCGAGCGTGTCTGTGGGGGCTAGGGTATTTAGGTATGGATAGCCAAGTAAGTGGTGATCTTCGTATCCATTCCCAACACCAGGAAGGTCGACTACAACCGGAACACCAGCACGTTCTAGGACATTTTTCTCGCCGATACCCGATCTCTCTAAGAGAGACGGTGTGCCACATGCTCCACAAGATGCAATTACTAATTTCCTTGCCTTGACACTGCGAGAGACTTGATTAGTATCGTCAGGGTGAAAGAGTGGGTTAGGCCTAAACTCGACTCCTACGGCCTTCTTCTCGTCTAGCAGGATACGTATAACCTGCGATTCAACAAGTACATGCAGATTTGGATGTTTCCCGTCGCGAATACGGGGGTGGAGATAGCATGATGCTGCATCCTGGCGTTTGCCGTCAGGCGAGATAAAACGCTTGGCTCTCCACAAGGCATTGACAGAGTCGAGGTCTGACAAATCCTCGACCTCAGGCCAGCCTAGTTTACTTGCCGCTGCGATGCACTCATCTGCAATCTTGGACAAATTATATGTGCCACGAGATATGTGAATTGGGCCGTCATTGCCGTGGACGCCCTTCTCATCTTTGCCATGGTATGTTTCGAGCTGTGAAATTAGTATGAGTAAGACTTATCAGCATTATTCAATAAGAATAATCACCTTTTTCAAGAATGGTAGCATATCATCCGCTGACCATCCTGGTGCTTTCCACGAGTCCCAGTCAGATCGCTGAGCTCGACTGTACATCATCATGTTGGTAGACGAGCCTCCTCCAAGCACACCACCAGCCGGCATGATGAGAGCTCTGTCTGCCACCTCCGAAGACTGCTTTGCCATATAGAAAAGGTTTGTCTTGCTATCGGGTGCGAGGTGTGACATGAAAAATGCAGGATATTCAATAGTAGGCATCTCATTGTTTGAACCGCCTTCAATCAACAAGATAGATAATGCAGGGTGTGCATCCGCAAGCCTAGAAGCAACGACGCAGCCAGCGGTTCCGCCTATTTGTGATGCATTTGTTAGTATACTTTATAAGCCTAGGCCTTTTGATAAATTATTCGTACCTCCGGCAATGATGACATCGACTTCGTCCACCGCGCCTGGGAGTTTCGTGTACAACCCCATGATGTCAAAGAATATTGTAATTCTATAGCTTACCTAGTTAACTATAAACTAGGCAAATGTTAGGGTTCTGACGCTTTGGAGATGTGAAGTTGTTATCCGATTTGAAGGGGAGGGGTTTACCCAAAGGCTGTGTTAACATGTTGGCTACACGCTCCTAGAGGCCTCTGCACGAGGGCATGTTGGATATAACAAGTTGGATATAAATAGATTGTATGATCCAATTGGATAAAATTAATTACGCTATGGTTACTTTGCAATATTCTTTGTTGCGTCTTTGTTGGTGCAGTCGTCGTTTTTAGTATTATCCCTTGCTTACCGAGTCGCTGCCCGCAGTTACCGGCTCTCCAGACTATCCCGCTCAGGCGAGAGCTCAAACCGCAGTATTTGCCTTAGATTTCTGCATATTAATTTTATATTCCATACAATCCAGCTATCGTGTTGCTTGTGTTGTATACCGTAATAACTACTACAAGAATAGCACAGCTCCGATATATCTCTTGTACTCTTATTTTATCTTTCCTTCGAGCTTAACTCCTATTTTAATGAAGTTACCCTAGCCGCGAGACAGGAACTTAACTGGGCCCTAGGTAAATTAACTGTAAACACACTACGAACAGACCCCTTCTAACATACCAATTCTCGAACAGTCTACGTGATTGAATCAACCCTTGCACAGCTGGTATCTGGTTGCCGGAGTGAGAAGTCACCTGATCGAAGCCGAATAACTTCATTGTCTCCCTTGTTTCGAGCCAACACGTTGTGTAGAAAATCCTCAAGCCGCTCCCATTATCTACAAACCTCACTTTTCTTTTTCAGCATGCCACGCGTTTTTTACTTACGCATACTGAATACCTGGTAAGTATCTACTCAAGATAATATCTTCTCCAACGTCTTCTCCAACCTAATTCATACAACCCAAGGATTCCGCAATAATTCCACTGCAAAGTAACGAAAGCCCACAGCGTCATGGCTCCAACATCAACAGTCAGAACATCACTAGAACTTCGCACGGATATAGGAGCCCAGAGAAGCTATGGCGGTGAGAAGGGGATTCTTCAACAGCCGAGCCCCGAAACCACCAGCAATGACGAATCTGGAGTTGAGCGGGGCGTCAGGGGCTTTAGATGGGTTCTCGTTGTTCTAGCAGTCTTATCTTCGACTTTCCTTTACGCGCTCGACAACACCGTTACGGCAAACGTACGGCCTAGCATGATTGAAACCTTTGGAAACCGGTTCGACATGCTTCCGTGGCTTTCCGTCTCATATCCCATGGGAGAGGTGGGCATGAATCCTCTGTGGTCCGTCTCCGAATACGTCTTAATTGCAGAGTCCCTTTGATTCGTAGCTTCTAACCTGGCACAGGGGTAAGCTCTATAAGCTTTTCAATAACAAGCTTCTGTACCTGGCTGCGGTTCTCGTATTTGAGATCGGCTCCGCAGTCATCGGCTCCGCACGGTCGATCGAGGCCGTCATTGCCGGCCGAGCCATTGCCGGCAGCGGCGGATCCGGAATTTACGTCGGCACTATAAACATTATCTCGGATATGACTATGGAGGCCGAAAGGGCGACATACTTGAACTATGTCGGTATGTGCTGGTGCCTTGGGACTATTCTCGGCCCTGTTATTAGCGGTGCATTTGCCGACTCGTCGGCTACTTGGCGATGGGCCTTTTATATCAACATCTGCATCGCCGCGGTTGCTGCACCGGCATGCGTTTTCCTCATCCCGCCATCTCCTTCTCGTACGACAGAATCCCTATGGGCCCGAGTTAAGCGCATAGATTACACCGGGGCGATCCTATTCCTTGGAGGCACCCTTACTATTATCATGGTACTGAGTTTCGGCGGAGCCTTGTATAGTTGGACAAGCGGCCAAATGATTGGCTTATATGTAGCAACAGCAGTTATCTGGTTGACCTTTGGCATTCAGCAGCGTTGGAACCTGTTGACCATTGACCGCATCTTTCCGGTCCAATTTTTCGGCGATTGGGAGATGGTTATTTTCTTCTGTTGGGGCTCACTCTCAATCGCAAACGTTGTGGTGACGATCTATTCACTGCCCCTTCTATTCCAGTTTGTCTATGGCGATACGGCCTTAGGCTCGGCAGCTTATACAATTCCGTTCGTCGCCTCCACTGTCGTTTTCGGCGGCGCCGCTGGCCCTCTTTTCAATAGATATCCAGTATATATGCCCTGGTTTGCTGGCGGTGCCACACTTATGCTCATCGGCAACGGCTTGTTGACAACTATCGGTCATGCTGTCTCCCGAGGAGCTATTTGTGGATATACTGTTATTCAAGGCGCAGGCTGCGGACCAATCATGCAACTCGGCTATACTGTAGCCCAGATCAAGATTCGCCGTACTGATCCGGATTCACTTCCTGATGCCACAGGCTTTATGAGTTGCTCTCAAATGGCTGGACTCGCACTCTCTCTTGGCATTGCTACGACCGTGTTTCTCAATGGCGCCACTTCAGATATCGCTATAATCCTTCCGGACGTGTCACGTTCAGTCATTCAGGCAACTATTGATGGCGCCAAGACGTCTCTAGTCCAGGATCTCAGCCCAGAACTTCGACTCCGTGTTCTAAAGGCTATTGCTAATAATGTCGCTACAGTATTTTACATGAATATTGCTGGAGCGGGACTAGGTCTCGTTCTATCACTCTTTTTGAAACGCGAGAAATTGCAACTTAGTTCTCCTAGTTGATAATCTAGTTATAACTACCTATACATTTAATATAATAATAGAAGATTCAGGAAGGACTTTATGTAAAAAACATCATAGCTTCCCAGATCTACTCGGCATTCAGGTAGTATTGCCAATAGGATCCCCCACGATCCAACACAGATATTGAACGAACTCATTCCACTTCTTCTTCTCACCCTCTACAAAGTCAACAATAGGTGTCAATCGTATGTAGAGCTTTTTTCTGTCGATATATCCGCCAACAACGCGAACACTACTCCCGCTACCGGAAAGAAAAGTGACGGGGACTACCTTGTGATTCTGGTATCCCTCATCCATAAATCGGCTGCCCGTCACCCATAAAATTGTCTGTGTTTCGCTGATGGAAGGGACAATTTCCTTCAAAGGTAAATTATTTGCCAGGTAGCAGCCCATGTGTGGCTTTTCATAGTCACATTGGTCGATAAAGTTTTCGACATTCCAGGGAGTGTGATGAGACAATCGGAACAGGAGGTGCGATTCTTCGGGACTGTTGTAAGATTAGATGAGAAAGGGTGCTTTGAACGTGCAATCTCACATCAACAATTTCCATTTCGTTCCTTCAATAATGCCCGGCATCTGATCATCTTTGCTAAAAGATAAATAAGCCCGAAATACGTTCCATAGGTCGGTCTCTGGCCTGGGCGGCGTCGTCTACCGCGGTATCTATAGGTAATATCGACGGGCATCCATCGGGGTTATCCCAAGGTCGAATCTCTTCTAGGAATTGATGCATTCGGCTATAAGAAAAGGGACGGATAAACTGCTCGCCGTCACCGGGCTCACCGCTGTTGAAGTCAAGGTCACTGACTTCGATAAGTTCTGATTTACATTCATAATAGTCCCGGCTTTTGTAGGTCAATTCGAAGGCTTCCTTAATGAAATTCAAGGTTTCAAGGACGTGCTTTGGCTCCATGGTGTGTGTAGTGGAAGATTATGGTTTGGCGAGTAGCGGTATGTCGTAATTGTGTCGACTTTGATAATTTGGGTCCTGGGGCTGGTTTCCACTTTTCACTATTATATTACTTACCCAGGTTAGGTAGGTTAGATATCTTTTAATGCATCACGAGGATGAGCCAATACTTTTTGAAAGGTGAGGTTAACCCGCATGTAAAGGTCGAGGAAGACACGGTATGTTATCAATGTACATATAATTTACGTAGTTAAATCTTCTCGTAGCTTTGATTTATCAATATAAGTAAAATATTTACCTGTGTCTCCTTCGCACCTGAGGACATGCTATCTTTTTAAAGATCAAAATATCGTGAGAGGTAACGTGCTTAAAACTTCAGTAATCATTTATATCAAATATACTCTATTAAGTCCACCATGTCTTCTCTTGTCTCTGAACTACCGGAAACGCCATCTCTCTGGAGGCAAGCGTTAGTAAATCTTGGCCTGGAAAACGAGTCTCTTATTAGCGGAAAGTACCGCCAGTCTGGGTCAAAAGTAATCCAGAAACAATATATACTTCAACGAATTCTGACAAAAAGAGCCAATGCTGCGGCAGTGAAGGGTAGATTGTCGGGGTGGATAATCCCGGACTCCATGTCATGGTCACTTTCGCACCCTTCGAGCAATAACGATTTCATCATCATAATACAATCGCTAGAAATTCCTCCTCGACACTAACACAGCAAAATAATGAACATATCGTTTATTTCATAAACTCCATAGGCAATTGCTATAGTCAGAAATGGTATCAAGTCTAGCCCAGAAACCCAAGACATGCGCATGTATCCCTATGGTATACCCGCTATAAACTCGTAAAACACCGTTGCATAGTGAACCCCATACGAACAAGACCCGTCAATATACCTCGTGAAAAACTTCGTGCGTTAAATGATACCCCGCGACCAAGGGTGCGTAAGATAAACGGGTAGCTTAACTGCTCAAACCCCCTTCGTCGTGGACAACAGAGGTGTGTCTCTCCAGGTGCTTCGTAGCTTCTTCGATATCCCGGCCTTGTGCCTCGGCGAACCTCTCGGGTCGGCGGACGGAGGTAGAGTCGCGGTCCTTGTGAAGGACTAGGGGTGGGTTGTCGCGGTAGTAAGCATCTAGATCCTCTAAAGTACGGTTGGCCGTCTCGGGGTAGAAGAGCCATATGATGGGCAAGAATAGCGCGTTTGTCACTGTCCAGATGATATAGAACTTCCAGCCTAGCTTTTGGATACCGATGGGTGTCACTTCAACGACGATGAAGTTTGTAATCCAGTTCGTCATGGTAGCAACAGCAGCTCCTTTTGTTCGCATAGGAAGACTATAACCAGTCAGTAATTGCCCCTAAATTTTAAGGATCCCACAAGCTATTGTTGCTTCCGAGATAGAGTATTGAACTTACGAGTTGATTTCGGTGGGGTACAGCCACGGGATACCCAACATTCCTAAACCAAAACCCATGTAGTAGATGAAGAACCATACGACAGAAGCCTTAGATACTTCAATCTGATGAAGGTAGCCGGGCTTCTCAGCAAAGTGGAGGAGGACGGTGACAAGCAAGAAGCAGACTAGTTGGATTGCAGTGGAAACCATCATCATGATGCGGCGGCCAACCCTTTCCACAAGGGGCGCAGCTATTAAAGACGCGAAGAGGTAGGCGACTGATGCACAAGCAGCAATAAGACGGGCCATGCTCTCGTCTAGCTTGACGGACTCGATCAACACGGTAGGAAGGTAGTAGGACATGATCTAGTTTAGGTTAGCATCCTAAAGCTCTCTTATAAAAACAATTGGTCTAAGGGGTATAAAGTGTGCATTCTTTCGTAATTTTATGCTGGTGCCCAGAGAATTGACGTTGAAAGTCGAGTTAGGTTACTCACTGCCTCATAGTTAGCATTTGTATAGAATAGGCTACGGATTGAGGATAAGATGCGTTCTTGTACGTACCATTAATGCCACCAAATTGTTGCATAGCTTGAGTACCAGAGCCAAGGATCAGTCGTCGAACTGTTTTAGTTCCAGACTTGGTACGACCTCGGAGAAGATCACCCCAGTTGATCGCATTTTGGCGCTCATATTCGATACTGAAGACGATTTCTTCGCGCTCGGCGACGATATAGGGATCATTAATCGGTTTGTCTGCCAAATCCGCCAAGATCTTAACCGCTTCATCCTCCTGACCATGTGCAAACAGCCATCTATAGCCGGAGTCAGTAAATCGCACGTATCAAACAGCTTTAGTGTGGACAAAACACTCACCTGGGCGACTCTGGTAGCCATGGGATAGTAGAGAAGAGAACGATGCAGAAAACGAGCTGGAGAGACAGGGGGAACCGCCATCCGACGGAACCTCCAACGAATGACATTCCATAGTTGATCCAATTACTCAAGGAAAAACCAAAGATGTTCAAGCCCATCTCGAGCATGACAAGCATCCCTCTGTTGTCCACCTTGGAGGTCTCTGTTTGCCAAACGGGAGCAGTAGCTGTATTGATTCCGTTGCCGATGCTATTCCATAGGTCAGTTTAATGGTTGATTTGCATAAAGTCCCAGTAGTGCATACCCCGTAACGATACGACCTACTATCATGTGCGGGACGCTGAAAGAGCTCGTTTGGAGAACAGCGCCGACACTCATGATTGCAGTACCGACAAGCACAGTTTTCTTTCGGCCTATCGACTCTCCGATGTAAAATGCGGTGATAGCACCCAGGAAGCAGCCGATAGTATAAATCGAGGTGATGATTGATAGAATGCTTGTATTCTCCGGGCCATGTAGGTTGTGGACGTCTAGATAGTCTTTCGAAATAACAACACCACCTAAAGGCAGTGCCTTAATACCGACATGCTATGTAACATTCATACGATGGTCACTTACTGAAAACACCTTGATCATACCCAAAAAGGGTCATGTCTGTAGCGCAAGCGAGCTACGATTGTCAGCTCCATATCATCTATTCGGAAATAGAGGGGGTTGTCAGCTTACAGTGATCCAGAAGGTCAGCCATTTGCCCTTCAGCCCAAAGTAGGGCTCTTTTATTCGTGATACTGCCATCTTGTTATGATCAACTACAGAGTTATGTCTGCTCCTTAATTCGGACTCTGGAGACAGACGAGGAGAGATTTGAGAAATAGGTTGGTAGTTAGACGTGTCAAAGCGGAAAGTAGAACAACGAAGTACGAGTGGGCAGATGGTCTTTTATATACAACAATGCACCATGGACTAATACAAAGTACCGCGAAGTACATACATGTATGTCTAACCTAGGTTAGTATTGTATTCCGTATTTGGCCAAGCCACATGGGTGACCTGTACAGTTTCGAGTGACATGATGATATGTAGTGTATGTGATAGGTATGCCCGGCCGGCAATGGATGATCCAGCAGGGGTTTTACTACCATACATGATCTTGTGCTTGATCAAGTTTTTGTACACTGTCTGAATATGTGACTGTAAAGTTGAATTGTCCAATTAAACAAGGTTCGCGTACCGGCTGTGGGGGTAGCAGCTGGGGGTAGTAGCTGGGTGCTGGGGGAGTCTGGAGAGACAGGGATTAGACTTTGGCGTCATCCCGCGCAAAAATTCCTTACAGGTACCTAATGTACCTAGGTAGTGTACAATACCTATGTATGTAAAAGGTAAAAGCCCGAACGTGCGGAATCAGGTGACTCGACCCTGCCGCATTTAATCATGGCCATTAACGGCTTTATTATGTATGTAGCGGCGTTGTTGCCACAGTCGTCCCTTAGCCAATAAGCATAACAGATTAAGGTTTGCCCCATACGAATGCGCCTCGTAGCGCCGAGATCTATGTCATAAGACACCGTTATTCTAAACTTACTAAAAGAGAAAGTTGTTCCAGTTTGCCGAAAATGATACCCGCTTAATTCTCTCCGTTCCAACACCCCAAGATCTCTCCACAAACTCGCAGCTCCTTTGTTAGCGGAGTGCATGTAAAGACTTTGGGGTTCCTCCGCATCACGCCGGAAACATTCGGACAGCCCACATTAACTCATTTCTATGTAGGTATGTCGAGTTCGACAGAATAATCCAGACCCTTTTGTAAGTACTATGTAGTAAGCGCATTGGGAAATATTACATTTTCTGCATCTTTTGCGTTTCTGCCGCATTTCTACCTAAACTAAACCCAATAAGGCCATTGCGGCGTAGTGTAGCACGAGACTTGAGCGCAGAACATACGTCATAGCGCATAAAGTCGGGGGTTTGGGGGTGTGTTGGGGCTGCAGCACATAGTAGGAGGCTGAAAAAGAACATTGAAATGAGCAAAAACCGTCATCTGCGGAGTCGCCTACCCCTGATCATATCCTTGATCATATCCTTAGGTATAATAACCATGGATGAAAAATCCCGCGTACATATGTATAACACACTATAACACATTTACACGCAGAAGACCCCATTATGATCCACAGAACGGTCGATTCATCGACATCAGACTGTCACAAATCAAAAATCAAGTATTGTAAGAAATGAAGTCCATTTGCACACGTGGTTTTAGTTGCATATGTCCCTATGCCGATTACTGCTAGTACCTAATCGTAGCCGGCGGCATTACTTGGCTCGAGCTAATAAATAACTCTATATCATTCAACCCAATAACAATTTAGCGCTTAGAAGTCTATAGCATGGTCTTGCCTTAAGCGCAGCAGTGGCGCGAATGAACGTAAGCGCGAGCCGTGGGAATTGGTGGAAGAGGCTCTAAAAGACTTCAGGAACTATTCAGGGGTTCTCCAGGGATTACTCGGGAGCAGATTTGGATGATGACTAAGCTACAAACGAGGCGACGAGAATGAAAGAAAAGAACTGCAAGAAACACGAGTCGTAAAAGTCGAATTCTCTCAACTAAGATGCATGCAGTGGTCCGTTAATAATACCCGGGCAGTTTATTGATAGGTCATGGTCTACCTAAGTATAATAGATAGGGTATTAAACGCATTCGTAATATATTTCGCTAAATCTCGTGTAGAGAACTGGTTCCAGATGCATAAAGTCCCAGCCCTATTCAATATCTTATTCTTGGCATTTCTCACACATTAGGTCCCGATTCGGTCAACTTTACAATACCGATTCCCGCCTGCTAGGAATCTTTCGTATGCAACAACAACAACAACAGCAGCAACAACAACAACTTAACCGTCAGATATCTCGAGGTAACACTCGGACCCGACCCGACCACTCAGGTTACCCGATATACTCCCCGCCGGTAAGAAATACCACCCACCCTCACGCGTTGATAGGTATATCCAAATAATATTAAACGTGACATCGTTCACTTTCTGTCTAACACAGTCCCGATATATCTTCTAGTGACAGGTCTAGGCAAGGGACGATCACGAATCTTACATTGCGGGATTAATAGGTTTTCGCAATTGCTTTTTGCCATCCGTTGAACAATCTGTAAGACATGGCTATAATGTTGAGCTGTCGGGAAACGGAATCAGCATAATGTAGATCCCAACTTGAAATCTTGTCTCACATAGCAACTAAGTAACTACTCCGTACGAAGTAGCATAAAATTCAAATATAGTCATTATAACTATTACAATCACTGATAACGAGTTATGCTAATCTATCTCCGTAGCACAAGTCGCGATATCGACTATAGCTCATAGATAAAGAAAAGGAAATATTAAGTCGTACCGCATACTCTTAATGCAGGTAAATCGGTCCCAAAATACACTTGACGGGCTTTTATCACCTACAAATAGTTCCAAAGCCTCGGATCGTAACGTAGCATCTGATCGGAGACGGCTACAACTGTAGTGTAGCCTAGATCTGACTATACATCGTGTCACTTCACTAGAAAAGCAGTGGCAACGATCTACCGGAGTCTAGAAACGCGGACGTTCGCATTACATATTGATACACAAAGCCTTTTTTCATAACGTCATTAGACCCCTAGCCCACGAAGAAGCCACGGCGGCTTGGTATGCCGCACTAAAAGACAGTATCCCTGCAGTAGGCATATGATTTCTCCAAGATATAGCTGTGCTAAGATAACTGCCGGGTTTAACTTGCCGACCCCTTAATCGACTCGTAGAGAAATGGTGCGCCGGGGCGTACGTCCGGTTTTCGATACCCCGCTGTCGCCGTCCGAATTAATTATCCTAAAAATAAAGCCCGCCGGTCTTCCCCGAACAGTCTTCCGACTCGTACAGCAGCCGAATATCGGACCAAACCGCTCTCATATATCACCTGCAGTACATCGCACGAGCAGCCAGACGGATAGAGCTTTTAGTGTAGCTCCGTCCCTAATTCCGTACTCTATTTCTCTGCCTCGGAACATTTTCCTTCGAAGATGCATTCTTCCAAGACTCATTGTCATCTCCAATTTCAGGGGTCTTGACTTTGAGCATACCAAGCCTTCTTTAATAATAGGTCCGGCTAGACTCTATTTGGTAGGCAACTTCATGTAACCCTAGCTTATGAAAACAACATTCAACTCGTTGACCTAACTTCCGAAACTACTTTTATCTCGCGGGGTGGTTTGGCCTTAGTATTGGAGAAAGTTATTGTTGTCATTGGTGACAAGTCTCTACGTTTAGAACACCAAGACCAGACCCACGAATCATAATAAACAGTGTCCAAAAATATACCGGTACTAAAATGCATCAAGAGGTCTACCATATACATTAAGAATTTAGAGAACATATCTTACCTATCTATAGAATGAGAATGGTCATCCTTATAGCCGTAATCTCTACTTGATATGTTTTATGAGTGCTTATAGTATATTGTTACTTCCGCACTGTAAGACCCGGGCTGTGACAAGAGTATTTATTTCAATGAATAAACTCCTAGTAGTTTCTAAAACGAGCGGTTCCGCTAAAATGCCCATTGACTATGATCAACGTCACCCAATATTACGACTATATTAAATTGTTAATATTTTCGGTAAGGGGCAACATGTCTAGCATGACAATCATACGTGTCTTGGGTATGATAGATAATAGGCCTCCTCTCGCTGGAATTCATTCCGATCCTATAGCTTTCTGACAGCTTGGGCTCCTGACAAGGACTAACTGACGAGGATTTATAACCCGGGGTCGAAATCTTTTTACTTGCCCCTTTCAAAAAGGGGTAGGTAACTACTGACTATCGGCAATTGCTAAGTATCCACCAAGATGAAATTTACGAGTTATATAAGCTTAAACAAACGCGAGAAGAAGTAAAAGTCTAGAGCGATTATGTATCATCTAACACTCCTCCCGATTTGTTGTTAAATGCACAAAAAGAAAAAGAAAACCACAAAGCCAACAAAAAAAAAAAGCTAGGACCCCAAATCCAAGCCACGGCATTTGACCCGAACAGTTGGTCTGCCTGCCGCCCTGCCAGGGGCTCGAACCCAAAGCCCTTACGAAAAACCCCTCGAGGGATTATCTCTGGCTCTACCTCAACAACCGCTAGGCCACGACCATGTTGAACCTAGGCGGCGGCTGATAAGAGATGGAAGGAAGGTGCGGTATTGGTAGTTATAAGTTCGACTTCGTTGCTAGGTAACTATCTACCTAGGTACCGGTCCACCAGGCAGCTGGAACTTCTTGTCAAATCTGGGATACTACATTCACTGGAGGCAACTGGCTGAGGAGACGGGGAAGAAGATACAAATAAGGTCATTCCAGCTGGGTAGGTAGGTAGGTACTTTGATGAACACCTGGAAAGGGGCTTCCAACAGAGAACACGATACATTTCACATCACTATGTACCTAGCCTATAGGACTTGAGAATGTTATAGTATATTTCTACATGGCGGGATAATACACACATAGGTTAGGTACTTACTAGTTCAAATGTCAGCCTAGATACCTAAGTAGGTAGTCATAATACAGTAATGTTTCTCAAATATATAAATACATTCGAAGCTCTTGCTCTACTTTTATGATAACATCATTTTCCATAGTAGTTGACCGGCAACCTCGTGAATAAGCCCGAGCTTAAAAGCTTGCTCAATATGTATAACAGGCATTATATATTCTGCCCTCATCCTGTTTAACAATATACTTATATATTACCTTCACTTATGCCTTGCAGGGTATACATGTTTCCTTAGCATACTACCGTAGAACATAACAACCTAATTTATCAACATAACGACCTTGGCACGGTATACCTTTTGCGATTCTTGGTATCTATGCCGTAACCCCAACACCCGACGTGAACATATGCCCCCGGTTTCCGCCGATGCAAATGCAAACACAGACAGCCGCGCCAACCCAGCCGATCAAAACCAAACCTACACTCACCGGACTTAAACTCGCACACTAGAGTAGACTGTGAAAGTATAATATACAGTTACACTAAACCACAACCAATATGCCTTATGAGCTGAGCAGATCCTTGACGCTCATACCTCGTCCCGGACCACTGCTAGCCATCCCCCTACGATCCACATTAAGCATCAGAAGTGCCGCAGAGGCTTCCTGATCAATCTCCTGCTGGGGTCTTAGAGCCGGACTAGTGAGGGTCGAATGTGACGTAGATGCAGTCCGCGCATGTTGTGGATACCCCTGATGACCAAAGGCCGGAGAGGTATTGTTAGACGGCCCACTATAACTGTAATGGCGATACTCAGTGGAGATAGACGAGTAGGAGTGATGTCTACCTTGCGTGTCTTGTGCTACTAACGCCGGCGATATAGACGATTGATTAGAGCGAGCGGGAGTCTGCGCATAAATAGGTGACGGCGCTTCCGAACCCGTCATTTCAACGTCTTCTTGACCTTCTTCGTCATCTTCATCCTCATCCATATCATACGCATCAATGTCATTTGACGGAGTCAGCCTAAACTGGGATGGGGCTGGTGTGGCCGATTGATCATGGCGTTGCTCCTTCAGCTTAGTAACACAATCTTCGAGGTATCGCACATATTCGATAGAGGCCTGCAAGAGCAAAGATTAGTACGGGATATTGTTACAATTTAGGTAATATTTTTTAACGGATGTACCTGAAGGATGGCCAGCTTGTGCATCTCGCCGGTGCAAGCAGGTATCAACCCCTTAAGCACCGCGAACTCTTCATTCATCTTAGATCTTCGACGGCGTTCAATCAAACTATGGGCTGTTTTCCTAGCGATCTTCCTCCCCGCAGCGCTAGTTGCTGACGGCTGCTTCTTCTTAGACCCGGCACCGGCGGTACTCTTGCCGCCAGTGGCAGGTGCTGCTTTGTCTGGGGAAGTCTGCTCAACTGGTTCTTCCTGGGGACGGGGCTTCATCTGAATAATCCTGCGGGATCTCGTCGGCGGGGGAGGCAAAGCAAATGTCTCCTTTTGCGCGGCAGACGAGCGTCTTCTCGACTTGACCGTCTCGCTTGGTTGGACCGGGTAGGTCGTATTAGTAGATGGTGATATAGGTGACGTCTTAGCTCCGGAGTTGGGCTGCTGGGACTTCGCATTTGGCCCTATGGCCGATGGAGGTAGCTCAAAAGACATCTGCAAAGTGGAGAGCTGATGTGAATGGTCCTTGCCCTTGATTTCGGTGGAGGACGCCGGTGTTGGTGGCATCTTTAAGCGCGTCATTTTGAATGAGAGCCTAATGAATCACTTCTCCAGATGGTCACACGACAAGGCGGATTGATACGATGTTATGTTGGACGCAACGTTCGAAAGCCAACTAGCCGAAGCAGAATAGATATGCAGTTCAGTTTCTGGCTCGGTCAAATACCCGGTTTCAAATTCGAAAGTTGGGTGTTGCCGCAGGTGATGACTAGGCTGGGCCGTCACGTAGGCGTAAGGTAACAAGGGATGTTTGCCGCGGTAAGGAGAAAGCCTCCGTTGCTCATAAAACCATGGCAATAAGTTAAAGGAGAGAATATTGAAGACGGTGTTGAGGACCTGCTTCCGATCATGAAAAGGCAACTTGAGGAGGGACCAGAGTCTTGATGTATGTTGGACATGGCGAAAAGTTTCATCAAGGTCGTCGAAGCATTGAAAGGTGTCGACTTGAGGCACGCGATCAATTAGAGCTCTGACATTGGTTGAAGTTAATGGGGAGCCAATCAGAGACGAGAATAAAGCAACGTGCTGTGGTGGATTGGCTTGTGCAGCCCATCCCCCATGTAACGACATCTACTATGTAAGTCTCGGCTTTCACAACCTTCCTGATCCTGGATCATCCTGGCGAAGTCCTGGTCGGCAGGTCCTTTCGAGCTTGAAGAACTCATCGACAAGCCCCACGGTCTCATCGGTGTTTTATATCTCCTTCTTCCCGCGTCTGATGAAATGAAGCCATTGGTCGGCTTTATCTCAAGTCAACCTATGTAGACCCTTACCGCGATGCGAGCTGGGGCACGTGAATTAAGACCTCGCCGAGACACGAGACCATTCAAATGGCATCACGGATCTAAGAACATGGACGAGAAATATCCAATGATGGTGCCGGATCCTCTCGTAGTTCAAGCCTGAAATTTGAATAGGTAGGTAGTTAACTAAAAAAGATTAAGATGGAGGGATGCGACATACATAGGTACTATGTACCTATGAAATATTGCCTAATAAATTAAGTTATGTAATCCTCAGCAGATCATTATGACGAATATGTATTGTATTAAAAAACATGACATAATTTAGATGTCTTTCTCTCATTTCGATGCTATATCACGTAAAGGAATAATCGCATATTACCTAAACCCCCGGTCTGCATTTCTTATTCCGTATGCTACAATGTAATTGGCGAATGTCTACGGATTACAATATCATCGCGTTGGTAAGGGAAGAAAGCCACGATGTCCTACATAAGGTATAGTGCTGACGACAGCATGCAATATCATCGAATTGCGGCTCGTCGTGTCGTTTAGCCTCCTTCTTATCTTGGGTGGTGGCTTACCGGTATCGTAAGTAAACAATGAATATGATTAAAAAAGCCATTTTTTCCGTGCTTCCAGAAAACAACCTCGCAGTTACCTATACATTAGGTACCCAGAAGTAACCAGCGGAGGAATCATGCGACCTTTTTCCTTTTTCGGCGCATTGCTGCTGCTAGGCCGTGACACTGTTATAGCCGCGGGCAATCCGCAAGTTGTCGACACCAAGAATAATGTTACGTATCGAGGGTTCAATCGCAATGGTGTCGAGGCGTTCCTGAACATCCCGTACGGACAAGACACAAGCGGCCCGAATCGATTCAAGCCCCCGCGAGCCTTCGTGCCAGAGTCGGGTAGCATAATCAACGCCGTATCTTATGGCCCCGCGTGTCCCCAGCCACTAGGAAATGACTTCCTCCCGCTGGGATTGACTAACACGACAGAGATATCGGAAGACTGTCTAAACTTAAATGTGATCAGACCTAAGTGCCTGCGCGCCAGGGACCGGCTTCCGGTTCTAGTCTGGATTTATGGTGGCGGCTTTTGGACGGGTCAGAACCGAGAGATTACTACTGCGCCTGATGGCATGATCCTTGAGTCTGTCGCAAACGGACTTCCCATCATTCACGTAGCGATGAACTATCGTCTCGGGTGTGAGTAACACGCGCCCCTCGTTTACTGGGTGAGGCATAACCAATATTAACGTACCCATGTCCAGTCTTTGGATTCGCACAATCCAATGCTCTTGAAGTCGAGGGTTCCGAGAACGCCGGGTTGAGAGACCAGCGGCTCGCTATTGAGTGGGTTCGCGACAACATCGAGCACTTCGGCGGTGATCCTGAGAAGATCACCATCCACGGGCAATCATCTGGAGGTAGGTCGCCCTCGAGTTTACTATCTGCCCCCTTTCTAATCAGATAATCCAGGCCTCGCTGTTGGCATGCAGATTATGGCTTATGGCGGAAGCAAGCCAGCTCCGTTCCAGCAGGGAATATGCGAAAGCCAAGCCCTAGAGCCAGGCATCACAGCAAATTTCACTATCGACGCCTTACAGCTCGTCGTGGATTATGTTAGCTGCAACACGAGTGCCCTGCACTCGCCAGAGACGGTGGCGTGTTTACGGGATCTAGACATGGATACTCTCTTGAATGCATCAGCGGCGACGCACCAATCCGACATCGCCCACAATATCGGCGACACCTGGTTGCCAGTCGTCGATGGCGATTTTCTTCCCGCTCCACCGTCCCAACTTATAGCTGAAGGGAGATTCGCCAACGTAACGGTTATGATGGGTTGGTGTGAGGACGACCTAACCCTATTTACGGACACCAGTATCTCTACCCCACAGGACACTCGCAGTTTTATCCAGACATACATCTCTTCCGTGAGCGACGCCAATATTGACAAGCTACTTTCATTATACCCATCTTCTGAATTCGCCGCCAACCCGACAGCTAACCTGTCAAGTGAATTCTACCGCACAGCACGCATCTTCCGGGATATCCTAATGGTATGCGAGCCGGTATACTATGGAGCCGCGCTCGCGGCCAAGGGGAATAGCGTCTATCTGTACGACTGGAACCAGACGATCCTAGATCCCATCTTAGAATACACAGATGGTGTGTCGGGGTTGGGCCCCATCCACACAGCTGAGTTTGCATACATTTTCGGGAACATATCACACTACAACGTCTCCAACTACCCGTTCAATCCCACCCCCGAAGACTATAGCCTTGTGAGTCGTGGCTCGCGATCATGGTCGACATTCACGAGCCGCGGAGTGCCAGGTCTTGAGGGCCACGACACGTTCCAAGGATTCACGCCCTCTTTTCCTGTAGGTAGCCAAAGCAATGCCGATGGGACGTTCTCGGTATTCGTTGCGGGAGGGCCAAGCGAGGGTTTCTCGGCCACTGACGGTCCTGGCTCTAGACCCGAAATAGCCGCACAGAAGCTAAAGGAGAGATGCGCTTTTATCAACTCGGAAGAGATCATAAATAAGCTTTACTATTGATTTATATATAGATATTTGATATGATCGCCACTTATATGACAGGTACCTACCTAACCTGCATAGTTACATCTTCATAATTGTACTTAATATCATAATACATTTATGTAGAGCTGACAATTACGAATCCGAACTTTCTTGTGCTAGGTCGGGACTGATTAGCATCCCCACGATACAAATAAATGAGCACATCAGACGAACGAGAGCCTTGGCTCGAGATGCAGCCTTTGCACTATCGAGCGTTTCTAATAACAATGTCCACCTAGTTTTAATCCTCGTAAAATCCTATTTTGTAGAGACACCGTTGATATGGTTCATCAAATTTCCCTATCTAGCCTTCCTTGTCAGGTGTTAACTTATAAATGCACAGTAAAATACCTATATAGGCAAATATCCAAGGAGACTAGTTTTAGAGTACTCTAAGACGTTGAGGTACTTGAGTCAGGAGTTAGAGCAGATTCATCCCACGGAAACCAGACATAGGTAAACGGCAGAAAACATATATTTAGACGTGCGAGATATACGTAGGCGGAGGTTCGTGCGGCATGTCCATCACGGCGAGTTCGCGAGTGCTTGGTTGACCGTTACTCGCAAGTCGGATCCAGCTTTCTGTAGGGCGCCAATTTTCACCGGCCCCCTTTTCTGGGGGTTCGTTCGGGTTCGACGTCTGACTAGGTCGCTGATGATCTTCGGTCCTAGTGCTGAACACTCGGGTACTGAGTATCCTCAATCTTTCGTATAGACTAAATCTAGGAAGAAGGGATCTACACATAGGTGCGCAACAGCAGATGACACCACACGCTTGCTGAATGGTTGCCCAGATTGCGTCAAGGACGTTGTTCACATCTGTGGAAGAGTATATTAGCGATAGACTCAATTATATGCTGGTCCATACCTATCCTCGGATAGGTACTTACAGCTGTTGCCGAAAGCCTGAGCAATTTTGACGAAGCCGAAGACTCATGCTCTATAGGTATGTTAGCAAACACTAGCAGTTAGCAAACAATAGCAAAGTCCAAGGGGGTTAGGGTCTAGGTACTCACAGCCCCCCTAACGCGAACAAGAAGCACAGTTGTATCTTGACCACAGGCTTCATATGTAAAGCTTGAACCATCCAAATAGCCAGGCCGACCAGAGCAAAGTCAAGTAACGAGTTGATGCTCTCCCCGCTAGCGAGAAACGCCGGGTTATTAATGCAGTGGCCTGGGGCCGTCGGCGTCCACGATTTCTTCGGGGGTATGCACGTAAAATAGTGGACTAGGTACGTTGCGACGGACCAGAGCAATTGAATAGTACCGACGATCCAGACACAGACGGCAAATGAACGCCGACGAGAGAAGAAGCGATAGTACAGGAATAAGAGGCTGAACTTGGCGAATAGCTGTTGGAGGCAGAATTGAGCAGCTAATACGTATATCGTCTGAGATGGCCCAGAGTTAATTAGTTAAAATTTGGTTGATCAAGCTCCCCTCCTGAAATACCACCAAGAGAAAGGACATGGGTAAACTTACAACTTCTATGTTGTAGAATTGTTCCTTGGATATAGCTCCGGGTTTGTAGGGGTTTCTTCCGTTGAGGGTAACGAGAACTGAGAAGAATGATGAACGTTAGAAGTAGTCTACTATCATGGATAGATAGCATTGTATACGGCAACTCACTATAAAGTAGCAAGGCAACATATATTAAGAAAAATATCAGAGCTAGTAGAGCAAACCAGTCTTCCCATCCAATTCTACGTCTATTTCGCCTTGTGGCTATAAAGCGGAGCGCAGTAGCTACGATGCAGGTCGGTGCTGTAATGAGGCACACGATAAAAGCAGCTGTTTGGTGAGAATCTTTGGTGATTTCAAATCCCATTGCAGCATAGATATCTTATGTAGTTCCTTTTCGTTCGGGCGAGTTGTGCGTATACTCAATGGGTTAAAGATAAGTAGCTCTAAGCTTAGAGACTCGCCGTAGTTATATCCATACTTAATTCAAGAAAGTGTCGGACCTGGATGTTTTGTGATGGGTAATATACGGGCATGACTACAAATCCTAACAGACAAGTACCTGGACTACGGATAGCCTTACATATAAAACAAAAATGTAGAGACAATTATGTAGGTTAGACAAATAGAAGAGCCACCTAGGGCATTCGTAAGGTGCTGTAGTGCTGCACCACGACCTGAAGGATTTGGCTGCATATAAGACTTGAGGCGCATTTCCTAACCATCTATTCGCACGTGGGATATGTCTACGCATATGATATCTAATAAAGGCAAGCTTGGCAGCCGCCAAGAGGAGTCAGCATTGTGCTACTCTATGATATAACTCTCGACTAATTCGATACTATTCTTATCCTCAGACATTGCCTTCATAAGCATACCTCTACTTGAACTCTTCACGGTATTCCAGCACCGAACGTATAAGTGAATTAATTGAGAATATAGGTATGCATTGAATAGTGAAAATAGATGTAAACCAACATTTGTTGTATAGTTATGCATAGATAGAACAACGTTGTCATTATTTTATAGCGAAGCGAGTACCTTACAGGAAGCCGAGCCGTTTGCCAAACAGCCACCAACCCGTCCATACATAATGACATCATCGCTTTACCTTGCCTTGACGTAAACGCGTGGAGCTACAGCGATGATACACCTACTTGAGTAAGTTGCGAATCATCTAAGCGTCGAGTTCGTACATGTGAAACACATAGCAGCATATGCATATAGATATACTATTTTAGAGCGACTGCATGCAGGCACATCAACAACGGGGAGCCGTAGGCTGAGAGCACGTAGGGCGGAACGATCCTTTGGGTTGAACCCAGCCCATTAGACAGATCGGCCTGCACTGCAGTAGTCAGTGCTTACATCGCATAGTCTGGATCGTCCAACCTTAGGGAGCCATACAGATCTTCGCGATCAACCACGTGGGAGGTCTTCAGAGATGACTGTACTTCATCTTATATTACCTAGATATTTACACAGCTTGAACGTCGGCAGGTAAATCTATCGAGAAGCGCGGTGTTATTATAATACATCGGATACTAGGTACCCCTCATGCTTTGACGGCAAGGCTCGATGGTAAGGCGTTCGGAGCTAAATATGTTATATCTCTATAAATCGGTGTGGTTGTTTTTTTACTTTGCTCAAATCGCAATGCTTAGATTATTATTAAACCGTGGTACGCGGCGACGTTAATAGCCTGAATTGTGATAGGGTTATAGTCCAATAACAATTGTCGATCTCGTAGCCTTACTGTGAAATCCATCTTCAGAGCCTCCGACGTCCTCGTACTTGGGCTTTTCAAATTGAGAAGTACTACAAGATAGTCCTAGACTTAGTTCTTCCAAGTCCTAAAAATCGTATCGATCGGAAACTATGGATGTAACTTAGATTAAGCTAAAATGCTCCTTTGACTTGCTTAAGGAGGCGTCGCGTTCAGTATTGGCCCTATCCGGGACAAGACTCAAAAAACTACTTCCGAGGCTTCCGGTTTTTATATTCTATTATCGTTCCGAGCCTCAAGACTGCTCTTGGCAAATATCTATGTCTTATCTATTATTCCTCGATTTAGGGACTTAGTAGTGTAAAAAACCAGTTTATGATTCCATTAAGTATATCATTGGCTCTGTGCGCTCTCTTCTAGTATGTAATGCTTCGAAATGCTGCTTTATCTAAACGCCTCTAATGCCGTCGTATCGTTTCGTCTTTCGTCATTAGCCATGCCACTGCTTACATGAGCTTTGATATCCGACTTGCCTCCAAGTCCATCAACGAGTGGCGTTGAATCATCTGGTACATACGAGAACCCCTTAACCAAGTTCGTCAAAATCATCATCCCAACCCAACCGTTCAAAGATTGAAACCCTCCTCTCGGGCTCTTTCACATTCTCGGTAGTAGAATTCCTAGTATCGGCGATATTTGCAACATCTTTATCAAGAATCCTCCGTTTAATTGGTGTGGCTGCTACGAGCCCTTTTAATGGAATAGGTGCAGTGCGAGGCTTAACTGGGGTTTCTGCGAGTGCACCAGGCGGAGAACTAGGCATTTCAATTCCGCTGTCACGGAAGGACGCCATGGACACTTTCCGAGCCATGATGGGTGATGATGCAAGAATGTCTGTTTCATCGACCTCGGGGAAAAGGAGAGCGCTCTGCCTAAGGGTCGAAGGTCTAGCAGGGGTTGCCTGAACCTGATCTGCTGAAGTTCTCGAACGAGGAGAGGTTTGGAATTTATCGAGGGCAAATGCTGCTTCGTGAGTGCGTTTCCTTGGCGCGGAAGAAGGAATCAAGGAAGATGAAGGTGTACTACTTGGTTCAGCAGGCCCCGTAATTCGGGAATGACTTGGCTGATTGCTGGCGCTCGTGCCTAGTACATCCTTGAAACGTTTTCCAATAGGAGTTGCCTTAACCACATCGGGGGGTTTGTGTTGAGTCGGCTTTCGCGATTCTATGGGCAGGTTAACATCATACAGAAGTGAAAAGTAAAGCGGAATCAACATCCACTTACTCTTTAGTTGAGAGAGACTAGTAATAGCACGTCTCTCATCTGCTTCGGCCATGGCCTTACCGATAACGTCCCTATTAGGACGTCTAAGGGCAGATATCGCATCGTGCAATTCCGCCTTAACCAAGGCGTCCTTCTTTGCCCTCTCCCCTTCTAATCTTCGTTTGATGGGCACCAATGCAGGCGCACGCGATGTATTGTCTTTAGATGTAATAGAGTCTGCTTTGGGAATGTTTGAGATGGATAATGGCTCGCTGGCTTCTCGCTTCAACATGGATGTGGAAGCAGATCTCATCAATGCTATCACTCCGCTTGGGCCACGCGACATACTTCGACGATGTTTCTCGGTCTCCTTAGAAAGAACACTCTCAAGTGTCTTAGATGATTTAGACGTTGGGCGCTTCGTTGCGGAGCTAGATTTCGACTTGGACTTTACAACCGGCTCCGAGTTTTCCGGGTTTCTCGACTTAGATGTTGATGGCGGCATCATGACTGGCCCACCTAGCTTACGGTTGATCGAATCACACTTTTCCGGTAATCTTGCAGAGAAGCTTTTGGTAAATGTTAGCAATTAATGATTTTTCATATATCAAGGGAGCTTTCTTACAATGGTACGATGATATCGACACAGAAATCTTTCAACGGGTCTGATGTAGCCCTCGACGACTTCTGCGTCTCCAACTGCGCGCTCGCCTGGGCGTCATCTGGCAATTTAACACCATCCAACGCAGTAGATTGCCAAATGCATAGTCGGTCCGCATGAACATCGACGAGAGACGGTAAATTATGTCGATTGCGTTTCTTCGTAGAGTTATCCTTGGGTGCTTCGGCAGGAAGCTCTTCGAGAGGTAGGCCTGGTAGTTGTGAATCCTGGTTACTCTGAGACGGAACTAATGGTTCTAATGCTAAGATTTCGAGGATAATGATCATCTGTAATTGCGTCTCCCTCGAACGCAACCAGGCTACTTGAAGTTTAGTCTCCGGCGGTTCAGTTGTCGTCATCGCTTCATCATCCTTAAACTCAGGCTTGCGAGCACTCCACCACTTTTGAATATATTCATGCTCCATCGGATACAGGCCGTTTTTGCCAAGCTTCATCTTCCTAGTCTTCCGCTTCTTAGTCTTTGCATTACCTTGTTCAACATCGGAGTCTTGGAAGATGGGCTTCATTTTAGAAATTAGGTCCGGAATTGTTTCCCGATACTTCTTATCGATCTGTGTAGTTGTCATAACAAGACTTTTCAAGAAGTCCACGAGATCATTCATATCCAAATTTGAATCACAGTCTAGATGAAAAGCAGCACGTGCGCGAGACAGAGGACCTTTCGCAAAATATGCCAAGGAACCCTGGAGAAAATATTAGACAACTAGCAAGAAGAAATATACTCGAGGAGCCTACCATTGAATGATAAAGAGATTCAAGATACTGGTTACGAATATTATCGAATATACCCTCCGCAGTTGGCGTCGTCATCAGCTGGCCCACTGTAGGGGCCCTTGGAATCTGGCTCTGAGTTTGAGATTTGGGCTTTTCGGTGAATAAACTCTCGAGAGAAATCTGGGCGATCTCAGGCTGCGACTCGTCATTGTCTTGGCCGGGCGTAAGTGGCCGTACTGGTGGAATAAGCTGGGATGTTGTTGAAACAGAACGAGATCTTGCAGGTTTCTTTACTAGAGATTGTATGGCTTCTATCGCAAGTCTCCTCTTCTTAGTCTCGTGGTGTAAGTGGGGAGTAGTTAATGGGTATGATGTATTGGAATTCATGAAAGTGTTGGTCCGCTTCTCGATAAGTTGGGTGCACGACACCGTAGCAAGCCGCCGAAGTTCCCGAAGGTCCACCCAGGAGCCAAATTGGCAGAGAGAATACAACCCGTCCGTCTGACGTTCTAATACGTAAAGGGTTTTATCGGATTCTAGTCGGGCAATGAGAACAACAGGACGGGATCCTATGCGACTCTCGAGCTCTAGAACTTTAATCTTAGACTCGAAATATCGCGAGAATTCGAAGCTTCCATATGGTGAAGAGAGATCGAGGAATGAGAGCTGAAGATGTTCGCGAGGCAGAATCATTAGAGGCTGAAGGCTACGAGGTTTAATCGATATATTTGGGGGGTGCGGCTGGAATTGGAATTGGGTTAGCAATGATTATAAGATAGTATCAAGTGGTCAGACGAATGAATTGACCTACCTTAATCACAATTGAAGGTCGTAGGAGCTCTTCCATAGCTTCGACATCCCTTTTGCGCTTCAGGCTCGGGGAGCCATCCGCTGGACTATCATGACTAAAGTCGAGGTGGACATTAGGTGAAGGCATATGAATGCTGCTGGACGGTAGACGCGACGCGTCTGAACCTAGAGC